AATAAGAAGATATATACGTTGCTCTACGATACTTTATTAGAGTTTAGGTTAAATATACTAATTTATATAGCGCTAGAGAGCTATAGCGAGCCTGCGCACGCGTTTATTTTGCTAACGCTAGAAACTATACTGCGCTAAATTTACTAGCGCGTTAATAAGCATTAGCTTATGCGCTTTATTAACAATATATATAATAACTCTATTAACGAGATCGTAGTTCTAGATAATAATGCTATATCTAATAATATAATAGCTAGCTACAAAAGCGCGTCTAAGTCTAAGCTCTGCGCACCTGCTAAACGAACGCGTTTGCTAAAAGAAATATCTATAAGATAAGCTAATAAACAGTTAAAGGATAAACTAGATAGCGCTATTATGTAAACTATAGTAAGTACGTAGAATTAGGCAAGTGCAAAGTAAGATAAGGTGTTATATAGCGACTAGAAATAAAAGTATTATAGGTTTGCGTAGAAGTTGCTAGGTGCAGGCATTAAGGTAGTTAGAAATATAATAAATAAAGCTACAGTAATTAGAATAACAGACTGCTTAAAGAACTAGCAGTTAATATTAAGAGTATAGAGATCTTAGCATTCTACTAGAAAACGTCTGTTCTCTAGAGTTAAAGGCAAGCTTTCTATAATTTATGCCTATAATAATTCTAGTAATAAAGTAGGAAGTAATCCTTTTAGTATCTATCTATAGAGTTAACTAGTGCTATCTTAGCAGCAAAGCGATAAGATTAGCAGTTTGCATTTAAGTTGTGCTAAGGTAGATAAATTTGTAGATTTATTTAACGCTGCTAGAAGAAGTTAGATAGTTAGTATTATTAAGAATATATAATATTAATAGATCTTAGCTGCTATATATACATAGTATAAGACTCTAGTTATATTAGTCTAAAAGCAGGCGAACTTAATAGGTAGCAGAGATAGAGAGTTTATAATAGTAGCAAAAGAGCAGTTATTTAGATCTATATATTAGAGCTAAGAGAGCGAGCGCGCAACGCTAAAAGAGAATCTCTCTAATTAGAAGATATTTAAATAGGTTCTAGAGAATAGGCAGCAATAGTCTATACTAAAAGACTAGTTTAGTATTAGTATTTTTGCTTTACTGCTGTAAAGCATAGTGTTAAACTACTTTATAGAATAGAATCTACTAATAATAAGGTTTCTTTAATAGGTTAAGATAGTGCAGTTATGCAATATAACTATTAAACTAGTATTGCAACGTATTAAGAATATATACGTATCTTATATAATAGATAGTACTCTGCCTCTACCTTTATAATTAGAAGAGGCAACTAAGAATAAGTTAGTAATTAGAGACTCTACAGAATTTCTTTTACCTATTAGTAATAGTTAATGATTAGTTAAGAAAGTTAGAGATAGTAATAATGTTAGCGCAATATAGTATAGCATAAATATATAGGTTATTAGAGATAGCGTTATTATTTAATAATAGTTTGTATTAAGAGAGAGAGGAGGTAGGCAGAGTTATTCTACTTTCCTTTAATGTTACTATAATAAGACCTAGAATATCTCTAACGACCTCTTATAATATATTAGCAGTAGCTATACTCTACTTATATGCAATTTCAGCTACTAAAAGATATTAAAATACTTAACTCTATTAAAATATTGCTTAACTCTGTTAAAATATCGCTTAACTCTGCTATAATATTGCTTAACTCTGCTATAATATTGCTTAACTCTGCTATAATATTGCTTAACTCTGCTATAATATTGCTTAATTCTGCTATAATATTGCTTAACTCTGTTAAAATATTACTTAACTCTATTAAAATATCGCTTAACTCTGCTATAATATCGCTTAACTCTGCTATAATATTACTTAACTCTGCTATAATATTGCTTAACTCTGCTATAATATCGCTTAACTCTGCTATAATATCGCTTAACTCTTAAGTGTGTATAGGCTAGCTTAGCACTATTATTAATCTAATATTAGAAATCCTAATATATATAGCAGTTCTTAGGTTTTTTAGCTATCTCTACTATCTTCAGCTTATCTCCAGATTTTCCCTAGATTCTGCCTAGCTTATCTTAACTTTGCTGCTGCACTGCTACTGCTAAGGATTTTAGCTACAAAGAACACTAACATTCTCTTACAAACTTCAACGCCCTGCAACTTTACAACGAGAAGAGCTATAAAAAAGATAGTTGCAGATCTAAAATCGCCTCGCAATTCTGCACAATATAGCCTACTAGAATATATCTGCAAAGTACTAGAACGTTGAGAGAAACTGCGATGAATGTCAGAGTTTTGATGTTCCTTCACCCATAACTTCAAAGCCTTGCATCTCAACGAGTATTAGAGCTATGAATAAACCGTTTAGAGATCTGGATTCCCCTTGTAAAACTGCACAAAATGGCTTCTTAGAAATATATTATTTCCCCCTAGAAGGTTATTCATTTCCACGTTGCATTCTTACAACATAGCGCCTTGCTAAGGCTTATTCTAATTAGCTAAGCTCTGCATTCCTACTAGAAATGCAGGTAGACTTAAGGACAGATTATTTATTTCTACGTTGCATTCCTATAACATAGCGCCTTGCTAAGGCCTATTCTAATTAGCTAAGCTCTGCATTTCTACTAGAAATGTAGGTAGACTTAAGGACAGGTTTTTAGAAAGATATAGAGGTTATTAATCTTATCTTATTAGAAAGTAAAAAGAGTAAGAGATATAAGAGCGTTATATAGTTATATATACTTAAGCTTCTATAGTTAGTAGTTTTTACTATAGAGTATAAGTAGACTAAGTAGAAGCGTAAGAATACTCTATGCCTAATAATCTAATACTTATCTTTAAAGCGCATTTAACTAGATATATAGAAGTAGCCTTATCTAATATACTTATATAGTAAGATAAAGTATATCTAGATCTTATATTATAAGAGGCGTAGTAATATTATACTTCTAGATATCTTAGATATTAATACGTTAGAGTACGCTATTCTAAGTTTATTATATTTTAACTTATACTAGTTACTTAATAAAGTAGAGCTAAGTTAGATTAATATAATATTTATTACTAATAGTAATAGCTAGAAGTCTTAGGCGCTATAAGCAGCGTATATATATTATAGAACTTAGGTATTAGAGTAATAGCACTTTCTACTATGCTATAACTTAGTAAGCTATATATATAGAAAACTTATATTACTTTTTTATAAAGATAATATCTTATAGCTTACTATTCTTACTAGAAATCTGCGCTACGCAGACTAGAGCGCAGTGCTAGTAGAATATAGTAAGTATATAAGCGCAGCTAGAGGTTCTCTCTATAATCTTATTTTTATAATTAATCTACTATAGCATGCAAAACTATAAAATATATAGCTAAAGTTTTAGTATTAGCTTTATAAGTACTTATAGGCAATAAGAATGCTAGAAGATATTATAGAATAGCTATGCTAGTATAACTTTATAGCATGCTTAGAACTAAGCTTTATATAAATAAGGTATAGATAGTTTTCTTATTCTTAGAATACTACTAATAATAATAGTAACTTATAAAAATAGCTAACCTCTAGTCTATAAAGGCTAGCTATAGCTATTATATAATAGAATTATACGCTACTAAAGAGTACTATACTAAATATTAAGTATATTATATTCTTAGTAGAGCAGCTATTACAGCGATTTTTATTATAACTATAAAAGGCGCTTTAAGGCAGAGACCTAGCTGCTAGTAAAGATAGCTTATAATTAGATACCTTTTATATCTACTTTCTATTAATAAATATAGTAGCTACTGCGCCTAATATAGAGAGATAACTTAATATATTTAGGCTAAAGTATTAACTAGGCAATAAAAGCAGCAAACTATTAGATTAGATATTAGTTAATATACTTCTAGGCTTATTACTATTATATAGTAAGGTTCTTTATGCATAATAGTAAGATACGCAGAGTTAAGATAAGTAGTATACTTTTTAGAATTATATAATTATTTAGTTTTAGCATAGATAGTAGCCTAGAAGTATAGTATTCTACTTATAGAATTGCGTATAAGTAAGCTAAAGATTATAGAGCTAGATGTATGTTACTTAGCAAAGAATATCTAGAGCATATAAGTAGCATATTATAATAAGAAGTAATAAAAGAAAAGAGATACTTTAGTTACTCTATAGTATCTGCACTTTAGAGTAGATATATATATAGTATAAGCGCAAAGTAATTAGTTCTTAGAACTAATTACCTTTTATATAAGTAGTAGCAGTAATTAAATTATATAGTTAGAGTTTTTAAGTAGCAGTAGCAGTAATTAAATTAGTTCTAGAGGTTAGAGTTAGATTTACTATTCTAGAAAGCGCTAAGAAGTAGAACCTCTAACGTTAAGCCTATTTAGGCACGATTTAGGCTCTTCTTATTATATTCTCTTAGCTAAGTTTTAGAGAGTAGATAAAGCAGGTTTTAGAGATAAGAATTTTCTTATAAAAAGTAGAAAACTCTAACGCTAAGCAAGTTTTAGCGAAAATTAGGCCTAAAACCTCGCCTTATATTAGGTAGGTATGCATAGGCTAGCTTAGCACTATTATTAACTTAATATCAGAAATTCTAATATATATAGGTATAGATTAAGTTAATTTAGAGTTTATATTATATAATACTTATCTATAACCTAACCTATACTTATTTGCTATCCTAAAAAGATCTATAGAGAGTATAGAGTAATTTTATATTTTATACGTAGTATTCGTAGTGCTAAGAAAAAGTAGCTAGCTTAATAATATAGCTAGGTCGATGATAGAATACGTTATAGAAGAAGATTCTAAATTTAATGCAGCTACGTTATATAAAGAATCTATAGAAGATATAGAGTAATTTTATATTTCGTACATAGTGTTCGCGATGCTAAGAAAAAGTAGCTGTCTCGAAGGAGTCGCCGGCTTGATAGTGCTTTACGTTACTTATCTGCTACTCTGTGCAGTGCAACACCAAATACGAGCTTCTTCGTACATACACGCTGTCTCGCGTTTAAAAAGCGCACTCGTACGCCTCTGGCTTCGTCGCATCAGCATCCTTCGAAACGAGACGCGTCTTCATTGGGTACGGGCACAAGAACCTATCATACTGTGTTCCCTTCGTATTGTTGAAGCTCACGGGCAAGGTCTCCGGCACGACCTTCTTCTCGACCCAGTCGACGAGCGCATGGAACGTAGCGGGAGGCTTACCGCCGGCAGCGCCACCATTGCAATGCCCGAGCCCAGGGACTTGGAAGTAGCGGAAGAAGTCATCCACGTTGGCATCCAGGTCCATCACGCGACGGTAATAGTCGTCAGTTCCCTTGTGCGGGATGATGCCGTCAGCCTGAGAGAGAAATTAGTAGGAGCTTCCAGGGGAAAGGCGCAGTGGCTGAATGGGTAGTTCGTGTCGCATTCGACGAGGACCAAAGAGCGCATGGAGGGGAACTTACCAAGCCGTGAAATGTTATGAGCTTGCCACCGGCCTTCCGGTACTCTGAAAGGTCTGGGTCCGCAGTCTCGATGATGGATTCGTACTCCTGGAGTGACGACTTGAAGAGACGTGTGTACTCCTCTACCGAGCTGATCTGCGTGTATTCCCACTCCGGATCTTTTTTGACGAAGAACTTCAGCCATGCTTCACCGAGAAAAATAGGAGCTCCGGTACATGTACCATTCGCATTGCATGTGGTTGCCGCAAGGGCTGTCCGGAATGGGGCACCGTCCAATCCATCACTGCCGGCCAGATCGCTCGCGAGGTCAACGCCGTACCAGATGAACTCGCCGTCGGGTCCTCTGGGGCCTTCCCACGTAGCATTTGCGATGAATGCAGCCCCTTCGCTGATGGTGACAGCCTTTCCAGTCGACGTACAGTTGCGAGTGCTGGCAACCATTGTGAATGGGTCGAAGAAGCACTTTTCAGTGTCGGAAACAATGCCGTCAATTACGCCGTCGAGTGGGTCGCAATGAGCAACTGCAGCCGAGGTGATAGCCTCGAGCTCACACTTTGTCGGAAATTGGTTCGTCATTGACATCATGACCTGCGCCCATGCCGTATGGAAGAACAAACGGTTCCAGTTGATTGCCGGTGCTCCTGCTACAATACCATCGTAGGCTGCAGGGTAGCGCTGCGCGAGCATGAGGCCTTGTCGTCCACCCTGGGAACATCCGTTGAAATAGGAAAACTTAGCAGCCTGCCCGTAGAAAGACTTGGTGACGTCTTTGGCGATGAAAGACTGGTCGTGGAGAGACTTGGAGGCAAAATTCTGTAGCGTATACATATCGACATTGCCAGGGCTGTTGAGCGCCCATTCATCAGGAAGAGGTGCTGAGCCATAGCCAGCATCTGTCGTCGAGGCTACATAGCCCTCGCTTATTGCTTCGTCCATGAAAACGTAGGATATAGAGAACCGGCCAGCAACCCAGCCTCCACCTCCTACGGCTTGCAGGCGTCCGTTCCAGTCGTCGATTGGCAACCACGTCTCGACATTGATGTTATCGTTCTGACCTTCGTGGGTGTATGTTACGGTGACGTTGCAAAAATCGAGGCCGAGCGCGGCGGGAGTAATGCTCTGAGTGGCCGGGTCATAGGCTCCCGTGTAGTTTTGGACGAGCGTAGCGGTGAGGCCCAGGATATGGGCGCCGAAGACGACGGGGTACGCGATGGCGCTGGCGTTGCAGGCCGAAAATGGAGTGGTGAGGTTCTGCATCGTGTTGGGGAGTGGATGAAGTGGAACGAGAGACTGTGGCTGGATGATGGATTGAAGCGTTCGCAACATTGCTCATATAAGTAGTAAGAGGATACAACAACACTTGCTGAGTTGTCTATAGTATCTGTTCTGGCATTGCGCGCGTGTGCGCTTGGTGGTTAATGCGCGTAGAAAGACGAATACGAGAGAAGATATACGACGTATTCCTGATTGGCTACGTATCGCCGTGGGATTGCGCTAGCGGCCAATCGAGGTAAGTCCTCCAGAAGGTACCCAAGAATCTCGAAATCTCCTCGATGAGTATCCTGCCGACGTTGCCGACTAGCCACACCCGGCGTCTTCGATGCAAAAGAACCGCGTAGTGGGCAAGGATTATAAGCGCTTCCGGCTTGCACATAGATAAAAGTGCCGTGAACTCGCTAGAGAGGTTAATTGGAAACACCCAGAGTAAACCATTCTCAGGCGGCTGATTTGACGGCTTTACCACGTCTTGTTCTGTCTGGTATACGACTGTCAGCTGAGATACGGCCGCACTACAAACCTGTCGAGATTCCTCGCTCATGTCCGCGTGATCTAGCAAGTTGGACAGGCGGTCAGCTACTGCTACTGCTGTCCGGTTATTGCAGGAGAGTGCATGATCAATGGCACTCGTGGTTTGCTCTAGAAGAGGGGCAACGCTGGTCTGGCTCAGAAATCTCCAGGATTGCGATATGATGGCTCGAACTCCTCGATGCAAGTTCATGTACGTAATGAACGCGTCCAAGACTCCGCCGGCACCCACATCAGCATTTCCAGCGACATCAGCAAGGTTGTACAAGCCAATCAGGGTGGAGAACGACATGATAGACACGCAGTTGTCTACCGTAACTTCGATATATGCATTATTGAAGGCGCACAATGCCTGCGTTTGGAGAGCTCTAGCCTCCTCGAGATGCCAGATCGCCTCTTCAGGGCTTTGGTAGCTAACATGCATGGCGGAAAGGGCCAGAAGTTGGTATATGGTATATGGCTCTGACAGAACCGCTGGCATAAGGGCACGTGCTTGCCCATTGTCGATCGACCCCGTTTCTTTGAGGCTTGGCAACGTCTCGAAGATGAAGTGGCTGAACAATTGCATATGTCGCAGGCTGAAAGAGAGGTCTGAGCCATACGGTGACGACGATGCCGGAGAGAGGAAAGACAGATCCACGGAAGAGACTACGGCTGGTGACGGCGTATTGCTGTGCTCCACTGCGCTCGGTACACCTTGCGACCTGGATCCGGCGGTAAAAGATCTTGATGAAGCTGGTTCAGAAGGAGCATACGGCGATTGGCTGGATACTGCGCGTTGAAATGAGTCTGGTAGCCGCTGCAAATACGAGCAGGTGCCATCATCGCGCGTGCAATTCTCGCACGTGGGCTGTGCCTCATCGCACTAGAAGAATCAGCATTCTTCGTATTCCCAGTGCTACCTGAGTAGATGCAGGAACCCGCTCTCAAGATGCGGTTGCGTACCTTGATGTGGCGTCTCTTGCACTCCTGACAGCCGAGCCGACTTTTTCTATGACTTCTTCGAAGTACCTTCCGCGGAGGCATAGTGGACTTTGGCAAATGCGAATGTGATTGGCGAAGAGAAGGGAAATAAGGATATGCAGACGCAGGAATACGGAAAGCGATGAAGGAGTCTTGAAGCGTTGGATACGGATACGCTGACTAACTGGCGCACTAGCTTAGCGTCGGGAGTGGTAACTTCCTCGGGGAGATCCCTCTTCGATTCACCGGACCTGCACCAATTTTGCCGCAACATGCGTCATGCAGAGCGCCCGTCGTGGTTTAGTACGCGTTCGAGGCTAACAAGACTGCGGTTACTGTGAGCTCTATACGGCGTATTGTAAGGCAAGGCGATTCATGTTGTGGTCGCAATGGCCGTCGCCCAGCATCATCATTTGACCACCTAATCCCGCTGAGGTGCGGGCACAGCGTTACGCTCGCGCTCAGCAACGTAGCCTCCCTGGTCCACCATAAAGAATACGATAATGCGCTGTCTTCTCAATGTCGCAGACAAGGAGCCATAGCCAAGGCAAGCGGCATACGTTGTATCCAGCGACTGTGCAAGTTATATTCTACAACCTCCGGGCCTCGAATCCGATGAGCCGAGGTGTGCGCTCGAGCAGGGCAACAGCGGCATGGCGCGCGCCACACCGAACCTCCAGTCACTCAAAGAAGGGTGACGACTTTTGGGCCTGTGTAGTGAGACGACGAACTCGACCTGTCGCCATTCATGAAAGCTGTGTCGTCGCGCCTGGAAGTCTCGCTCGTAGGCTCGTGAATCCTGAACACCGTAGCCGCTGCGACTTATGTGTACGTCCCTTCAGCATTGTTGACTGGTACGATAGCAATGCCCGTATGAGGCGTGATCCTAAATAGTTTGCAAGAGTCGTGCACTTCGACGTTGAACCACAAACTGCTTTTCGCAAGTCTTTCGTTTGCTATACGGACTTTACATCTTCTCCCGGTTTCTAATAATTTAGGCGATAAATCAAAGACAGCAGTGACCGGCGCCATGATCTTTGCGAAACTCTTCGTTAGTTCTCCGAGCGGGTTGATTCCCTGGGGACAAACGTCGCATTCCAGTAAATCTGCGCATGGCCAGGTGTTAGGGTCATGGTCAAGGAGATTGTATACTACGGCGCCTTCGACAAACGCAAAGGACCAGGTCGGAGCTTCCCAAGGGTGGGCTCAGTGCGGCGTCTTGGGAAAGAAGACGTATTCATCCCAGTTGGGATCTTGCAGCCGCCATAACAAACCTTGAAGGAAGAAACTCTTCCAGATGTCGGCGAGGCAGACATCGCCAGTGAGATTTTGTAGCGCCGAGGTTACACCAAAAAGGGCTGGAAACTTGTCGCAGGAGGTGTACTCCTCGATCAACCGCAACCACACGCGCCATGCGGGGTTGAAGGCCCGAAAAGCCTCTGCCTACTGTGATTGCTGGGTGTGTTGGAGCAGTGGCGCATCCTTTACGCTCTGAGACCTTGCGCGATTCGTTTGTGCGATAATGGTAGCTGTCGCTAAGACAACTGGAGATGGCCCATCAGAACGCGCAGTAGCCTACACCATCCTTTAGATCGGACAGGCTGTTGTGCCGTTCGACAAATGCTTGCGTTTCATTTCTGACTGATTTGGACAACGGGAACCACTGGAACTCATCGACCACGTCGCTGTCCCCCCGGACAAGCTTGAAGATACTGCGGATGGGCAACGACTTGCATGTACGACAGAGTGTCATATTTGCTATGAGAGTCGTAAAAGGATGTTGCGATGAGCGTGGTATGGAGTAGACGGCTGGTGCCTAGTGAGAATGCTTTGCGGGACTATGAGGTGACAGCGCGGTTAGTACGTGGGTATCGACTTCTCTCCATATGGTCATGTCTCGAGGTTAGCGACTGTCCAGGTGGTCTATTTGATTTGATGTGAGCTCTAAACTACACGATTGAGCCAGGCGCGATGTGTGCATCATGTGAAGATGCGAGGTGCTTGCTCCGATCGGAACCCAATTCCTAAGGCAAGATCGAAACTTCGCGCGCGCACATTCCTTGCTCCCTAGCCATCACATAATGCTCGTCCAAAATGGCTCAGAGACGAGAAGACTAATTATTCGCCTGTCTCACGCCCAATACGATAGTAACAACCTCTCAGTTCTGTTAAGAACGCTCGCATCTATCGATCAACAGGAGCCTTTGCTGCCTAGCGTTCGCTTCTCTAATTATCTTGGATATGTTTGTGATCGACGTTCTGCATTAACTTCTTAATAGCATAAGCTTCTAGAAGGCTTTTGCATTACTAATATCACCTCTAAACTTCGTCGCAAAGCAAACAAAGACATCACCCTTTGTCCGGTAAAGGTAGAAAGAGCTATATGCACGCCCCAGCTTCCTGTAGGTCTTACTATAGCCTCGCTTGTCAGTTCTGCTTAGGCTGTAGTGCTGTCTCATATCAGTGGTAAAGAAGACCTCTTAACAGACTGTTCAGTTTGAACTTCATACTAAGTTATATTTAATAATGAAAGAAACTATCTACTGATTGAGCTTTAGAGATATACTTAGGGAATCTAGTCTAAGCGCTGCTTAGACGTTGCGAATAGTGCGCTAAGTCTCGCAACTAAGGTATTATTGTGGAATTTACCGATTGGGCTTCAACTCGTCATAGGTGTTCGCGCAACTATAAGGCAGCGCGGCAGGCTCTAGCTGTTTAGCGATCGGGCAACTATAGGACGCGTCGCATAGTTGCAGCGATTTATGTGGAGAGGATCACTTTGGACCTCGCTTCTTATTTGCAGAGGTCGCAGCAAGCGCTGCACGTTGTGGTGGCGTGGTAGAGAGCGATTAAAGTGTGGGTGTGAAAGTGGTGTTCGCAAAAAATCACGCTTAGGCGAGCAAACGTTCGACGCGCGATCGTACCTAGCGCTCAAGTATCATTGGACGAAAGAACCCCACATCTATATCTTATTCAGCCTAGTGCCTACGAGCCAACATAAAAGCGACACGACCTGCATACAGTCCCATCACTGGCAAAATGCTGCCTTCAAGCCCACCTTCCAAACGCTCATCCATAGATATTCAAAATTTATACAATGCCATCGACTCCGCCACACCTGACCGCCTGCGTACTTTGTTGAAGAACCTGATTACTACGTCTCCTGCGAATTTCGAATCTATTCAAGGCGAATTAATGCTCCAGCATGGTGCGCTAAAAAGGGCCTGGTCAGAGAATGATAATGATGAAGATGATGAAGATGACGACGACGATAGTTCAGAGGATTCAGGACACGATAACGAGTCAGATAACTCTGACGGACAAACTGATGCGCCAGCAAACAGGCAGCGTTTCGAGATTTGCGAGCAGTGTAACGAGGAGTACGACGTTCTGCATAACAATAAGAAGAGCTGCCAATGGCATGAAGGTAAGCTACATCCATCATCCCTACTGAAATACGACCCAGATAGAGAGGTGTTACTAAGCTAATAATATTCAGGCGAACAAGAAGTAGACTGGGACGGCGACTTCTGGGCCGATCACGACGAGCGTTGTCATGGCACGATCGATACACCTGAAATGCGCAAGGAGCACCCCGAGGGTTTTGTGTGGGATTGCTGCGACGAACCGGGGGATGCAGCTGGGTGCAAGACGAGTAGACACCGACCAAATCGTGCGAAGAGGGTGCGGATATAGGAATCAGGACGCAAGTATGCAGTGCCATCAATCAGCACGGATCATGGAGGGGCTAGCTAATGGGAAGGGTACCCTATCCGAAATTCTCGCTATGCTTCTGCCCTCGAACATACATGAAAACGTTTTTCTACCCAGAACATGTTGACAGGCTTTCATCGTTCCTTGAAGCTGATGTGTGCTATAGCCCGTTCGCTTATAAGTTAATCTATGTTAGGTGATTTACTACTTCAATATAGAGACCGAGGTAGAGCATAAGAATGCGGGCCTTATCCACCTTATAAGAAAGTGGAGAACATTGCACGAGGCTGTCTACACTAACGTTAATGTTGAAATGATCATCTGTTAGAGCTCTATTAGGATAAGAAATGGCTACCCCCACTGGCCTTCCAGATCTTCATTCCTCAAGCAAGCCCGGTGGCAAGCTATGTAGTAATTCTATGTCTAATTGAGCTATATACCTTCCCTCCGACCCTTCAACAAATACAACTGTTAAAGATCCTTACGGCTTCAATCGCCCCACGACTGCCGTGCTCAGTATCGTGTAAGAAGATGTATTCATACTCAAGCTATTCCAGGCACGATCAGGGATGTCATACCCTAGCTCTCTTACCAGACGTAGAATACCACGCTACTTCGTCCGCTTATTGGTTTTATCGATGTCGATCTTATAAAACCTTACGCCCTCCTTTCATCTCTCGACACGACGTTATGCTTCTTCCCTTGCTACTTCCTCCAAGCAGTACGTTGAAACAAACGGCGTAGCAACGCGATTTCTCCAATTAAGGTGCCTTAGAATCTGCCGACGCAACTAGCAACTGCGGCTGCCGAAGTCTATCTCTGTAGCTCTATTCTCCGCAATTATTCCCCTGCCGGCCTTTGGTTTGGCAGGGAATCGTCATCCTCCACTCAGAACAAGATCTAATGCTCGATCATGTTACACTAAAATCGTTAGCCTCGTAGCGTGCAAAGTAATGTTAGCACGAAGGTAAAGGTAAGCTAAGCGCGGTACAACGTAACCCTTTTTGTATGCGAGTTGTACTACATGCTACGTGCAACTCCCGCTATAAAGAAGTTCCAGTAGCTTCTATGACTGTCCGTAACCAGTCACTTAATGCCCTACTAGTCACTTCTGCATGTCACGGGACGCCTGTGCGTGACTAGTTGTGTTGTGTAACAGCATTGCCTTACCGTCTACTAATATTCGAGCGACACAAAGCCAGGTAAGATGTGCTGCAGAATCCTCGTCTACGTAGCAAAGCACCTCAGTAAAATCTATCAAGATCGAGAAACTAGCATCGCCGGATATGTTACAGCTCAACCGAGGTGAATAGCTGGTTGTGAAATGTCCTATGTTGGTCCGGAAAGCATCAAATTTGGCCAAATGCTGTGACATGTCTTCGAATATCATCCCATACCCCGTCGTTGTTGTTGCTAGACAAGCCTATCTCCTCATGTGCCTTTTCCCTCGTTAGCCGAAAAAAACTCAACACTCGACGCGGAAACATACATCTTGCATAATGTGAAGGTTAAGATAACCTCTATTCAAGGGAGTGGAAGGTTAGCCTTTTGCTCCGCGACACGTAATCTCCGTGAATGTGTCTGAATCCAACAATATTATTGTTCTCTCCTAACTCTTTACGCGGTTGCTGTGCTCAGTCGAAGCATGCTGGATAGGAATAATGGAGAAAACTACCTATTCTCGTGCTGCTCTACAAAAGATGATATGCATAGCGAACTGAGTACAGAGGCCGCTGTTGCGTGGCAGCAGCTATTTGATCGATCATTCGGGCACACTGCTATTTTCAGAATACTAGTCGCCGGCAACGACAATTCGTGGTAGGAAAAATGGCTCTCCCACCGCACTTTAGCACCAGTTAAGCAAGCGAACTAATCTTCCTTGCTTTCTACAAACAACTACTGATGCTAATAGTCTTTCATGTGAACGGGCTGTAGAAACTTTACTCCAGCTACCTAGTCCAAACCCTATTTACAGTCGAGATGAAGAGAAGGACAGTAGTGTAGGCGGCCTCCTAATTGTTTGGGTTCGCGCACGGCCCACATGCTGCTAGGGAAAGAGTGGTGGAAGGAAGGAAGCGAGTAGCTAGCAGCCTAGTTATGTGACGCAGGGCTCAGCCCGTTACAGTGGTCCTCCTTGTCACACTCTCCATAAGCTGAACGTCCAAGACTCCCTACAACGCCGTACCAAAATGCACAAACAGGACATCTGAATCGTTCCGAACGTCAAAGAAGACTTTTGAGATATGTTCGTGCTGAAGGATATCTTGCAGCGTCTTCTGTTCGGTACCGGCGGTCTTAAACGCTTATGCGCCTATGCATATCGAGCAGGCAGAAGCTCCCGGTTGGGGTATCCATATCAATCAGGGGCGACGATGGAAAGAGAGCCCTCACGGTAAAGGTTTGTGCATTCGAGATCCATAAACAAAGTTGATGAGTGTATTTATTTATTTATTTATTCTAGATATAAAACGCAAACTGGGAGTATTATTAAAAAATAAGCTAGACTAAAAGGAGATAGTAATTGCTCTTTACTATTAGCATAAAAAAGCGTTAAAAAAGTATAAAATATATAATCTAGTATTAGTTAATAGTTCTAAGCAAGGCTAGTATAGGCACTACTAACTAATACCTAAACTTCTTAAAAATTATCTTAGGCATAATAATAACTACTCTGCTTTAAGCTAAGCTTAAAAGGCATAATTTTTATAGTATACTTAACTATAAAAAAGTAGTGCGCGCAGTTACGCATAAGTTAAGGATAGATTTTATATTAGTATCTAAGTACTATAGTCTTCTATCTCTTTATATCTTTATATTACTATTACTATTACTATTATTATAACTATTATTAAATATCTTATAATCTAATAAATATTAAGGTATATTCTCTTCTTAGTAACCTGCTGCTCTTTCTAATACTTAACCTTGCTAGATTACGTTATATTACCTTTAATACTATTAAAGCCTAATAGCTAATATATTATTAAGATTATATATTTAAGCTTATCTAGATACGTTAGCTTACTAGCTATATTTAAAGGCAGCTAGTAGATAGATAGCTATGCTACTACGTTATTAATATTATAAAATTAGTTCTATAAGTTAGTTATTAGCTTTCTTGCTACTAACTACCTTCTTATATAATATAACGTTAGTTATATTATACTATAAGGCAGTAGTAGCGTTATATACCTCTATATTATAGACGTAATTAAGGTATACTAGCTAGAATATGCGCTACTAAGTTACTCTATCTCTAGAAATAATTCTTATATAGATAAGAGAGCAATAAGTAAGCAGGCAGCTATGCTTATAGACTAAATAGCAGAGTGTTATATAGTAACAGATTCTTATAGCTATAAGAAGAATTTCTTTAAGAAGCTTTAGAAGCTAGCGAGCGTTAAATAGATAGCGATAATCCTAAGAGCAACGCATTTAATATAGCTGCTTTTTTATAAAGCACCTGCTGCTATAGGTGCTAAGTAAGGTAGCTTATTAGCAGCGAGCCTATCTATTAGATTGCAGAGTTCTAGAGTATTAGTATTTAATATTTAATGCTAGGACTTATATATAGAAAAGTTACTTAACGAGAGCAGAGGGGGCTGTTGCTGTATTACATTAGTAAGATTAACTAGAGTACAAAATATAGTCACAAAATATAGTTTACAAAATTAGTAGCCGAAGCTAACCTTAATGAGTGTATAACTGAAGGTGCATAGCGAACGACAATTCAGTCGAATAAATCACCGATTTGCTCTAGGTTATCAATAATCTTCGTCTTAATGTCCTTCATACTAAATACAAAGGTAATAACGCTACAAACAGGTATAAAGTCGAGATAATGCCCGACATCTCAACGACAGCCTGATTCATCTTTCTAATGCGCCTGCAGAGAATAACTCCAGGAATATTTGCAGTGTGTACGTGTTTGATAATAACTGGATGAAAGAATTTAGACCATATAACACCACAGCAACGATTAGTCAAATCGGGGGACGTCCATAGTACAAAGCTTGTGAGAGCTAGTGAGTCATGCGCATAAGGAAGAAGCCGATCATTTTACTGATGTTGTATTTGGTGAAGCTACGAACAGTATGTATACATAAGTGGCTGTAAACAACGCTAGTGCTAGATAGGTAGTCGCATCTCAACACATGTGAGGTCCACTACAAGTAGGGAAAGAGAAACTCTAAATTGTGACAAAGCCTCAGCCAAGCCGGAAAGGGCCTCACAACTTGTAGCTCTATCGTATATAAAGTTATTATATTTTCTGAAGTGGCGAGCCACCTGTGAGGTACGTTATAGGGTGTTGTTGGGTGGGGTGATCGCTAAGCTGAGGCGATCATTAACTCGACACGCACGGTATACTGATTGGTAGATCACGAACGACGTGCACGTCAGTCTAGCTGATACGAACTTCAGCCATGTTGTGGTCTTACCCCTCCTAAAACTCTTCAGCACACACCCTTCCAGCCACTATCCACCGCTGAAAAGTCTTTGGGAGCCTCCACAAGAGTTGAGAAACTGCGTCGACTTGGTCTCGATGCGTCTACTTCGCAACAATGATTATGGAGGTTTCAGCCTTACGGACCTCCATGGGAACAACGTTCCGCCTTACGCTATTTTGTCACATACTTGGGGACTTGATGCTGACGAAGTGAGCTTCGAAGACGTCGGAAACTACGCAGATGCGCTGTCAGTCCTAGCGAAGCCCGGCTATATCAAACTGCAATTTTGTGCTCGGCGAGTTGCTCAAGATGGATTGCAATACTTTTGGGTTGACACAGCATGCATCAATAAGCAAAGCGATCGGGAGCTCTCTGAAGCCATCAATTTCATGTACCACTGGTACCAGCGCGCAGCAAGATGTTACGTCTACTTATCCGACGTTGTGGCTAGCGATGGGTGGGAAAAGTTCCGCCAAAGCAGATGGTTCACTCGGGGCTGGACCCTGCAAGAACTGCTAGCTCCGAGGCGAGTCGATTTCTACGATGCGAACGGAAAACATCTTGGCGATAAGCATACGATCGCTGAGCAGATCAGCTATGCAACCAAAATACCACATGGCGCACTAACCGACCAACCTCTACACAATTTCAGCGTGGAGGAGCGACTAACCTGGGCGCAGCATCGCCGAACGAAGCGTGAGGAGGATGGCGCATATTCTCTGCTCGGTATCTTCGATGTCTCAATGCCACTTGTCTATGGAGAGGGTAAAGACAAGGCGTATTATAGGCTCCTGCACGAAATAGAATCGTCCGGCCACTGACAGATGTTTCGAAAGTACAGCCAGTACTTGCCGTCGGAAGATTTGCCTGATGTCGGAAAGGCCTTAGGGACGGAGCTAGCCCCTACGATCAGAATGGCCGACTCTACATTGTCTAGTTCAGATGCCAAGGGGAAGCAGATGGAACAAAATTGGGACGCTGACCGAAAAGAATGGATACAAATGCATTGGAGTTCCGAATATAATAGGCATTACCGAAAACAATATGTCGGAGGTATGTAATTTGTCTAGCTTGATCCCTATAGCAGCTAATATTCAGATAGACAGTTGGGTGTTTTTGGACTGGGTAGTCTAGATATGTTACGATGTAAGTCTCTCTTGATTTGTGGGCAAGCGCGACTTGCGACTTACCTTCAATGAGATGCAACTCTGTTCTGTACTAGCGCTGTCTCCAGCTGAGCGAGTGAGTAAGAAGCGATATAGAGAGGTTCAGGGCAGCGTTAGAGCTTGCATACACCAAAGGGCCACTTGAGGCGCAGCGTATAAAGGCAGAGCAAAGGCTAGGGAATGCCGTTGACCGGACAGTAGTCCTGGCGTTACTGGAGCGTCTCACGGTCCACTCGCACGGCGTCGAGACGGACTTCTGGGACCTTGACAGCTTCCACTACCTTTTCAGCCATCTAACCCTCCGCTATCTTTACATCTCTCGCGTATCTCTGATCGAAGACATCCTAGTGCTTTCAGCACATACCTCCAAAACACCTCTGACATCGACTCGCACTCGACGAGTGCGAGATTAGCCAAGAGGCTTTGCGCGCTATCTTGAATAAACCTGCGAAGCTGAAGCATATACGATAGTCCTTCAGAAAATTCTGTCCTAGGCGCTCGTCGGTTGAGTTATCGCGGATGCTCTCTCAAGGGACGCTGGGCACTAGGGCTGTCTTGCCGCTGAACAACAGCTCGACGGTCAACAACCGCCGGCTCTTCAATTTGAGCTATGCAACGGGCTTTTGCTAGATCCGATGCGGTTGAAGCCTCATGTACTTCATTTTCTTCTATTATGTCTTTTCTACTATTCCAGTAGCTCAGATCATACGGCGATTATAGCCTCGGCAGCGGCTACGTCTCTGTGTTGCGGCACTACCTCGCAAATTGTGAGGAACGGGACTAACGCCGCGAACGCGAAATGGCGGATTGGCGTAAGAATTTGTGACGATTAGATGATCTCCATCGCAGATTAATTACTTCTCGCCACCTAATAACATTAGCGCAGTTGTATGTGAGCACATAAAACCAATGCGACAAGCATGCCGAGTCGCTTGGTATATTTGTCTTCGCCTTTGGTAGACAGCACATTTTTTCACAGGACGCAACCCATCAAATTCCTCGCGACCCGACATCAACTATGCATTTTTCTAGTCTCCTCACAGGACTGTTGACCGTCGCCGCCGTGCAAGGGGCGGCGATAAGCGCAGACAACCAGCTTATCAAGCGTGCAGCTCTGACAGAGGTGCAAGACTTTGGCAGCAACCCGTCGGGGATCAAGATGTTTATCTACGTTCCTCAGAAGCTGCAAGCGAAGCCACCAGTCGTGCTGGTGCTTCATGCATGCGCATGGAACGCGAACAAGTTTTTCGCGACTACAAAATATGGTCAGCTCGCCGATCAGCACGGATATGTCCTCATCTATGGACAAACACCGACAGATGGTGCATGCTGGGACGTTTCCTCTAAGCAATCGTTGACTCACGATGGTGGCAGCGACAGCACGGGCCTGGCGAACATGGTGAGGTATGCATTAAAGAAGTACAGTGGTGATGCCAGTAAAGTGTATGTTACTGGCGAGTCCTCTGGGGCGATGATGACAGTAAGCCTTTCTCTCTTGTCCAGGTCGTTGATGCATCGCACTAAACTGTGGAACAGCAAGTGATGTCGGCTGTCTACCCCGACATCTTCGCAGCAGCATCCGAATTCAGTGGCGAACCGGCAGGTTGCTTCTTCACCGGCACTGTCAGAGGATGGAACAGCCAGTGCGCCGGCGGACAGCTCCACAAAACACCAGCGCAGTGGGCCGAACAGGTTCACGCCATGTATCCAGGCTACAGTGGCCAGTACCCAAGAATGCAGGTCTACCATGGTGATGTCGACAAGACACTGAACATCGCCAGTTTCAACGAGTCGATCAAGGAGTGGTCTGGTATCTTTGGATACTCGGGAAACCCGACTCAGACTCAGAATAACAATCCTGGTGCGAAGCTTACGAAGTACATCTATGGCGAACGGCTCCAGGGCATCTGGGGTCATGGCATCGGCCACGTTGTTCCTACCAATGAAACTGAGGCCTTGAAGTGGTTTGGAATCATTGTAAATGTTGCCTCTCAACTCGCACACGATGTAACTAACATACATTTAGTCCTAGCCATGAGCCCCGAACATTGGCATGAGCGCTTGAAGCGAAGGCTGGGGATACATGTAATCGCGGAGAGCAAGATCAGAGAACCCGTTTCAGCATGGATAAATGAATAAACGTATCGCGAAAAATAACATACTACGTCGTGGCTTTCGCGCAGTGTTTGCTTGGTTGTTTGATTGCAAAACCCTCAGCATTGCGTTGACACGAGGGCTCGCAGCGGACAGTAAGGCGTCGCGTCTGATCAAGCTAAGCTCTCCAGCCTGAACGGGATGGGAAGCTAAGTGCAACCAAGCTTTATATCTCGAAACGCTAGCCTTGTCGATCAGCTTCCTATGCTCTTAGGTTATCGAATAGAAATGACATCGCGAGTACTGTTCTCTTTTAATTCGCCGTCTATCTTAATATGTGATCAACTTCTTAAATTACTAAAGTTTAAATTAAACAAAGGCTAAATTTAAGATCACGCCTAAAAGAAGTAGATTAGTAAATACTATAAAGACATCTAAGAGATAACCTTCTAATATCTTTCAAAAGTCAAATTTTATTTTCTTTAAACTTCCTCTAAGTCTTATGAACGTAGACCTTTTTACTCTATACTAGCTCTCGGGACAGCGAAGGGGCTATAGCTAAATGTACCATGGGGGTCAGCCTTCTTGCGGATGCTCTGTAACTTCTTGAACGTCTCATCGTCGTAGTAGCACTTCCACACCTCTGGCTTCGACAGGTCCCAGTCTCCCCACGATCCCCAGAGGAGACGTCGATCCGTGTCGCTGTAATGCTTCTTCAGGCCCTCATCATTCTTCCTCTGCCACTCCTCAGCCTCGGGTCTGCTGCTCTTCGTATCCTCCGGCAGGTGAGGGCCAGGAACGGTGTAGAAGGCATCCCAGGTACCGCTGATGATGCTGTCGCGGTTGGCGATGGCCGTACCGTTCTTGGCAAGGCCGTTCTTGATGAACATGGAATTCTCGCCGCCATACATCTGTATCTGGGACGAGATCCAGAGACCAGGTTTCCCCTTGGGGTTCTCCTTGCTACCGATGATCTCACTCACGCGGCCTTGAAACCACTCGGACCAGTCAGGGCTCGTAAACTTCTTGGTCGTGTAGGTGCGCTTGATGTACGGAAAGTCAAACTCACGAGCCTTGTCGAGGAAGCCACTTAGTATAGATCTGAGACGCGGGCAATGGCGTTTTGCCTTCAAGATCTTTATTCAAAATGATTGGCTTCTCGGTGTCGTATGGAACTTTCTTGATCTCTTCAAAAAAGGATGGATCGTACGCGGGCTCGCCCTTGATGTTCAGGAATTGAGCCCAGCAAACGATCATGGCGTATTTGCCATCGAGTAATTTTTCCAAATTCTCTGGATGATCCACATGCCCTACAGCCTTTCTGAGCTGATCTTTCGTGCCGGGATACACAGCTACGAGATCTGCCGAGCGACTGGTGACGTTGACAGTGAAGTCGTAGCCGCGCGGAAGGTTCGGATCCTCGGCTTTGCGACGAAGAATGTCGAGCAGGGCTTTGTACGTGTTGTCGCGGTAGACAAAACCAATCCACAGGCCCTTCGAGCCCTCGTAGTCTTTGTCCTGCTGGACCTCGATTTTGTAGTGCGTAACAACTCCAAAGTTGCCAGGACTACCACCGCATATACCGAACGATAAGATGAGGCAGGCCCCCCATATATGAAGTTGCTGATTCCCAGCGGTCAGGATCACGTGACTTACGCCCAGGCCATCTCTCGTGCGACAGATACTCACAACAGTGGGTATTATCCACAACACTACTATTATTCCTACTACCATTTAAACCTACTACACGCTTAGATTTGAGCCTACCCCTTAAGGCTAGCTTCAGCTTAGGTTAGAGCTTATTTTGATATTGTTGTACCTACCAATGAGACTAAGGACTTTAAAGTGGTTTGGAATCACTGCAAGTGCCCCCTGGCAATGTCATGTACGCACGGTTTTTTAGCACGAATGCATCTCGGGCTGGGTCCTGTTTGGTACTTCGCATATCCCGAGCCCCACAATTCGTCGCGTCTAGACCTCCAAGATGGTCTTGGAAGAACATGGGTAAAGTCTTCAGCTGCTTGTATCGAGGCGAGTCAGGTAGCCACATGGTAGACTAAGTCTGAAAATGTATATCACACACTGCATCTACCAATTACATACTATCTGTCCCATCCAAAGAATAGCGGGACGACCGTATCAGGCAAGTCAGTCTTATCCTGCTAGGCTTTATGAATACAGTTGAGATATGTGTCAGTAATAGTCTATGCTCGAAATTATAGACTTGGGGTGCTTTTGTGCGCTTGGAGACGTGGACCATAAGTATACATATATGCTTTAATGCCCAGGACTAGTGCGACCAACGTGCTCTACACTCATCATGCGTATTTTGTACTTCACCACTCTTACGGCGATCGCTGTTGGCGGCAGCGCCAGTCCAACCCCACCATCGCCCCCCAAAAATTGCTACCTCCCCAAGCGACTCATCGGACTTGAGGAACATGTTGTTTCGCCCTCTCTTGAAGCCGAAGTCGTCGCATCTGGTATTGCTAATCGAAGTGCGCCTGGTATACTCGACAAGCTGAAAGATGTAGGTGCTGGTCGTATCACCGCCATGGACACTGGCATGCTGTCGCTTATGGTGCTTTCCCAGCAGTCTGCGTCCGGTCTGGATAACGTCGAAGGCTGTCGCAAAGCAAACGATGATGTCGCGTCTGCCATCGCGGCGTACCCAAAGCGATACGCTGGTTTTGCCAACATCCCCATGGCTCTTCCCGAAGACGCAGCCGCAGAACTTCAACGCGCCGTTGCAAAGCTTGGCTTCAAGGGCGCTATGATCTGGAACCATCTCAAAGACGGCAGTTACTACGACTCAGCGCGCTTTGACCCGGTTTTCGCCATGGCCGAGAAACTTGATGTTCCAATTTACCTCCATCCTGCTGCTCCTACGGCCGAACTAGCTTCGAAATTGTACGCTGGAAACTATCCCGCTACAAGAGCAGGGCGACTGGGCACCAACTCATGGGGCTGGCATGTCGATGTTGGAACACATGTGTTACGGCTGTACGGCGCTGGCCTTTTCGATCGCTTTCCGAAGCTCAAGCTCATCATTGGGCACAATGGAGAAGACCTACCCATGTTCATCGATCGAATCGACTCGACGGGACTGAGGAACGATACGACTTTCGATCGCGTCTGGAACACCAATATCTGGACTACCACGAGTGCTTTCTTTACCGTGCGCGCGTTCCAGCAGCTGAGACAAGTGACTTCCATCGAAAGGATCATGTACTCCGTGGACTATCCCTTCAGCAGCATGAGCGACGGATGGAAATTCATAGAGCAACTAGCCGAGAACAAGGTTTTGAGAAATGATGAGATGGACATGTTTGCATACAAGAATGCAGAAAGGCTCCTGAAGCTTTGATGAATGACAGAACGATAGAAGAGGAACATAGAAAACGCAAAGTGACGCCAAAAAATGTGAAAGCTTTCGGCGAGAACGCATAATCAGCTCCCACTACTTTCACCATTCAATGCCTTCCACTGAAACCCATCGCTCCTAGACCACCTTGATGGCCCTTTGCCATCGTAGTGGCAGTCTAGTAAGAGTGTGTTGAAGCCGTCTCCGGCATAGTAAGTTGGTCGTTGTTTTGGCATGGTCACCCATTCTTGCCGCTCCATGTCGAACCCTGCACCAGCCCACGGGAGCTTCTTCCAAACTTGTTCTGTGGTGATCTTGACTCTCGGTGTTTTGCTTCCATACGGGCGACGACTCCAGTCGTTCTGAGCGATCCATTGCCTCTCTTGTTCATGCGCATCCGGATCTTGTTCCACAGATAGGCCTTCGAGGAAGAATTGTATGCGTGCGCTGCACCCTCGCGTCATGCGGCTTTCGACAAGATCCCATAGCATGCCCAAAGTAACGAATTCCCGACTTTGATCCTGATGGCCCCAGCCGCCACTGCTACCATTGAAGATTCGACGCGCAAACCAAGATCCGGCAATCCCAGATCGATCGTGAGCCCACTCGTGCCACCAGTCGATGCGAGATATGGGCGGTTGAGAGACGAGCATCTTGCGCCACGAAGCTTCTCGCCGAGCAAATGCGCGACGCGTAGGCGCATGCATAGATGTGTTACGTGCCCAGGGCAATGAGGTAAGGTCTTCTGTGCGTGCAAAGCTGGCTCGTGATGGTACATGTTCCGTAGTCGGTCCCGCAACTAGCACTGGTGCAAAGTATGCTAGCATCGGATTGAGCACGCGTTCGACGCCTTCCTTCTCTTTGACGGGTTCTAGGAAGAGGTGCTGTTGGAGTAATGCGGAGCGCTTGATAGCCTCCTTCCAAGTCCGACAGACCATGGAGCAGTTGAGTAGTGCGCTGGTGGAGCATTGGTTCAGAAAGATTTCGACAAGCTCAGTAATGTTGAAGAACGTGTTACAGGCCTCGAAAGATGTGGCACGTGGCTGAGAGCTACGGGACGACATATGAAATATCGGATAAAATACTGTCTTGCTGCGATGCGGTGAAGGCAGCAAAAGATTGTGGGCGAAGGAGCAGAGTTGAAGCGGAAGAAGTAATTGACAGTTTGAGGATCAGAGGGTGTGCCTGCAGTAACTGCTTCTTAATTGCGCGAAACAGTCAAATACGGACAAGGCAAACGTCGCGCTATTGCTTGAGGCGTGCGATGAGGCTGTGCGGGCAACGAGATCATCGAAAGCAGGACTGGTGGAGCTTGGAGGCGCTGAAGCCGCGCACGCTGGTCGCCTGAATCTGGTCCGCGATGGCTGGCTGGTTGCCTCCCCGCTAGGTCGAAGATCGCGCACATGAGGCCACCAGAGCAATACCAGAAATAACACCAGAATACGATTTTATGTACAGAAACGAGATCGGCCAATTAATGTGCTTTTGCTCCGCATGCTGGCTGAAGAACCTAGGGATGCATCGGCCCGAGAGCCAGTTCACGACTTCCGCGCACCTAACAACAGAGCCTCATTCCTTGTCTATCGCCTCGTCCACTTCAACTTCACTTCCCTCGGCTTATTTATCTGCAGCGTCAACACGGGCTGACTATCCTGCAAAAGGCCCAACAGCCTCTCTCTAGCCTGCTTCACAGTCTGTCCTTTCTCAGCCACCGGCTCAACGCTGCACTTCCCAAACAGCGTCATGACGACCGACACGAACTCTACTTGAGACATTTTCTGGCCGGGACAATTGCGCGGGCCGCTGGACCAGGGCATGAAAGTACCTCGAGGCGGCACATACATTGAGTCCTGGCCTTCTGGAAACCAACGCGCGGGCTTGAAGTCGAGGGTGTCTGCTCCCCAGGTTGAGCGCGAGGTATGCAGGGCCATGATGTTGACGTGGACGGCGCATGGGGCTTGGAGAATGAACGAGTCGGATTTGGAACTTGATGGAAAGATTGTCTGGTTTGTTTCGACGGTGCGGATCAACAAGCTTACGGCAGGGTACACGCGCAGGGTTTCGAACATGACGGCCAGACATCGCGTCAACTTTGGAAAGATGGCCGTGTAATCTTCCAGCGATATCTGTTCATGATCCCCAGCCCCAAGCACAACATCGATCTCAGCTTGTATCCAAGCTTGCCATTCCGGGTAGGCTGCCAGGAGGCAGATTGCGTAAGACATTGTGTTTGACGTCGTGTCGAAGCCCGCGGCAGTAAAGATGAAGAGGTTTCCCGCGATCTCTTCTTCCGTGAGATATTGTTTGTTACCGCCAGTCGCAACAGACTTGCCGGATGAGCCCTGGTCATCGTCTTGCTCCCTACCTTGGTCCGAGAGGCGCACGAGCGTTGTCATAATGGTGTTTTGAAATTCCTTGGAATCAGCGGAGGAAATTCTCTTACGCTCTTGGTCGAGCATATCCACTGTGAGGTCCGGTAGCTTCACCATCGCTTGGCCTAGCTTCTTGGAGAGCTGTGGCATGAAAGGCAGTCGTAGGATTCCCGCGGGAATAAAGGCAGCAACAAGGAGTAGGTCGACGACCAACGCAATACCATCGACGTATGTCAAAGCCTTGGTAGCATCGCGATAGGAGGATGCAATGGAAAATGGCGTATGCCTGCCATATGCGACACGGGTCAGAACATTGATGGCAATCGCACGGAGGCCTGGAAGAGAATCCGAGGACTTGTCGGCTGCAGGAGACGTAGACAGTGTCATGGATTGAGATAAGGTCGAGGAAGAGAGTACATGATCAACGAGAGCTGATGCTTGCTGTACACCCTCTTTCCACACGTCTAGGCTGATCCGTTCGTTGAAGGTGGGAGCGATAATGCGGCGCTGCCTCGACCAGGACTCGTCTCTAGACTAGTGTTTTTCAGTGACTTTCTCATTCAAGAACTTGGTTAACCGCGCTTGAAATTCCGAATATCGAAAGGAATTCGAGAGGACAAGCATCGGCCAAAAGTGCCATCTTACCGTCACGAGATTTGGACCCAACACGCCCATGGTCTTTTTAGAGAGCTCTGGGTGATGAAAGTCCTTCCGTCTGGCTAACACTGACTGCGACATGGCTGGATCGGCACAAACGAGACGGTTGTGTCCAGTAGTGACCATGATAAAAGCATCCCCGAACTTTTCATGCGCAGCGCCTTTGTCGTGGAACTCCCAGCCCCAGCACGTCGCGTCGAAAACTGCGAAGATAGAAGCGGGAAGTATGGGTTTCAGTAAAGGCCGTAAAGGCTCGGAGATGAATGTGAATACAACCTGGAAAGAACGTGTAAGCTCAGAATATGTGCAACCATCAAATGGCCAGACCCAAGCGATTCAATGGTATCATATACTTCGAGGAGTATACGAGATGATAGGACTAACGCTGTCGGGATCATACGGGCATATGATAATGGGAAGACCAGTCGCACGAGCTGCATTGTAATTTCGGATGAAGATGCGCAGGTGAGACATAATCCATATTAGCAGAATGGCAACGATGCCGATAAGAAGGAGTCCCATCATCTCTCCGGGCGACCGGTTTCTGTCAAGAAGCGTTGATCGTGAGGCTATGCTGCTTCAGGAGTGATGAAAGGAAAAGCTTAAGTGACCGAGATGCCAGCAGGCACTGCAGAAATATATATTCATACATGATCATGTAGTCTTACGACGGATATTCGGTGTTCAAATGTGCAGATCAAGTTGTTTCCCCTAGGTCGGCGCTCAAGCGCCCATTTTTGCACCGGCTGTCCGTCATCCGGGTGAGCCCATTGTTAAAATCTGCCATTTCTGCACTAGCCTTCCCTGCGCACCTACCCATCCCCACACTTGACTCGTGTAATCGCATGCCAGAAAAATCGTACCATCCGGAAGCCAAGCTACCGGTACACCAAAAGCTGTGCGTTCTTGGCACCACAGCGCTCGTCGCAATTGTAAGCAGCATCAAAGCTGTTTTTCGTCTTCTTTCAATGGATACACCTTCACCGCTTCATTTGCCTTGATGATGGCTTCCCTCGCGCCCTCCCACGTCCGCCTCTTTCCTGTCTCAAAATAGCGGAACGCATGCGCTGTTTCAACTCCATTGTTCATGAGCAACGACATCTTTGGATCATGGATGAAGAATTTCCACCCCTTCCATCTGTAGCCAAGGTTCTCCATGCCCGTGCCGGCAGCATCGTGCAGGAATTGTTGGAACTCCCATGTCTTGACGGCCGAGGCATTGAAACCAAGCGGTTCCGCGCGAAACCGTGACGCGAGCCATGAGTGATGGGCATTAATCCATGCATTCATGGAGTCCCGTGATGGCAGAGGATGCACGCCTCGAAAGATGTTGGAGATGGCCATGGATTGCACATCGTTGAAGGAGAAGCCGTTGTTCTTGCCGTATGCCGAGTGGCAGAGAAGCGCCATGGAGTCGACGTATTGAGGCGGGAAGATATTCATCCATAATCGCACCAGTTCGGGGCCTTGATAGTCTGGCGGGCGAGACTTTTCGGGAAATGGCGCGACTTCGAGGTCTGCACTGTATCCTGTTGCGCAGATCACAGCTTCGACATCGTCCAGGACAGTGCCGTCGTTGAACTCAACCGAACGAGAGCTTAGAAAACGCCTGATACCGTGCATCGACACAATCTTGCCTTCCTTGAGTAATGGTACTATGCTGTTGGAAGCACCAGGCAGCGACAAGGCGATTGAAGGAGCGGGAGTTATCCTCCATGCGGGATCGAGCTTTCCCCAATGGTTACTCATGAACCATGCGAGTCCTTTATCTGTACACCACTGATAAAGTCCTGGAAGGTGGCGCTGAAAGAATGCGACGATCTGTCGGCGCCTCCATGTCACGTTCAGGTCGCCCGGTACGCCTTTGCGCCATGTTGGAAAGATGTATCCGCCCCGGCGATGCGACATGTAGACTTTTGGGGTGACTGTCAAGAGACTGTTTATGATATCGGAGGCAGTACTTGACATGCCGACGACGACAATGTTCTTGTCCTCTAGTCCGCAGGCGCTGTTCATGTCATGTCAACGGTGCTGATCACTCACTAATGTAATTCACTTACTTCCTGTACTGTTGGGCGTGGATTAGTCATCCTGTGAAAAATTCTTGGCCTTCAAATTGCGGCATCGAAGGCTTGGTCTGGTAGCCATGGCAGAACACTACCTTGTCGAACTCCTCTATGCGCTCTTCTCCACTGATAAGTATTTCGAGTCGCCGTCGCGTGTCATCCTCGTTGCGGACTGTGCGAGTCACTGTGGCGTTGAATGTGATGTCTTGAAGAAGATCAAAGTGTTTTGCATACGATTCGATGTACTCCTGGAACTGGTCTGTTGAGAGGTGACTTGGGTATTCTGTCTTGTTCCAGTACACGCAAGTTAAACTAATGGCGAACACCTACTGTCGGGCATGGAAAAATCTGTCATGCCGCATGTGTGTTTGCTAATCAAGGCTCTTGTAGCTGGCGTGTGTCAGCCGTCACGGGTCGGAGTTCCTTGCGTATTTGTTGACATACTTTTGAGGGCGCTGGTCATCGAAGGATCATCGGTATATGCCCAAAGACCACCAACACGTTCTCTGCGCTCGAAGCCCGTCACGCGAAACCCATCTTCGCGCAACGTCTTCAGTGTGGAAAGACCGCACGTCCCTATCATTGTTAGTTATCGAGAAGAAGTAATGCATCAAAAAGTCGATAACATGCCAGCGCCGATCACTGCAGCCGTCTGCTGTGCCATCTTGGAGGTACTGTGGGGTAAATTGCGAAGCATGCGACAAGGTGGTAATAAATAGCAGAGGCAAGGAAACATTTATGTGCTGTAACGTTACGGAACACTGAACATTGCGTGGACTCGTGATTTCAGGCTGTTTGAAGTTACGCCCTGCACCAGTGCGCAGTGTGCACCATATCATAGCGCTGATGTGAGCATACTGTGCCACTTCAAAACACCATAGACTAAGATAATCTAGTCTATGCTGGCTGAAGATCGTGGCTTCTTAAGAAAGACAGGCGCCAATAATGTGCGAGAAGTGGCGGTTTTAGGCAGCCACACCACGCACTTAAATATTCCCGGTTCACCAACCACTTACATCCGTCTGCAATCGACCTATCATCAACCAGTACCTATCGAATGCTCCCGTGTGTAAAGCGCTCACGTCCGTTCCCAAATCAATCTCAACGCCAAAAATGCTGGACCTCCAAACCCGCCGCAAAATCTGCGAAGACACAATCACGCGCTCCGCCTCAATCGCCTCATCAACACCAGGCGGCTCCCTCTCCTCCCACTTCATCCCTTCTCAACTCCCACCCCTTTCCAAATCGCATGCCAACTATCCAAACCTCACCCTCGCACCCATCACAGTGCACAACTCGGACACATTCGCCCTCGCCCGCACGCTCCCACCTGGCAGCAAAACCGCCGTCCTCAACCTCGCAAGCAACTACGAGCCCGGTGGCGGCTGGCGCTACACGCTGTCCGCGACGCAGGAAGAAGCGCTGTGTTATTCGTCGACGCTGTACGCTACGTTGAAGGCGGAATGGTATCCGTGGGCGAACTTGGGGGTGGAGTCGTGTAAGGGCATTTACTCGCCTGGCGTCGTAGTATTCAAAGATACGTTAGAGAACAACTGCGTTTACTTACCTGAGCCGCATGTACTTGGTGTGATTACCGTTGCGGCGCCGTGCCAGCCCGCACTCACGCCGGATGGACAAGGCTTTGCGAATGAGACAGATCTGAACGATTTAAGGGAGAGGATCTTACTGATTTTGCGCATGGCGGCGGAGAATGGGGCAAGGAGTCTTGTGCTGGGGGCGATGGGGTGTGGGGCTTATGGGTGCCCGCCGGAGTTAGTGGCGAGGGAGATGAAGGGGATGATTGAACAGCAGGAATTTGAGGGGTGGTTCGAGAGGATTGTGTTTGCAGTTTACGCGGCTGGAAGGGTGGGAAAAGGAAATTTAGAGGTGTTCAAGGAGGTTTTTCGGTAGGGTTGGGGAGGAGGGTGGATGGAGAGATTGAGATAGGCGCGGAGTGTGAGGGTTTGGACGTGCTAGTATGCATTGAGATTGAAGGAAAACATTTATACGATTGCAATAGTACTTATCATGCTATAAGAGCGTGGCTAAGGAATATACTACTGCCCCAAATGAGACATGGAGGATGAGATTACTACAAAGTGTATCGAACTCCGCTTGCGACTATTCGGCTGCTGACGCCAAGAACCTTAGATGACCGTTCACCTACTCATAATTTCTAGGTGGCTGAAAGGATTGCTTGGCATTGGCCTAGGATAGGCAAATGGTTGTATCTCAGCGCATCTTTTTCTCCGTGGCTTCATCCGTCGCTGACACAACTGCAACGGACGAGGTTCGTCCGCTCCTGGTGGGGCATGCAGCAATAATCTTGCTGGTGTAATCAACCGCACCACTGTGGTCAAAGCACCGATAAGATCACTAATACCGCATTGAAGGATATAAGAACGACTTGTCGCAAGCTCATCATAACCACACAACTCACCACTTGCCTCTCCCACCATATACTATGTCTGACCTCGTCTTCATCACAGGCGGCTCCGGCCACATCGGCTGCCGCGTAATTATCTCAGCTCTGCAAGCAGGGTATTCTGTCCGCGCTGCCGTCCGCAGCTCGTCAAAAGCCACCTTGATCCTCGCCACGCCATCTATTCAGGCTCTGAACCCCGAATCCAAGCTCACCTTCGTCATTGTCCCCGACCTGCTCGTCGATGGTGCATACGACGACGCCATTAAAGGCGCAGCGTACGCGATACACGTCGCATCGCCATTAGCCACTCCGCTTGAAGAGGGCGAGAATTACCATACGAAGTTGATTCAGCCTGCAGTCAAGGGCACAGTGAACATGCTCGAGGCCGCGAAGAAATATGGAGGCGTGAAACGGGTGGTGATTACTTCATCTGTTGGTGGTATCGCGTTCTGGAAGGATCTTCACGAATGGCCTGCTGAGACAGTTGTTACTGAGAAAACAAGAGCGAAGAACATCCCGGAGCCGTATACGATGGACGTGGAGGCGTACAGTGCTGGCAAGATCGCAGCGCTGAATGAGACGGAGGCGTGGATGAAGCGCGAGAAGGGGAATATTTCATTCGATGTGGTCAACATCTTCCCGTCATTTGTGTTGGGTAGGGACGAATTGGCTACGAGTCCAACAGAAGCGCTGAAAGGCACGAATTTGCTTGTTCTCGGGCCAGTACTTGGAGAAAAGGTAGATCTCCCATTGGTGGGGAGTTCGGTCGATGTAAGAGATGTTGCACTTGCGCATGTCAAGGCTCTAGATCCAAAGGTGCCCGGCAACCAGGGGTATCTGCTGACGGCTGGAGGTCTTGAGGGAAGGCCCCTGGAAGATGTGTTTGAGATTGTTGCGCGAAATTTTCCTGATGCTGTCAAGGCTGGGGTTTTGCCAAACAACGGCAGAATCGCGAGCAAGCCGCGGAAGTTTGATGCGGCGGCTTCTGAGAAAGCGCTGGGCATGAAGTACATTGACTTCGAGGAGCAGGTGAAGGATGTAATCGGGCATTATATTGAGTTGGTTGCGGCGGCGAAGAAAAATTCTGCATGAACCTATAGCGTGGGTAGCTCAAATCGTATAGACCTCGACAGTTCTGCAGCCCAAACCACATGATCAGTCATTCCTACGTGGGCGGTATCAGATACCCTTCTCGTCGAAGTACTCAGCTCTACTAGGTTTCCAGCGCGAAGTCAAAGTTCCTGCTGAGTAAACGGTAAGGCGGCGAACTTGTTCTGCTGTAAGATTCAAGTTGCAGTCCATCCAGGATGACCATGTCAAGCAAGCAGCCGATACATCCAAACTTCGTCAAACCCCAACGATACTCCTCGCCTCGTTCCAGCGTTCTTCAAAACACGCAAGGCGTACAGGATCTGCTGAGCGGAAAGTAGCGGAGTGATTCGGTCAGACGCGTACACGTTCGGAGTTGTGGAGAATCTAGATTGTGTTGTTGGCAAGGAAGGCCTGAACTAAACATCTGCTTCGCGAGTCGGAGACCGGAGGAAAGGCTGTAGATCGACTGATTTTGTGTGCTGCTCTACCGATTCTTTACATTTCGCAGGTCGAAATTGTGAATTTGCTCATACTCAGAAATGAAGTCTTGTTGTCCCAAGCGACTCCAGCAACGCGGATCCGAGCATAACATTATTGAGGGTATAATTCTGTCGAGGTCTTTGAGCAGGCGTAGTCTAATAATGACATCGCATGGAGCTATTGTTATCGAATTCGCAAAGCTTTCTAGGGGCAGACGCACTTAGTCATCCCCAGATGTGTCCATTGGCTGTAGCAGCGAACATAAGCGCCCGCGTCTCCTTTCGTCCAAGTCACTCTCCACATCCCCATCAAACGCGAACGCGTCGAGCGGGAAGGCATCCGGTGACGTTATGGCAGCGCTTCTTGAGACAGAAGCAATAGAAATGATTCCAATCTGGGCAACGGCATGCCGCGTTGGTTGATCGTTGCAGGGCGCCCATGCAGCATATTGTATGCACTGCTTTACAACTGACGGCCAAAATTTGTCGGTGTTGGTGGTGATTGACTTCGGTCAACGATGGAGCTACTCGATGGGTCCAACGTCAGCCACTGCATGGCTCCTGCATGCTTGCTTGGATGCTGTACATCCTGAAGTCCTCGATAGGTCGCTTGCGCAGGCTTCTCGCGTGCGCTGCAGGGATGAAGAAGCAGGGTGAAGGCACAAATTGCGATAGCAGTGCCTGGGGAAGGGTGTTGGGGGCAGAATTAGTGCGCTGCACAATGCGCCCCTCCTCTGACGATGTTTCTGGATGCCCACCAACGGCGGGTAGGCTTCGGAGCAGAAACCAGCGCATAGGTCGGACCCTCAAATGAGGTTGGGGTACGTTGCCTATAAGATTCGAAACAAGGTTCGGCGGGCCAGTGATAGAAAAGGGCAGGCCCAGCGCTTGCGCGGAAGCATTTGTTGGACGTCTTGAATCCTACCTGGTGGAGCTGACACGGCGCCGCAGTATTGCCAGATATTCTGGCCATTTCGCAGCTTCGTCGTCGTGCTTGCCTTGCCGTCTACACTCGCTTGACCGTCTCATTGGCTCATTTTCTGATTATTGGTAGACGCTACACCGACGCTGGTGTGTTGTTTGGAAGGTGTCAATCCGCTGATAGAGAATCCCGGCTCTACCGCTTGCCGACAAGCCCGCTGCCGCTGCCGCTGGGAGCCCCTCCGACACCTGGAGCCGTCTGAAACACGCTCGACCCGCCGCCTTTTCTCGTGGAGCTCACCTACAGCGCCTCGTCCGCCTGCGCTTTGGAGTGCCATCGTCTCCAGGAGTAGTTCCTCACACAGAGCGCCTTTTCCTTGCAGCCTGCAGCCTGCAGCCTCGGTCGCGTCTACCGCCTGCACGTGTGGCCTAACTGCATTTCCATACTCCGTACATCGATACCTGGACTGCATCTGCCTTGCTTGGCCGCCAACAACGTCACCTGCTGCCCGTCTCGACCCCGAGCTCTCTCCAGCAGCCATCGCTCCTTCCAAAAGTGGCCAGCATTCTTCGGCTGACGGCAGCGAACCACGCAGCCGGGACCAAGCTTCGTCGACGTGCAACCTCGCAGCGAGAAACCCCTCATTCTTCCAGCGCCCCACGAACACAGAGCGCTCGGCCGCCGTTGCCTGACTCGTCACATATTCGCTGCACCAACTCTCCCAACGGGAGCCCTTCACCCGCACATCACGACACCAGCGGGCGACAGCTGCTGCACCATCGAGTGGCAGCCAAGGCATCGCACGTGAGAGGCAGAGCAGCAGATGCAAACCACCGCCAACGAGCAAACCTCGAGTCCGCCGCCCAACATGTCCCAAGCAGTGCCCCTCCTTCGCCCACCCGTCCCAGGCGGCCGCTCCCAGGGCGGTGGCCGCACAGCACCGCGTCTGGGCCTCTCCATCCCGGCCTCGCCAAATGCGAGGCCAGTAACCAACGGCACAAATGAAGTCCAGCCGAGCTTATCGCGGCCCATGCCGCCAGCTCTCCGCCTCGCCACGCCCATGGGCTCCAACACCACACCACAAGAAGGCCGACGAGCCCTGCCACCACTGCGAATCGGTACCGGGTCGTCAGCAGGGGGTTCGAGTGATGCGAGCGCTGATTCGAGGTCGGGCAGCATGGGCGAGATGCAGGCAAATGGGTCGGCATCGTCATATCAGGCCACGCTAGGATTCCCAGGTCTGCAGACGGGTACCGATCCCATCTCTGCGATATCACAAGGAGGAAGCGAAGGTGCCCCGTCAATGGAGCGGGAGAACAGCAGCCAGCCACTGCCAGATCTAGACGCCATGGCTGCTGACCTTGGACGGCCGCTGGAAGTCGACGATCTAGACGAGGCCGGATGGAAAGCCGCAAGTGGACGGGGGATGATAGAAGAGCTGGGAAGCCTGGGTGAGGGTGCCGGCGGTGCTGTAACGAAGAGCAGACTCAAGGGCGGGAAGACCACTTTTGCGCTCAAGGTGCGTACAGTCCATCTTTCATAAAGATCGGCAACTAACAACTCCGCAGATCATCACCACGGACCCCAACCCCGAGGTCAAGAAGCAGATCGTACGAGAACTGTCATTCAACAAGAACTGCGCGAGCGAACACATCTGCAAATACTACGGAGCCTTTGTCGACGACAGCACTGGTACCATTAGCATCGCCATGGAGTTCTGCGAGGGCGGCTCACTCGACGCCGTGTACCGCGAAGTCAAGAAACTGGGCGGTCGCACCGGCGAAAAGGTTCTCGGCAAAGTGGCCGAGGGCGTGCTCAATGGTCTCACATATCTACATTCCCACCGCATTATTCACCGAGACATCAAGCCAAGCAACATTCTCCTTTGCCGGAATGGTCAAGTCAAGCTTTGCGATTTCGGTGTGTCTGGAGAGTTTGGAACCAAAGGCGACGCCAACACATTCATTGGCACATCGTACTACATGGCACCCGAGCGCATCACTGGACAGAGCTACACCATCACAAGTGATGTGTGGAGCTTGGGTGTGACTCTACTTGAAGTTGCACAGCATCGATTCCCATTCCCGGCGGACGGCACGGAGATGCAACCCCGTGCTGGTCTCATCGATCTGCTCACATACATTGTTCGACAACCAATCCCGAAACTCAAGGATGAGCCCGAAGCTGGTATCAAGTGGACAGAGAATTTCAAATACTTCATCGAGTGCTGGTATGTATTGCTTTTGACGATAGTGATGAGGCTAGACTAACAGTTCACAGTCTCGAGAAAGAATGCCCGCGGAGAGCGACACCATGGCGTATGCTCGAACACCCTTGGATGGTGGAGATGAAGTCAAAGAAAGTCAACATGGCACATTTCCTCAAGCAGGTGTGGGACTGGCAAGACTAAGAGCAACTTCGCTCTTTGTGCGTTCGATTCGACTCTCTTCAAATTCTCTTGTTGACCTTGACTTTACTATCGATACCTAGGGCTAAGTGCTGGGCATTAGACCGTGGCTGGGGATATTTCGCAAATACCTGGCATTCCTGGGGAAGAGACATGGTGGATTGGTGGGCATACATTGCTGATTACGACATTGGGGTTTTGGATGCTTCCTCTGAACAATGGTCAGTTGGTACAGGCTGGTTGCTACGTCTCGATGAAATTAGCATCACAGGCATTGGCAGGCGTTAGATTCTCTTGGGCTTCACATTGCATGTAGCGATGTATATCCGCACACAATACCTTGCAATATCAAAACACTTAGACATGATGAAGACGTCTCTTCCCGACATGATTGATTATAAGCGCTTGGACTCCTGTGACGTTACGCGTCGCGTGTGAATGAACACCCACTAGCGCCAAAAGTGCAGCGGCTGATTCTCGGAGCATGCCACTTGCCGTCGTTCAGAGTCATCACAAATTATTTGCGCCTCAGCTCAGCAACGCACTCTTTAACACCGCCGCTAGCGAAAGCTCGAAGAAGCTCCCCTTCGCTTGACTCCCCGCGACCATCCTAGAGAAGTATCCTCGACTACCACTGCGACCGCGCACCGCGCACACAACCCCGCCATTTACCCCACCATATAACATTTCGAAGTTCGAGGCCGCTCAGCGCAACCACCACGCAAAATGCCCACTATCGGGGTCGACAAGGCAGCGCTCTTCAAAGAGCTCGGCCGCGAGTACACAACGGAAGAGTTCGACGAGCTATGTTTCGAATTCGGAATCGAACTGGATGAGGACACAAGTCAGAGCACCAAGCCTGAGGATCTGGCACAACCTCCGCAGCTCAAGATCGAGATCCCCGCCAACCGATATGACATGCTGTGCTTCGAGGGCATTGCCATGAACCTGAAGGTCTTCTTGGAACAACAAAAGCTGCCAAAGTGGAGCTTGACGGCGCCAAAGGACGGGGAGCTGCAGGTGCTGGACATCAAGAAGGAGACGGAGCAGATACGGCCGCTGTGCTCGGGTGTCATTCTGAGGAACATCGAGTTTACACAAGAGCGATATGACTCGTTCATTGCGCTACAAGACAAGCTGCACGCGAATTTGGCGCGCAACCGGACGCTGGTGTCGATTGGAACACATGATCTGGACACGATAAAGGGCCCCTTCTCATACGAGGCGCTTGCACCGGAGCAGATTGAGTTCATCCCTCTGAACCAGACCAAGAAGATGAACGGCAAGGAGCTCATGGAGTTTTACGACGTAAGAAAGACAGGACAACCGGGCTTCGATTGTGCCAGGCTAACACGGCGCAGAAAGACAAGCATCTCGGTCGCTTCCTCCACATCATTCGCGATTCGCCAGTCTACCCCGTCATCTACGACTCGAACCGCACCGTCCTCTCGCTCCCGCCCATCATCAACGGCGACCACAGCAAGATCACTCTCAACACCAAGAACGTCCTCATCGAGATCACTGCGCTGGACAAGACAAAGGTCGAGATCGTGAACCACATGCTCGTAGCCATGTTCGCAGGCTATGCAGAGTCAATAGAGGCGCTCAAGATCAACTCTCCGCACAACAACGAGTCAAGAGAAGCGCCCGATCTCTCACCACGCGAGATGCAAGCCGAAGTCGATTACCTCAACCAAGTCACCGGCCTGAGCCTCCAGCCCGAAGAAATCTCAAAACTCCTGTCCAAAATGGGCCACGACGTCAAGCCCTCCACCTCCGACCCCAACATCCTCGACGTCTCCGTGCCCGTAACGCGCGCAGACATCCTCCACCAAGCAGACATCATGGAAGACTACGCTATCGCCTACGGCTTCAATAAGCTGCCTCGCGTATACCCCAACAAAACCGCCGCTGTCTCCGCCCCGCTGCCCATCAACAAGCTCGCTGATATCGTGCGGCTCGAATCCGCCGCCGCAGGCTGGACGGAAGTCATGCCGCTGATCCTGTGCTCGCACGAAGAAAACTTTGAATGGTTGAACCGCGTCGACGACGGCAAGACCGCTGTCAAGCTGGCGAATCCCAAGACAGCAGAGTACCAGCTTGTTCGCACGAGTTTGCTACCCGGCCTGCTGAAGACGATCAACAGCAACAAGCATCACGCCGTGCCGATGAAAATCTTCGAGGTGAGTGACGTGGGATTCATTGATTTGGAGCAGGAGCGTAAGAGCCGGAACGAGAGACATTTCGCGGCCGCGATTATGGGCAAGACGAGTGGGTTCGAACAGGTTCATGGGCTGTTGGATAGGGTTATGTTGATGCTAAGGAGCGCGTTCATTACGCGCGAGGATGGCATGAAGAATGATAAGCTTGAGGGGTATTGGATTGAGGAGGTCGATGGTAAGTCGAACTCTGCATACGACGAGATAAATGCTAACATGATGGCAGATCCGACCTTCTTGCCCGGTCACGCGGCCGCCATCAAACTCAACCTCGGCGGCAAGAACCACACGATTGGTGTTTTTGGCATTCTGCATCCGAGTGTGTTGGGCAAGTTTGAGTTGCCGTAAGTTCATTCCTCCGTACACGAAAGTATATCACTAACTGTTATCAGATACCCGGTCAGCACGGTCGAAATCAACCTCGAGGTCTTCTTGTAGAGTAAGTGGACACGCAGAGGTTCAGCAACAGGGAAGTGATGAAGGAACACGCGTAAAGCGTACGGCATAGATGAATGAATGATGTATACATGCCAGCGAGATCTCTTTAACATGAATCGACCGACATACTGCAAGTGACTTTGTTAGATGATAGGAAACGATCGACTAGTGACATACACTTTTCCAGTGTGATAATTCCTCCGACCAATGTGATATACTAAAGTAGACGTACAATTACTTGCCTGCTAGCTATCATCTTTGCATTAGTTCTTCTCTACTACGCTTTCGTTAAGTTAATGCTGCATATTATGCATAGATTTCAGCCCATGCCGAAAAAAGTTAGCCAATTTCAAAGGGCTCAGCCTCACCTGCACCAGGCGACGACATTCAGTCTGAACCATCTCTGCCAAAACTCAAAAGCATGCCCGAACTACTGCAGGATCCCGCATCTCACGATTCCAGCGACCCGTCACATCGATATGCTATCCACAATTCCCTTGGATCCTCGTTCTTCCAACTGACCCTCTCTTCCGCCAACAAAGCTGAGATCTTCGCAGAAGCCCTATCTGAACTCGACAACAATCACAGCCAAACCTCTAGTATTGTCAAGAGTCTGCAAAAATGGAATCCCGAAGCCGCATCTCGATTTGGTCTACGCTCCACCCCGACGGTTTTGTCCACACCCTTCCGCCTCATCTACCCGAACTGCGACCTCCATTCCTTCAGAGAAACTGGGCTGTACGCAAGGCAATTTCTTACTATATCTTACTGTTGGCGCTCTCCAGAATTTCTACCAGATGGCTACGAACACCACGATATCTGGCCTATCAAGAAATCCATGGTGGACGCTGTTTTAGCGGAGAAGAATCACCCAAGAGTAGGCATTTGGATAGATCAAAAATGCATCGACCAGTCTTCGGCCTTGGACAAGCAACTCTCTATTGCGGCCATGGATATCATCTACCGCTCGTGCATGCGACTTGTTGTCTTGTTAGAGGATGTGCTTCTTACTAAGCAGGAGGTTCAGCTCGTGCAAAAATACGACATCTCCCACCGCCCCTACAACGACGGCTGGAAGTTTGAGTCCCACGAGATTGAAACTTTCGCGAGTTTCTACGAGAAAGTAAACGCAGCGCGCTGGTGGAGCCGGGCGTGGTGTTTTCACGAAATGTGCATGCATCGACCGTGGTTTGAGAGGCGCCAGACGGATCACCGATTCAATGCGACCTTCATCCTATGTGGGCCCGAAGATACCACTGTGAAGATGAAGTGGACGAATCTGATACTGCTCATGAGCCGCGCAATACACGTACTGCCGAATGCACAGATCTGGTGGAAGGGACAGGCGACAATTTCCGGTATAATCAAGCCTGAAGATCAAGAGAAGGGGTGGAGCGGCAGTATCATGGCGCGCTATAATGCAATCAGCGCAAAGGGCTGTAGCTTCTTGCAGGATCGCCTTAGTATTCTGATCAACCTGTGTGGGTTGGGTCTGGCGTACAAAGGGCCGCCGTTGGACACTGAGGAGGAGCTTTTGTACTTGAGCAGTCTTCTCGCTTTGGCCGCCGGAGATGTACATCCCTTGAGTATGATGACCAGTCAATCTATGATGCTAAAGGGGAAGCCAACGTGGATATCGAAACACGAGGTGAATGACACGACGCTTCCTGGTTACAAAATCGGGACCATGGAAGGTATACACCGAGTGGAAGAGGGCGAAATTGAGCTGGACATGCTTTTCCTCGACGCACCATGGAGATCAATAAAAGAAAAGGACCTCCGGCCTACATACGACATCTTCCCGGACATTATAACAACCACACTCCCCGCTAAGAAAAGACCGGAAGCCGAAGGTCGAGTTGCGTCTAATCATGAGGACTCAGACGCTGAATACGACCTATCCCGTCGCCGGTTCCTGGCGGGCTGCATATTGAGTGGAGTCTTGTTTACCGGCAGATTATGGGAGCAGATAAAACGCGACGTCGTTGGCCCGAATTACAACGCGGGAAATCACAAAGACTTCTCATTCAATCCTGCATTTCGCAACGCAGCAAAGGCCTTCTTAGCGCACTTGGTTCCCGTCTCGACGCTCTTGGGTATAGCGCAGCCTTCACCTTCTACTCTGGACGACGCTGCACTTTTCCTGACGTGGCTCACCGACCCGAGATCAATGTACTACATTGGGCATCGGACTTTCCGTGTTCCGTGCACTATGCGTTGGGACTCGGCATTCATTACGTCGCTGACTGTCAACGAGTATTTTCTTGATGGGCCGGATAGGGAGATACAGGTGGCTGTGCCGACGCATCTACTCAAGGCGTCGTGTATACCACTGCGAGTGTGGATTCTTCGGCCTGCAAAAGGTAATCAGGTGAAAGAGAAGTGGCGAATCGTCGGCAAGGGTTTGTTGCTTGGGGAGCCGGATTTGCTCACGGAAGCGAAAGAGAGTGTAGGGAAGCCTGGGGCGAAGGTCATGTTACGAGAGAGGATAGTCGTAGGTGGGTAAAGAGATTAATGTGTTCTTGACTCACAGTAGATTGAAGTTTCGCACTTTATGTATCTTGTCCGAGACACCGACACTGGCCTGTAGTGTACATGCGAGGAACTGATAGACACCGTGTTTAGCCATGCCGCTAACAGATCCTCACTTGCACCGGAACTCGCTTACTCGATGTGACCTTAATTGAAAATGAGGCAGAACACCCGGTGAGATCAACACTTGCTACTAGCCTCAAGTTATTGCAAGAAGAGGGGGTTGGTTTAGATCCCTGTTATTCATTGGACAACCCAGCCATGTCGCACTTGTCGCTGCCACCACTCTTATGGCTCTTAGTTGACGCCAGCGCTCAATTCAGCGTATTTAGATGTGATGGAACAGGACAGGGATGTGCCGTTTGAGAATCACGCGAGGTTGTATGCGGTCTACTTGACGCTGTATAAGAGTGCGTGTCATGGAAGTTTTAGGCAAGAGTGGGTTATGTGTGTGTTCACGTGTCGAATGAAGTGTATGTACTCTCAAAAACATCAATTGCTGCTTTATATAGGAAAATCGTAGATCGCCATCAAGTGATACCACGTGAAACACCTGAAGGTGCTAAGCCATTCAACAGCGACAATTTTATGGCAAACGCCATTCCTGGTATCTTTCGCACCACAGTCTCAATTTACGCTCACCTTCTCCGTGTGACTGCCCGCTTAGCAGCCCTTGGGCAACTTTGTATCACGAGTCTTGCGCCAGTGAGCACGCTCGCGCAATGTGAACTTGCGCTTATCGACCGCGAGCTTGACCTTCTCCAGAACCGACTTCTCGTCCACCGTAGCCTCCTCCTTCTTCTTAGCCCAGTACTTCTTGTCCTCCTCTGCCTTGTCCTTCTTGTGCTGCTCGCGCTCCTTTGCCCGCTTCGCCTGCTCCTGCTCGCGCTCCTCACGGCCTTGCTCCCACTGCTCACGCTGCTGCGCGCGCGCGATAGCCGATGCTTTGGCGCGCTCGTGATATTCTCGAGTCTTATTGGCGCGCTGGATACGGTCCTGCTCTTCCTGCTCGCGCTTCTGGCTCCTGCTGACGTAGTCGGCGTGGCGAGTGTGGGCCATCTGGATCTGCTCGTTGAGGATGTGGTTGTATGAAAGGTACGCGGTGAAGTCTTCGACGTCGGGAATCTGGTTCTCCCGCATCTTCTTGGCCAGGTTGTTGGAGGCGAGAATGTACAGCATGCGAGGGTGCTCGCGGGCAAAGTAGGTTACCGCATCGATATCATCGTATGAGGGCAGATCGTTGTGAAGAACGGCCTCGCACTTGCGGTAGATGTGGGCGGTGTACTGTTCCATGCCGAGAAGAGCCGCGGCCGCAGTGATGCTGAGCATGTCGTAGATTTCCATCTCGTGGTGTCTCATACGCAAATCGTTATGGCGCCATGACACCATCTTGTTTATGTAGGCAATGAGAAGGACGACGCCGCGTGCATCTATATCGTGGGGTAGCTTGATGAGACCATGGATGAGCAACTCTGGTTTGGTAGACGTGGCCAGGAAAAGGGCACCGGGCAGATCGACGAGTGCAATGTTGCCTTTGCAGATGAGAACGCGCTCGCCTTTTTCAAAAGCCTTACGGTCTTTTAAGTGGCACAGGCGGAGATCTACACGATCAGATGGCATGGCAGGAGGGAAAATGGTGCAGATGCCAGGAACGTAAACGTTGGGATACGCCGTAGCAAAAGGGAGGTTAGTCTCTTTGGAAACGTACATGTCGAAATGCGCAGGTGTAGAATCCGGTGTCAGGATTTTAGCAGTGAATGGCTGAGCATGAGGGTTTAACGGGCCATCGTCCGAACCCGAGGCAGACTGGCTGGACTCGAAAGGCTGGGCAAGTGGACTCAACCCGTTCTGGCTCGTCATTCTGGAGCTTGTCTTGTGTTGAATTCTGTCTCTAGCAGAATCTCTCTGAGTTGCGCAGATTGAGAGTCGTTCGGGTGTTGACAATCTCGGCGTAGTTGAGGGCAGGGGTGTGTGCTTGCGTGAAGTGGGGTGTAATGTCAATGGAGCAATTTTGTACGCGTGGAAAGATATTTGTACAACGAGGGCGCAAGGCAAACTGTAGCTCCGCGCACGGATCAACTTTTCAAGCCTACTGTGAATGTCAACTGGGCGAATAGGGAAACGTTGTGCGCAAACAAAGGAAGACCCAATTGGCGAATACTTGTATGAGGGTATCAGATCATTTCACATTTTCTGAAACGTCATTGTCAGGAAACTTTAAATACTAGCATTGTCGAGAACTTCCAAACGCTGGGTATATACGGCTCTCCTTAATATTCTCACTTATGAAAATCCCTCTCTAGCCTCTCCACTCCTCGCAACCACGTTCAACATTAAACACACCAACCATACATCCACATTACATACCACAATACAAGTATCTCAATCAACCAGGCTCAAACACCGCCAGTGGACACCGCGCCCCAGGCACTCGAGCTCAGCCGTGCATTCGTGACCAGAAGTCTTCCAAGCGCATTCAAGCCAAGGGTACTGCCATCCCGAAAGTGAAGGACATCGACATCCATGCTTGGGCTAAGCAGTTCCGTTCTGCTCTTCCGAAGGGCGAGTTGGTATCCATCTACATCGGTGATGCCATCGCTGCTCACATTCACAAGCCTCTGTTAAAGGTGACTTCTACCAAGTTCGACAACTTGTACCAGAATGGTGCTTTCAAGCTCCCTGCTGGTACGGACGAGCGAGTCCTCGATCGCCTGATCGGATATCTTGGCTACGTCTGCGGCACCTCCAAGAAGCCGCAGCCAATGTCTACCAACATGCTGATGTTCGATGTGCTGAGCATCTCCACTGCCGGTAGCTTACTGGGCATGGACAAGTACACCAGCCATGTTTACAAGAAGTCCGAGGCGATTCCTCGTATTGATCCTCCTCTTTACGAACACATCAACGCCATCATTTCAGTTCACGAAGAGCACGCCCGTCTCCATAGAATTGTTGTCCAGAATCTTGCTTTTCGTGTGCGGGGGGCGACTACTCCCGACCCTGAGGACTTTCAGAAGTACTTGTTGGACCACTCTGAGCTCGCTGTTGCGATTGACGCAACCAACGATCCGATGCGGAACATCGCAGGGCTTCTCGAGACAAGTTACAGGTGGTGCGCAAGGAAATATGTCAGCGCAACATTGCTCTTTGGGCTGATAAGAACGCTAAACTTCAAGCTCTTGCGCAGTCTTGCGCTGGGAAATCATGTGGCCCAGTCGAAAAGCGCAAGAATTTCTCTGCTGACGAGCGTGCCCATTGGATCAGCGTCCATAGGAAGCAGCCTCCTCAGGGCTGTTAAGCAGTGAATCAGCGGTGCTCCGCCTGTTTGCTTTCGCTATGTATTAGCAGTGTATATGTTATATTATAAGAAGGTATATAATTTTTTTAACTGGGAAGCATACCATAATTCGAACTTCTGTCCTTTATAAATGTAGCTCTTCTTCGCACTCCTATTTGCCTGATCCGTGTGAACTAGTTTCACATTCACTGTAGAACAAAACTTGCTTGTCTCAATTTGTTTGCCATCGTGAACTGTGCCTCATGGCTAAGCAAATTCGCCTTTGCTGTAAAATCTCCGAACCCGTTGTGTCCATTCATGAAAATTTAGTTCTCGCTTTCCCTGGGGTCCTACATTTAGACGACAAGACCAAATCACCCGTGGACGCCGATTCGCAAGCCTTGTGAGGTGAATGTTCAAAGATTCCCAATTTGTACGCATTAGCACAGATTGTATATGGCGTAGCTCAGAACAAATCACATAGCATGTTGCTTCGCGTCCATCTGCTTGTCATAACACAATTCACAACATGTACCGGAACAGAGCACCAGGACCGTTCGCAACCCCTTCCAGACCAACTGCTTGGTCGGACTTTCTGTTCAATCTCTGAAGCCACCACCGTAAAATCAACGAAGCGACAGCGCAACAAAGAAGTGCAACTGTCAGCACAATACATCCCATGCGATAGAGACTAGATTCCTGGTCAGCATATGGTTTTTCGCGAGACTTATTTACTTACGGTGCGCTCCAAGCAGGATAAAGATAAGCGGTGGCAATATTTGTCGCGTTCGATACAGCTGTCGCCAGGGCGAGTGTGACCGCTCTTTTCGCTTTGGGTCGTGCAATGGTTGCTGAAACCCAAGGTAGGATCAACTGAAATGCGGAAAATGATCCCATAGCCTGCAAAAACATGGCAAAGTAGCGTGGACCAGTCTTATACGTCGTCATCGAAATGATCTGCCCAACGGCGGAGATCGCACAGGCCATGACGATATGGAAACAATGCTCTCCCGAGCGTCCCGAGTGCCACGAGTTCAGGACCGAGAACAAGAAAGCCAGGAAGTAGGGAGGAGCGGTGAGTAGAAGCGTTTCGACGCGAGGAAAGCCAAGCGTGTTGACAATGGAAGGGAAGAAGTAGGTAAAGCTCATTGATACAACGGCGCATGTCTGAATGAAGACAAGGAGTGGCTGTCAGGTTGTCAATAATAGTCACTGCGAAACTGAACACTAAGGAGTACTGACTACTTTCGGGTCAGAGAAGGCTTGCTTTAGTCCAACGAATACAGACTCTTTGACCTCGTCGGCGACTCCATCGTTCTCGCGGTTGAGACGCCACTGCGCCATTGCGGTCTCTTCGGACGACAGGAATGAAGTATTAGATGGATAATTTGGAAGAAGAAGATACCCTGCGAAGGCCATGATAATCGTAAGCGCCCCTTCAATAATGAATATCCATCGCCAGCTGTAAATGAAATGGTTAGTCTATTGTTACCAGAGACTCGAAATATTGAAGAAAGGAGACTCACGAAGGATAACCGCCAAGACCTTCCATTCCTTCTACGATACCTGCAGCAATCAGTCCACCAAATGCCGAGGACAGCGTATAACCGCTATAAAATGTTGCTATGCGGCTTGGTAGTTCTTTACGAGTGTACCAGCAGGAAAGAAAGAAGATGCCTGGCTTGATATTAGTCGGTTACAAAGCCAACCAGGTGCATAGCCAGATAGAGACTCACATCCGGGGAAATATGGTGCCTGATTCCCGGCAAGAACCTATTAGCGATCGTTATAAAAGCTTTAGTAGAGTAGCAACTTACCTCTGTCACACCAACCAAGAACCTCAAGGCGACCAGCCCAGCATGATTCTGCACAAATCCTGTGGCTCCTGAAACAATGCCCCATACGATCACAACAGTCGGCAGGTATAGGCGAGGCTTGAAAATGGAGAGAAGCATGTTTGATGGGATCATCATGGAGATATACCCGGCCCACAGCACCATGACAGCTGTTTGATACTGTATATCATCGATGCCGAGCGATGCTTCCAGGCCGCCGAGGCGCGCATTGGCAATAGCGTTTCGGTCGAGTACATTAAGCAAGAACAGGATGATCAGAACGGGAAGTGCACAAAAATCGATCTTGCGAACTAGCTTCTTCTCGAGTGCGATAAGTTGCTCTGGCGTGAGGTGGCGCAGGATTTCGGGTACGGCATTGTGCGCTTCGGCTGTGGCTTCTAGATGTTCGAAAGCGACTTCCTTCTCTTTCTCGACAGACGTTCTTTCGACCTCCATAATTGCGGATTGAGGATTGTTCCCTTCGAAAAGCGACCAAAGCTGTGAGGGCGTTGCAAGAGACTCCAATTAACACTGTGCGTCTACCCCACAAACCTGGAGGAACCTACGTCCTTATACTCCACTATACATACTCTGTACACACTAGGTCATGATGAGTATGCGTTGGCTTGACTACCTAGGTAGGTATGGACACTGTAACCCCGCAAATGAATACTGATTCATCCGGATAAGGTAACCCGATGTATGGTCACACAGGTATTATCGCCCCACTGTCGGGGACTTGGTCGAATAAGAAGAGACGAACTGTAACCGACACCGGACGTTCTTCAGTTGCCGATGGGCGCCGTTCCCAAGCTGCATATACCTGCATAACACTTGCAAACAAATGCGCTGCGTAGTTCGCCAGCAAACATTGTCAATGATTATGTGTGCGCTTAAAGGAGCTCAATTTGGAGTGAACATTCTGTCGGGAAGTCTTATACACGACATTCAATCCCACGGCAAGGCGTCAGGGCCACAATACTACGTCCTTTGACGTCTGATATCCTGACTACTTCCATTCGGCATCCATGCCCACTCGTATGCGATCTTTAGCAATTCGGTTAAAGCCCGCATCTCGTGCAACCCCTGACTCTAGTGCTGCCATATTATCGGAGTCTACCGGCCACTAGTCCTAGATCTTACTCAGTTAGGCTCCTAATTCATACCGAGAAACAGAAGCTTGTCAAGTCCTGCGACCCTGGCTGGTAAATCCATAATATCTTGTACCGAAACTCTACCACAGCGGTCCTACTTGGCCAGGCGATTTATATCGGACTGAGTAGCAGCAGATGCCACGTTCTATACTAGATTATGCGGCGAGCACAGCAGATGTCTCCACTGCTCATCCTCGATCAGAATCATACACTCGGTTCCGTTCAGCGGTTCGTACATCATGCCAGATGATGAAAGAACTTGCAGCAGCTGTGTACTTATCAGGTCGTAGGGCCAAGGCCTGAAATCTGATAGAACTGCATTGTGTGCACTCCATATCAAAATATTCGCACATCATCTTCTCGACACTGTAGGTCGTCTCCAACGTTGGTACTCGGCCTCGGCAATGGGCTTCGGAAATGGGCAGCGTAATTACGGTGATTTGTACGGATGGACTCAATGCGTAGACGACTCTCGCGCAAAGTAGGCGAGCGCGCATTGCGTCGAAGTTCGCCTGTATACCCAGATGAAAGGCCGGCGCAGCACCGAAGGACACCTGGGCACCAGCAAGACGAGGCCATGGAAGACCTAAGCAACTCCCGAATTTTTGGTAACCACAAGGCGAGACTGTACAACAGTCTGTCTTGACGAGTTGTACTCAGTTCAAAGACTGAGGATTCGAGGGGATTGGCGGCTCAATGTCGGTCAGGATGAGTGCATGTGCGCTTTGCGCATATCAGAGCAGCTTCTGTGCTGTAGGCTGAGCACAAAAACCAGCGGCACTGGTGATGAGGATGCGTATACTACTGTATGTCAGGAGGATACAATGTTACGAACGCGCGCGATGCCACGCCTTGCACTCGAAATTACTGAGCCATGCTCAAGTACGATGCGCAACCCCGGATGACCTTATACGGACGGACGCGCAATAGTGGAGCTTTGCTTTCGTGCGAATCATGACAGATTTGCGCAAGTATGAGTTGTCTGGATGCTGAGAGTGTTGGCATCGATCCTTTGCTGGTGGCTGGGCATTGTGTGCAAGCGACCGGACTTCTCGCCGACGCCCTCCGGCAAAAGGCTCGGTAGAAAGAGGAGCGAAGCGCTTGCACCAGCCAAACGACAGCCATTACCCATGTGAAGAATGATAGTGTATATGTCATCGTTGATTCGACACAATCGAGCCATATCTGAGAAACCTCGAGCGCCATGGCAAAGTTGAGTGTGGCCGTAGACGAAATCAAGAAGCATGCACAAGAAAGTGATTGTTGGATCGTCGTGAACGAAGTCGTGTGGGATATCACCGATTTCATACCCAGGCATCCTGGCGGTAATGAAAGTGAGCTAGAATTGACCTGTAGATTGATGCCATACTGACAACAACTATAGTAATTACCAAACACGCTGGCCTCGATGCTTCATCATCGTATAATTCCGTCCACTCACCAGACCTCATCTCGAAAACACTTGGACCAAGCAAGCGCAAGGGAACGGTCGACTTGGCAACCAATGTTGATGTACTCAAACCGCCACCAACGGAATCCGCACAGCCAGTATTGAAAATTGGAGCTAAGCCACCGTTATCAACGCTCATCAATAGCTATGACTTCGAAGCTGTCGCCGAGAAGACGTTGACCAAGAAAGCATGGGCGTTCTACTCTTCCGCCGCGACGAATCTGGTGACAAGAGATGCGAACAAAAGCATGTTTGACCGAATTTGGTTTCGTCCAAGATTGTTGAGAAACATCAGACACATTAACACTTCTACATCGATACTAGGCGAGAGTGTAAAGTTGCCGTTCTTTGTTAGTCCTGCAGCGATGGCAAAATTGGCGCACCCGGATGGAGAATTGGCGCTGGCACGAGGAGCCGAGAAGTTCGGAATCGCACAATGCGTAAGTAGGAGATGCGCCAATTTGAGCTTCTCTATAGAGAACACGATGCTAAAACTCTTAGATTTCCACCAATGCATCATACACAATGGCCGAGATCACGTCGAGTGTTTCACCAGGATCATTACCGTTTTTCTTCCAGCTTTACGTCAACAAACACAGATCTGCGTCAGAAAAGCTGCTCAAGGATGCGGAGAAGAATGGTATCAAAGGCGTGTGGTTCACCATTGACGGCCCGGTACAAGGGAAACGAGGTAAGCTTCACATTACCGAATCGCACAATACAGCTACTAAGCTCCCTACAGAAGGCGATGAACGTGTCAAGGTCGAGTCAGCAACATATGCCAAAGCAGCAATCAGCGGTGCGGCTGCAACGAATGACAGTAAAGGTGGAGGTTTAGGCCGGACCATGGGTACTTACATTGATGACACATTCAGCTGGGAAGATATCAAGTGGCTCCGCAAGTCTACTCAATTACCTATCGTGGCGAAGGGGGTACAGACCGCCGAAGATGCGGTGCTCGCTATGAAGTATGGTTTGGACGGCATCGTCATAACGAACCATGGAGGTCGTAATCTCGATACGTATGAGAGCCTTTTTCGCCCAGATCAAGCAACGTACTGATACCAACTAGGTCTCCTCCATCACTGCTTACTCTTCTCGAGATCCGGAAACATCATCCTGAGGTGTTCCGACACCTAGAAGTCTATATTGACTGCGGCATTCGGCGCGGTACGGACATTGTCAAAGCTCTGTGCCTGGGCGCAAAGGCAGTGGGAATGGGGCGACCATTTCTCTACTCGTTGACGTATGGTCAAGAAGGCGTCGAACACTTCATCGACAGTGAGCAAACAATTCACATTTACATTCTGATCTGCGCTAACTTCTTGTAGTCATGAAGGATGAGCTTGAGACAACGATGCGCCTCCTGGGCATCACAGACCTGTCACAATGCCATCCCAGGTATCTCAATATTGGTGACGTGGAGCACTTGATACCTAAATCTCTTGAGTCACCACTGCCAGAGATTCCGCAATCAACGCCCCGTTCGAAATTGTGACACTTTAATCTACATGTAGTTTATTCATTTCCAAATCTACTTGGCTTTATATGAGTGACGGCTTCCATGACAGCCTTTTGACGTCCGCTAAAAAGTGATAGTAGTGAGAAGCAATGTTCAAAATGAACCCGCATCTGCCGCTCACACATCCTTAAACTTCGTGTCCAGCGGTCCCTCATGTGGAGGGATTGGCTTTGGTCCTTCCACATAATCAAAGTGGCCAAAGTTATTCATGAATATGTTGTCTTCTGGTCCCCGCATTGCTGCGTTGGTATGACTCAGGAAGGAATGTGGAAAGCCCATCTCGAATCCATACGCATCATCAATTTCATGGATTTCTTCGGCGGTAAGGCGCAGACCCAGAGCCTTGATGTTCGACTGCAAGTGTGCGATTTTGCGTCCGCCAACAATGGGAAAGACATAGGGCGACTTGTGCATGACATAGGCAAGCGCAACGGAAGTGATGGGCGTGTCTGGCGACTTGGATATCGCGATCTTCTCGAGCACATCGGACACTTTGGCCTCGTTTCCAATAATGGATATCTTCATTTTCCGGCCGCCGCTCTCATTCGCTTCTCTCTGCGATTTCGTTTTGAACCCACCGCCACCAATCGCGCCCCAGGGTGCGAGAGCCATACCCTCGTCGAGCGCCATCGGTATGATTTCGCGTTCGAAAGAGCGATCGGCGGCAGACCAGCGACCCTGGTAGACTGAGAATTGTCGCAAACCGTGTTGTCGGGCGTAGCAATTTGCCTTGACTACGATCCACGCTGGGGTGTCGCTCACGCCGAGATATATGACTTTGCGGGACGTACATAGGTCATTGAGAGTGTGCATAAGCTCAGGAATCGATGTCGTCGAATCCCACATGTGGAGATAGTACTTTTCCTTGTTGTTAGTCGTGACAGCGACTCATCGGCGCTCAACTCACGATGTCGACGTAACTCGTCTTCAGGTGCTTCAGCGATCGGTCGAGTGATGTGTGAATATTCTTTGCACTATTACCAGCAAAGTTGGACTTGATAGCGGATGTTCCTTGCTTCTCGCGTTCGGTGATTTGCATGCCGGTGAACTTCGTCGCCACGACCATCTCGTCTCGCACGCCTCTTGCTTCCATCCACTCTCCAATCCATTCTTCGCTTTCTCCAAACTGGTAGTTCACGGCTGTGTCAATCCAGTTGCCGCCTTGCTCGTAGAAGCAGTCAAGGATCTCAAAAGCAGTTTCTTTTGAACACTCACCCAAAGACTCCTTCCATGCTGTCCCAAAATTCATCGCACCGAGCGCGAGAGGCGAAACACGAACTGCGGCGGACGGACTGAGCAAACGGTGTCGGCCCAACAAGGAGACGGGTTTGGTATTCACGATGAACGACATTTTGCTTGCAACAATGGAAGTGGAGAAATTAGAGGCAGTCAAGGGGGGAAAGCTCCGTTTTATAAGTGAGACCTCAATTGCTAATACCAGTGCAGACGGGAATTGTCCGTAGTCGCTATTGGTTGATTGCCTGTACAGTGCTGCAGTAATGAGCGCGACTTCTTTGAGCAAGGAGTGCGTTTGTGGATGGGCCCAATTAGTGTAAAGTGAGCGCATGCCAATGTCGTTACTTCCGTTAAAGCCGAGTCAGCAGGTTCGGAGTGTCTAGAGCAACTCCTATACGGCGGACATGTCATACTAAAACCGGTTTCATTGAGTAAGCACGAGGTGCTTTGAAGAAGCAGGTCTGTGGGACTATCCAGCTAGGAGAGGTGGAAATGTTGAGCTAGGCGGTGTCATGCCGAGCTATGGTGGTTAGCAGGCTACAATAACTGACATCGCAGCAATCGAGAGCATGCGATGTTCGTGGGACGGCATGCTTTCGAAACATGATGTTCGTTATGGTGTAGACGTCGAAACAAGAGTAAAAGGGTCCGACATCTTCATGTTCTGGCGAGCACGCTAAGCTACATTTAAAGGAACTGTGCTAGCGACGCCTGACATCATGTGCTCTATAGATCCTTGCTGTCATCATCGTTCATCACTACCATCATCGAGATGTGTACCTTGCATATCCGGATCATCGAGAAAATAACGATGACCATAGTATCCACCTCATCGAATTGTGATAAAATCCCATCTTCCACAATACTCAAACCATAGCAACACGCACAACTCCCGCATTGACACATTGACACATTGAGAAAAACTCGTGCATCTTAACATTTCTCTACACACTTGAGATCTCTCGCAATCAATTATCTTTTCAAAATGTCCTTCCTACTTTGCTCCACACGGGCATTCACGCCGCTCATATCCCGTGCATTCTCCACATCCCGCATCATGTCCGTCAGAATCGACTCCGCCTTCCTCAGCCAGATCACAGCCGCGGAAAAGTCTATTACAAATCAAGATGAGCCCGTAAAAGGCGGCCCAACCGCCGCCGCTCAATCACACGTCGGCCAGGAACTCACTTCCCAGATCTTGCACGACATCACCATGGGCGAGCGCAAGATCACCGGCAGCGATGGCCCAGTCCAGGGCGGGCCGACAAGTGTTGCGCAAAAAATCCTCACTGGCTCAGGCACCACATCTGGAGGTGCGAACAACAACAACTCTAATGGGCAACATACCGGTCGTCTCGACTCCAGCACCCTGAGCAAAATCACGGAGAAAGAGAAGGAGATCACCGGGGCGGATGGGCCGACGCCTGGTGGGCCGACGGCCAAGGCGCAGCAGCATGCGAATGAGCCGATTACGAGCCAGGCATTGCATGATATCACGGAGGGTGAGAAGAAGATTACGGGAGGGGAGAGGGTAAGGGGCGGGCCGACGAGTGCGGCGCAGAGTGAGTTGGGAAAGAGCAGGTCGTAAAAAGAGGATGTGCGTTATTATGTTATGTACGATATGTAAAAAAAACACGGATTGAGTGGAACTTATTATTGAAGCTTTACAATGACAGCGTTCCCCAATTAGACCTAATTGTACCGAGCGTTGAACAAACGTTTGCTTTAGGGGTTACCAATACATGTACTACACCAATGGCCATTAGTACCATCACACAAATAATTAGACACACGAGTCCATCGCATACTAATTAATCCCCGTGGCCCAAAAATCTCCTCCACCGACCAATTTCCAGGCAGAGATGTGGAGCGTCTCGAAAACTTTGGAGACAGGATGACGCTATTGCGTAGCTGTGCACCAGCTGGCGGCTTCATGTCACTCCAATCGAAGACAATTTTCCTGGGATTAATTTCGCGTTTGCTTGAGCCGTGGCACAGTCGGGCTTCCTCTCGGATGATGGTATCGTGGATGTGAGCTGCGTATGCGAGAATGTCCTGAAAAAATGAAAGGCAGCGTGCGCACGTTTGATAGATGGGCCAATGTTGGCAGATTATCTGCCCAAGTCTTGATGACTAGTGTGTCGATGTCGCTCGAAGTCATAGGCAGATGAGGGACGGGGCTCGCACAGTGCATGCGGTAGTAACCATCTCGTTGTTCGCACCAATCGGTGTAGTGCTCGTGGCCTATCGCGTTTGGTGGTTTGTATTGGCCGTGGTATGCGTTGACAAACATAGACTGTGGGAGTGAGACAATACCCAAGCGATGGTCGCCCAACAAACTCAACTGCGGGATGCGTATTCCACCGAATTGCCCATGTGATGCAAGTTTGCTATACGACGCTGAGAACTTTTCTTTCTCCTGGGGAGCCAAACGATTGTATGGACCAACATAGATCTCAGTTACCTCTGCGAAGATGGTCTTGCATGATGTGAGAAAGCCGATATAGTTCTTGATGTCCGGTTGCTTGATGTGCTGGTATACCATTTGCCGCAACTCATGAATGTTGATGAAATCCTCTGCGGCTTGAGTGCTTGACTCTAGAGCCATGTCCGCCAGGCCTAGGTCGAGTGGAGTATCTTCGATGGAAGACATGTGGGTAGAGATGTAGAAATCTTGTGTGAAGCGTGATGCAGAGTAGTTTGCGTAATGCTAATTGCTTCGATAGTGAGAATATTATGCCAACAATTTCACTTATATACCGCACTGCGCTGCACTGTGAGCATTCACTGTGGCTGTAGTCCGTCTGCCTACGTTATCAATAGCATTTCATCTCTGCATTGTGAAATGCATTTTCTTTGTTCAAATGGAACAGACGTTGTACGATTAGTCTCCAGAGACAACTTCTATATTCGCCCGTGGTTCTCGTGCAAAATCAACATAGACTTTGAGCCTTGAAGATAGCAAAAGCAAGTACTTCAGTGGAAGAACAGAGATGAAGCTTGCATGTTCGGACGCCCAAGTTGAAAGTGAAAACCTGTTAAGTTCGCCTGTGGCTTCTACATGCACCTGGGCAATCGGGAAATAGGTAGTACTTTAGGCTTGGGTAATACCAAAAGCAGGCGATCCGACAGAAAGATCCGACGTGATGTTTACTCGCGCCATGGGGCGATCTGCACCTGACTTCGCGATCTCCTTCCCCGCATCCCCACCGCAGCGATGGATAGATTGGGGATGTTGCATTTCTTTCCGAAGGGTTGATGGAAGGTGCGTGCTTCGTTAAGTGGGTCTTTGATCCTTCTTGTGTGGAACTCAGGAGGTCTTTTGTTTCTTTCACAGTGATTTGTGACTTGCCAGCTGTTAATCGATAGTGGTTCTCAAATAGTACATTGGTATTTTCCAAGTCGATGAGCCAAGATAATATCATCATGTCAGTGGCTTTGTCTGCGGCTGCTTCTCGGCAGCTTTCATATACACCCCCCGTAAAGGATACAATGCTCCCATGTCATATCCCAAACGCCAATGCTGTAAATCATGTGTAAATGCCATTCCGATGTCTATAGCGATGCCGCTGCCTCAACGGCTCCCGTCAATTTGAATGCTTTCGGGTTGGAGATGACAATTTCGACCGGGTACTGCCACTCCATCCACTTTGCCCATCCTGTTGTTGTCAGCATCAATTCTACATTCCAGTATCTCAACATGACGTACCCCAGTATGCGCATTTCCTGCCAAAGTATTTTCCAAGATATGGTACCAGTACCATGGTCAATAACAGCTCCATCTGCTGCAATGACTCTCTCCACTCTCTTTCGGCGTCTGAAACATATTCATCGTCGTCGGCTGAGGACGTTGTGGGGGAGGATGGCAGGGAGTCGATCTCGTCGGCGTCGGTAGAGCTCTCGGGAGGCTCCATGAAGCTCTCGCTGTTGCTCATGGACATGGCGCGGTCGGGTGAAGCTGAGGGATCAGGTGACAGGGCGCAGGGTAGGCGATCGCAGGTGCAGCTACCGTGAATGCATCGATGTGGTGAATTGGAGGCAGGAAGCGTGGATGCTAGTGAATGATGAAGCCGCGGTGGCTGCAGCCAATGAGAGAAGGTGGGGCTTAGCTCGCTTGCACGTGAGTGGTTCCGAAGTCTTGGCATCAATGACTGTTCCTAGTTCGACTCACAACTCACAAAAGACGGGTGACTACCTCAACGACGCACCACACCGCGACATATTCCTACACTCGCCCTGACACCTGACAATCGCTGGATCATACACGACCTCACTGGGAACGCCCAAAACACACGAAACCGCAATCATGGCTGATTCCGTACGTCATTCCGAGCCCCACGTTGAAGTTCGAAATACATTGTCTCAACCCAGAAATGTCTCTGAGCTGCAAAACAACGCCACCACTTCTCTCACACCCACTCGAAGAATACCCTCGCTAACATGTCCGACTCACAGGCCGATTCCGCCGAGCGCAAGCCCCGTAAGTCTGTCGCATTCTCCGAGGGCGCCACCATCGTAGACAGCGATGGCCAAGTCACCGAGTCCAAGGAAGTGAACGGTGGTAAGTCCAGCGCGGAACGTCACTCTCGTGATGCTTCTCCGTCTACGGGTGAATACGCCGGGCGCGAACAGAAAGCGCCACATGGGCTGACAGGTGAGGTTATAGGCGACGCAGACAAGGAGGTTGAGGAAGTCACCGACATGTTCGCCGACCTCGCGAAGAAGGTGTGTACCACATCCCGCAAAATATTGGGCGCATCGCTGACAGGCCGCAGAAGAAGAAGAAGTCCTCCAAGAAGAAGGAGGAGGGTGACGAGGAAGCCGGAGAGGACGACTTCGCCGCGCTCAAGAAAAAGAAGAAGTCCAGCAAGAAGAAGGTCGAGGACGACTTCGAGGCCAAACTTGCTGCTGCCGGTGGCGAGAAGGCTGAGGGTGAAGAGGACGCCGCCCCCGCCGAGCCAGAAGTACAGGAGGGCGACATGATCAAGGGCACCGGCATCTGGCAGCACGACGCCACCACACCCATCACATACAACCTGCTGCTGAACCGCTTCTTCACACTCCTCCACTCGACACATCCCGACCTTGCGAGCACGGGAATGAAGAGCTACAAAATCCCACCGCCCCAGTGTCTGCGTGAAGGCAATAAGAAGACCATCTTCGCCAACATTGCCGAGATCTGCAAGCGAATGAAGCGTACCGAGGAGCACGTCACACAATTCTTGTTCGCTGAGTTGGGTACCTCCGGCTCCGTCGCTGGTGACCGTAAGCTCGTCATTAAGGGTCGTTTCCAGCAGAAGCAGATCGAGAACGTCCTGCGGCGGTACATTGTCGAGTACGTCACCTGCAAGACGTGCCGGTCGCCCGACACAGAGTAAGTCCTGACATGCCTTGTGTCCAACTTGACTTGAAATGCTAACAAACGAAAAGTCTCTCCAAGGGTGAGAACCGTCTCAACTTCGTCACCTGCAACAGCTGCGGATCGAGACGTTCGGTCCAGGCCATCAAGACTGGTTTCTCGGCCCAGATCGGCAAGCGAAGAAGGCAGGTCGGTTAAGCTGGTCTTCTTACGCGCTCCACGATATGTCATGTCATGTATGGGGGCGCTTTTTCTGGGATGGGGCCTTCGTCGGGCGCTACAAACTTTACTGTATGTTTGTGTGCGCATGAACAAGACGGAAAGCCATGATCATGAGCTACATCACCTGTACGCTAGAAAAGCATTCGATGTCTCGATAGATACGAAAGTGATTTAGAAGTTCTATCATTCTTCTAACGGATGATCAACCGCAGGATTTTGCAACAGTGCAACCATTATGTTCGAATGAGTTCTTCTGATATCGCCCCTCGGCGTCCATGATTCCAAGGATCAATTACATCGCGCGCATTGTATACTGGCATAATGACAGGATTTAACGTAGGTTTAGCTTTAGGAGTCAAATCATCTACACTGCGCGCAATTTTTGTAAACTCTGGTATCTCGTCCATCACCACCACGAGCCCCAAAACTGGCGAAGCTTGAGGTGTAAAGTCGTCTTCTTCGAACTCGTAATCAAATGCATTGACTATGTCCTTTGACCAAACTGGAAGACGGACAACAGACAAATTGGATACGTCATCCATGGTCAAGGCGGAGAATGCTGTTAGTGCCATGGAGCCTTGCTGCGAGGTGTTCACTGACCACAGCGATGTTCGGGCTCGCAGCTTGCGGTAGACTCGTGATGTGTCTAAGTCGGTTTCAAACGCGCTCTGGGACAGGGGATCAATGTCTTCTTCAACGACCGTACGATGCGCAGGGTGATCGGTAAGAACCTGATCCATGCGCGTCCGCATATCCGCGTTGCTAGCCATCAGGTCTTCGACCATGGCGTGCAATCGTGTCATTGAGATCTCAGCTACTTGTGTCGACTCGCTGTACTCGTCAGAATCTTACGCATCTCCATTGCTCGAAGTAAGGGCCAAACGTACCATTGAAGAATCGTCAACATCAGCGTCAGACTCAATTTATGCGCTTGCATCCTCTGCACTAGCACATCGATTTGCCCTTCATACATCACCCACTTCGGCCTGCTCACTTTACCTCCGTCAAGAACACATCTCGACACCACGTCTTCAAGGTCCGAGTACGTAGTCACGCAAGCCGTCAACGTCGCGGAAATGTTGCGGAGTGTTAACATGGAGCGTCTGGCACCGTTGGATGTCGTCGCGCCAGTCAGGTAGGTTTGGAGTTGTGTCAAGGCTGCGATGATGCTTTGCATTTCGTCGAGGACTTGCGAAGCTGTCTTTGGCGCATCTAGCGTGAGAGTGATGAAGTTGTATAGTATGGGCACTATGCGAGATGCGCCTGCGATCAGGCCAATGACTGCGGAGCCGATAGTTAGGGGATCCATGAAAAGTGGCACAATCGGTGGGAATACATGGCGATGGGATGCTTTAGCAGATGAGGTGCCACAGGAGAAGGCTGAGAGTGGCGTCGGGCTGAGTGTTCGCTGGCGATTTGTCTGCACAGCCTTTCACGCATGCTTGTGTTTCATCATTAGAGGGTTGTCAGGATGAAGCGAATCTTCGTGCAGAGTGAGCTAGGAAAGGAAATGGAGATGTAAGCATGCTGCAACCATAGACCATCCCTAGAAACGTGAGTACATTAAGTTTACAATGTGGAGCAATGCTCAGACAGACGAATTGGGCCGACCAAGGACAATTATTACCGGTGTCAGCCAATCATGAAAAAGATCGTTGAAGCACAATCTGGCGTCGGCGCTTCCATGTCTTGTGCAAGCGCCCGGACCCTGCCTGAACCTTAGTCCGACTTGCCCTCGACATTCAAGCTGCCGACAACAGCCCATTGCAGAGTGACTGTGCCGTTGACATTGCATATGCGCAAAGTCCATATTTGGGCCAAACCACCTTGGGCTCATGCGGTGCTGACATGCGGTGCAAGGTTGGCGCGTCTGTCCAAGCAAGTCGAGATGAAGAGTGCGGGGCGCTGATTCGGCGGCTCGAGGCACCCCGCTAGCCAACAGCTGTCCCATTGAGGCTGAGCAGCTTGACGCGAACTGTCAGCGGGCGGGTATATGGGTAGCTGCAGCCTTCTGTTTCTCCGTAGACGAATTGATCTTTCTCTCCTCTCTGACTTGTTCTCTGCGCTGATATTGTGAAGTCGCTGATTCTGGCCATAGCTTCCATCCGAAATAACTTGAGGCGAACATGTCAGGGATACCACGGGAAGCCCACCACCCACCCGGCGGGAACTTTTATCCTCGTGAGTCGCAGGGAAAGAAGAGGTGATAATGTAGACTGACTGGGAGAAGCACCGCCTGAGAAAAGTGGATATGGTATGTCGCTCTCCTGAGTGCTCCTCAACTCATCCCCACGGTAACCAAACACCAGCCCTAACACGCGACAGACCAACAACAACAGCAAGGTCAACAGCAGTACTTTGCGCCTCCGCCGGGAGGCCAGTCCTACCCGCCACCTCCAAACTCTCCACCCGCGCATCAGCAACAGCAGCCACAGCACTACCCACCACCACCAGGTGGCGGACAACCCCAATATGCGCCGCCCCCAGACCACTCGCAACAACAACAATTCCCACCACCAGGAAGCACACCCGTCCAACATCAGCCCGCTCCTCAATCCCAGCCTCAGCAAGCCGTAGCATATGGCGCGCCGAGTCACAGTCCACACCCGAGCATTGGTGACCCAAGAGCTGCGGGACACCCGGGCATGCCCCAACAGCAGCAGCCCCAACAACAGCATATCCCCCAGACACCATCACAATCGCAGTTTAGCAATGTCGGCCAATCGCCATATGCGCAACAACAGGTCGCAGCACCCGCACAGCCCCAGTTCGCCGGCGCTGGTGCAGCACAGCCAAGCACGACTGCAGACGATGTAGGCACTTTCAATGGAGGAAGTTACCGCGTGAGCCACCGCGATACGAACACCATCTTGACCGTGCAATTGGCAATCGGATGTCCTTTCACTGCGAAGCCTGGTATTTCTCCCCCCGCCTCTCTCAAAATTAGGTACTGACCCAATCCAGGCGCCATGATCGCAATGTCCCCCACCATAACCCTTAAGGGCCAAATCAAATTCAGCCTGAAAAAAGCCCTCATGGGCGGCGACATGACCAAGTCCTCCTACACCGGTCCCGGTGAACTTCTCCTCGCGCCCGCCGCTATTGGCGATATTACCATCATCAAGCTCGGCGGCCACGAGCAGTGGAGCGTGGGCAAAGACGCGTTCCTCGCATGCACGCAGGGCATTGTGAGCGAATACAAGAGCCAGGGCATCGGCAAAGCCATGTTCAGCGGCGAGGGGCTTTTCGTGTATAAGATCAGTGGCCAGGGGATTTTATGGTGTACGAGCTTTGGCGCGATTATTCGGAAGGATGTAAGCACTAAGTCTCCTTCGTCCCTTCACTCTACTGTTTTTGTAAGACACTGTTTCTAACCCGTGACATAGTTGCAAAAAGACGAGAAATACATCATCGACAACGGTCACCTCGTTGCTTGGAACTGCAAGTACGTGCTCGAGCGCGTGGCGTCGGGCGGGATCTTGTCGAATATACACGCGGCTGAGGGGCTGGTGTGTAAGTTCACGGGGCCCGGGACGGTGTTCATGCAGACGAGAAATGCGCAGGCGTTTTCGGCTTGGTTGGCGGCGAATGCGGCGCCGGCTATGTAGTAGATTAAGAAGTATGGTAGGAACGGTAATCTACGTATAGCTTATTGCATGATATTGCACCGAGGACGTGGTTTCGATGTTGCACGAGCGTCGTGGCGAACGCTCTTTGGCCATCGCGGGGTTAGTGGCTTGCTGTTGTCCAGACACAAAAGACGTTAACTTACAAGAATAACTATCAAGCAGATAATCCGAAGTGTTTGGAACTCTCCACCTCTCCACAATAGCGGTCTTGTATCCGTCCGTCATTTTATCACAATGGTGGTGAAGAAGACGAGCCCTGATCCTGTCAGCCTTCGTACGACTGTGATTGCTACACTAGACAAAAGCCATAGGACCAGTTTCGTCAATCAGCCCGCTGAGAATAATGTCCATACAGACGTCGTTGTTGTAGCAGACAATGCACCGCTTACACCCGGCACGAGCGCGGAGGAAGCAGCACCAGGCGCAGGAAACATAATCCGTGACTTTACAATATCGTATGCTTAGACCTGGCGCCCTTTAAACTGAAATGTTCTCGCTAATGACCACTTGTAGCCCTTACGCGAGCGATCCCGTCGCAATCGATTGCGGCCCTGGGCTCGTCACCTATCCCGTACCGAAGCATCTTCTACATTCACCAAAGTGGTTAACCACTGATGGCGGAGGGACAATTTGCCTTCCGGGTGTGAGTGCAGCTACGGGACATACGCTCGTCCATTACCTCTACACGGGCACATATCAAGCACTTGAAGCAGAAGGAGAAGCTACAGCGCCACCGGCGCATATCAAATTCGAACAAGCCCTCTCGACTTTTGTTCTTGCCTCCACGTACGAATTGCAGACCCTTGAAATACTTTCTAAAGAGCAGATGAAAATGTATGGCAGTCGCATGGCTCTCGTTGAAATTTTGGACACTGCGAGGAAAGAGTTCTCAAAACTAGCTTGGTCCTGGTTCCACGAGTACCTGCAGGCTAGAGCTGAGGAGCAATTCCACCTCGATCATACGTTCTTCACAAGCACGGCCTTTGTTGAGAGCATAGGCGAGGGTACACTGTACCGGTTCATGATGTCTCATCTTCTGCAGATCTTTAGCGGGAAGCTTACCCACACACTGCAAAGTCGAAAAGGCCACGACCTAGGAAATAAAACGCCTGACACAGTGTTGGAAAAAATTGAGGGCACACCTGTAAATACATACTCTTGCCACTGCAGGTATCCAACAGGCATGTTTGGAGGGGAAGCGATTGGAGGCGATGGTGCTGGAGGGCATCCTCCCGTTGACGGAGGCGCAGCAGGCGGTGACCGTGGAAGCAGAGGTGATTGTGATGGATCAGGTAAGAAGGGGAAGAAGAAGAGCGGGAAGGATTTGCAGGAAGAGGAGCGCCTGGAGAAAGAAGAGGAAGAAATTTTGGCCAAGGAAGAGGAGGATTGTCTGGCCAAAGAAGCACAAGAAGAAGCGGACCGCGAGGAAAAGAGGGAAGAAGACGCGGCAGCAAGCGCAGCAGCCGATCTTAGTTGGTCAGAGCCAGCTGCACCGCCTAATGACGATTGGAGTTCATTCGTTGCAACTGAAAACACGAGGAAGAAGAAGATTGGCAAAAAGGAAGAGGTTAGTGATCGCCGCTATATGATTGAGATCCTGCGGGGCTAACTAAGTAATGGGCGGCGGAATCAGTACCCCCAATTCCTCCTCCAGCCCCGGCTGAGCCAGCATCAGCGTTCGACGACATCAAACTCGACAACATGAATCTGGACGACGGCACACCAGAAATCCATATGAACTTTGGCGGTTCTGGAGCGGGCAAGCCAAGATCTAGGTTCGGGCTGCCCAGTCATGGTGGCTGGTCTTCTGGTTGGGGTGCGTCAACCAAAGCCGCCCATACCTGGAGATCTGACGGCACTCTCAAGCCCGTAGATGACAGCTGTGAAAACCCGTGGAATTCTGCCGAGACGAAAAAGAAGCGTTCGTCTGTATTCGTCTTCGACGCTTTCAAGGGCCGTGCGGTCCAGGCGGTTGATCCATTCGCAGGTCTTAGCAAGTCGCAGAAGAAGAAACTTGAGGAACAGATGAAGCTGGACGCAAAGACCAAGAAGGAGGAAGACGCGAAGCGCGAAGCGGGAGAAGATGCGGCTGAGCTGGTTCGACAGCGAGAAGCCAAAGCTGAGCTTGTTCGCTTAGAAGAGGAGGTGGAGAAGAAGCGGATCGAGGAAGAAGAAGAAGCCGCAGCAGCCGCAGCAGCCGCGTCAGCCGCCGAGAGCGTGAAGAAGAAGAAAAAGAAAGCCGCAAAGGCGGAACCCACCGGGGAAGAAAAGAATGAAGACGGAGACTGGGGCGCCTTCGGTTCGATATCCAAATCATCCTCTAAGAAGGAGAAAGAGAAAGAAGGGAAGAAGGAATCGCCGACTGAGAAACGCGTCCGCGAAAGGCGCGAGAGAAAAGAACGAGAGGAGCAAGAACGCTCAGAGAAGGAGGCTGCCGAAAAGGCTGAAGAAGAGCGTCTTGTGCAAGAAGCAGAAGAAGCTGCTGCAGCTGAGCAGGCTCGGATCGAAGTGGAAGAAGCGGACGCTGCATCCGCGGCTGAGGCTGAGGCTGAGGCAGTCCGAGGTGCAGACGAAGAAGAAGTCGAAACGACCAGGATTGCGGAAGAAGAGGTCGAAGCAGCACGCACCTGTTCTCGCCCCCTTCACCTACTTTTGGAGGGCGATCATTTCAGATCATGCCAGCGATGTAGCGCGATGCTAAAGGAGATCTTCGTTCGTTTTGCAAGGGAAAACAGGATACCTTTGCTTGAAGAATATTAAGGAACAAGATGCTGTGTCTGGAGTGAGTCGCTGATTGTTGATACGGGATCGGAGTTTTACAACCCCAAGATGTAAGCACAAATGTAATCAGCCTCCAAAACGGTTTAACGAGGGTCGTTACTCTAACGACCTTTCTCTGCCACTAACACTTAGCCGTATGGTGCATCGCGTCGCGTTGAATAGCTCCTCAAATACCTAGGATACCTTCTCGAAACAACAATCACACGACTAGACTGCGATAGTTATTAGTGACTTGAACATGTAGAGGCTTAGATATGATGACCTGATTAAAAGGCCAACTGAACTTTTTATGGAGATGTGAGGGATTGAACGATATGTATGTGCAAGCGTTAGGTCAGCGGGGTTCGTGGCCAAGGGCGGTACGTGGACACAAACGCTATGCAGACGCGTCAAACGAAGAGGGCGAACAACATCACAGTATCATTCTTTGGCCCATCTTGGGCTTCCAGATACACATCTCAACGTGCAGCCCTCTATCATTTTAGACTCATGCTACATTGTAGAACGCACTCGCTTCTTCCTCCGTGACATCGCTCACAAAACTCCTCTTCCGATCCACAAGCCCGTACCGATTCCCTCTAATCTTCCACCACATATCTTTCCTATTCCCGTTCAGCTTGCCCTCCAGAAGATCCGACTTCAGCCCACGAATGAATTCGTTCCAAATCTCGGGCTCTTCTAGCTCAGTGAGCTCGTCTCGCATGACTCTCAGTGCCTCCAAGGCGCGTCCATATCCGCTGTCGCCAACGCTAGACCTGATGAGGCTGCGGATCTCGGTCGACATCGACTGGGCTGCTTCTTTGATAGTTTCGAGATCATCACTGGCCGCAAGGGCGTTCTTGAAAGATGGTACGAGGTTCGAAGGGTCGATTTTGACGCGGTTCGGGTTGCCAAGGAGGGCGTCAATGTCGAGGCCGGAAATGGGCTTGTCGCGCTCAGCTCGGTTGCGCTTACCACGTCCTTTGACCTTAGGTGGCACTTTTGAGACTCTGGCTGCCTTCTTTAAGGCCTCGAACTGGCTCGTGGACGCGTCCAATAGGTCTGCGGGCGGGTTTGCGTACTTTGTCAGGATATCAGACGGTGGAGGCATTGGTAGTGATGGATCCGGATGCGTTGCTCTCCATCGGATGATGTGACCAATGCGATGTACGATTGGCGAGAATGTATCTTCGGGTTTGGCATATTCGGCAGGGTTACCGTCTTCATCTCGGCCGAAGGTGGATAGATCCATGGCATCAACGTACTTGCTCATAGCGTCCGTCAACTCGTCCGTAGGTAGGTCCTTGTGCTCGGTGATGACTTTACCGCTGATCGTCAACTTTCGGTCGAGTGGTGGGAACTTGTAGCGTCGCATGTCTTCTTCAAAAGGCAGTTCTACATCCACGAGAGCCTCCCATTCAACCTCGATCCGTGGGACGAGCAACACAATCACCGGAGGCTTGAGTTCCTTTGTTACCAGTCGTGCCACGGCATAGCAATCCGCTTCATACAATGCATGAATGAACGAACTCAAGCTGAGCTGAGCTGCTTGATTTCCGCGTTGCGGGACAAGGAAGTTTGACCTGGAGAGCGGAAGGTATCGTTCGAATGCTTCAGCCTTCACGAAACCGATTAGCGAGAGCATTGGTGTAGTCTCAAGCTTGACCACGTTCATGTCAGATTCCGAGATGTGAACAGCAGTGCGACCATACTCGTAGCCTCTCTCTAACTCATCCATCTCCACGTTCTTCTTCATGCCCGGCTCCTCTTCGTTGTCTACTTGGTACACGCGCTGATTACGAACCGCAGATAGATCTGTCATAGGCTGTTCTTCGCCTGTCATAGTGTGCGAAGATTCGTCGCTCGGTCCTGCGGCACTGCCCGCTCCAAAATCGGTGCGCGTAGCGAAAGAGCTCGCTGTAGGGGGCTTGGCGAGCATTGTACATGGATAACGCTCAACATCGATGGTGAGAGTCGCATCATAGTGCCCTGGATCCCCAAGAGTGAGCTGACCTTTGAAGCTGGGTACCGGACGAGTCTCTTTCAAGCGGGGGATTTGGAGTTGATCGATAGCCTCGGCAAGCGTGCCAAAAACACCATTGCAGTCTTCTACGAAGCCCTTGAGGGATACTTCATTCTTTGCCTGGACCCATCAGTCGTGTAACGAAGAGAAATTGCTGGTCTTTACCTTCTGTGAGCTTTTGTCCTCCTCTTTGAACCCATTGTCAGGGTCATCAAAGTCAACACCCAAAAGCACCAGATCGACCGGCGCTTCTGGGTCTCTGATCTTTGCTGCAATCTGTTCCAGATCGTCCGTGTCGATAGAGCCTCGTCCGTCGGTGACAATGATGATTCGTCGGTCGTACTTAAGAGGTTTGCCACCCTTCCCCTGTGTAGCACCATCGATCATCTGGACAGCCAGCGCTAGAGCAGATAGCACTATACGTGTGAGCTTTAGGCAGCAGATTCGCAGGGTGCAGCTTACAATCACCGTCGTTAGTTTTGCTCGGTCGAAGTTGATCTTGTAGAGTTCGTATGTCGCCCAGCAGAAACCTCCGCTCTGTCAGTCCCATGCTTTTGCTCAAAGTCCACTTGGCTTACTGTTTCAGTTCTGAGAACACGCGAAGGTTTTCGTAACCCTCCGCTTCTTCCATAACACCTCCAAGGTCCGTCTCATCCGTGCGACATCCAATAACGCTCATCAACGCGCTTTTGCGTCCTGTCGCAACTCTGCCGTTCTGTCAGCCTCGCACGGCAAGTCCAACGTTATACCGAATTGGCAAATCTGCGCAACATCATTCATACAATACGCACTAAGTCACCAAAAGAACGTCGGCTTACTGTGTTGGTAATCTTATCCCAAACATACTCCAGAGCCCAATCGAGATCAGTCTGATCGCGGCCATGCCGTCTTTTCTCCCATCGACTTCCCCAGATCCAGGATGTAAACTGTTGCCTCTTTGCCCGCCATGCTTGCGACTAGACGAGGTCGCGTGAACCGTTTTGGTTCGTTAATAGTCAAGCGCGATTACCGGATGCAGCGAAATTGAACCAGCTTTTGGATTCTAGCGAAAAGAGAGAATATGAAGAATGAGCAATGAGATGAAAAGAGAGTGTTTGTTAGTGTGGGCGTTGAGGTAGCCTGGAGTGTACAACTAGGCAAACGCGGGTGCACGGACGCAAGCACGACGCGAGCTCATGTGACGTGGAGCCGCCATCCCTCCACTTCTACAATGTCGTCAACAGTTTAATACCACGTCGGTATGTGGTGGCAGGTCATCTAACCATGCCTGTGCCTAGACATAGCATGCCCTAACGCTAATAGGCAACGTATATTTTCTTCTCTAGGATACTCTATATAAAAACCTTCTTAGCATAATTAGTATATATAGTACGTATTTAAAGAGTTAAGAATTAATTCTTAATTAATTTATAGTTTATTTATAATTAATTTAATAACTTAAATTTAGAAGCTACTCTACTATAGCTACCTCTTCTCTTCTCTTTCTAATTATTAGTACTAACGTTCTAATTATTAATATAGGATTTTTTTAATCTAGACTTTAATAAGACTAAAGATTTTAAGTAGCTTAAAGACTCTATAATAGAGATACTAAAGGAGGTTAAAGAGATAGTAAGTACTTTAAATTAATTAATAATTAATTTATAGCTAATTAGTTTAGAAACGTTATATAATAACGTCTAGTAATAAGAATAACAACGCTCTCTAAGCTAACTACCTTAAATTTCTAGCTATAATCTCTACTTACTCTCGCTCTAGCATTAATAGCTATATATCTATTATCTAACTAAATAGCTTAGCTATACAGCGTTAAAGATAAAAGATATAATTAGAGTATGCTAAAAGCATAAGTATTTACGTAAATTAATTATTAATTAATTATTAATTAATTTTCTACTAGTTCTAGTACTATAAAGCTATTAAGATAGAGAAGAAGACTACCTTCTATTTACTATTAAATACCTAAGCTTATTGCTAAGTTCTGTACTATACTAGAGTTTAGATTTATAAATTTATTAATAATAAATTACAGATTTATTTCTATACTAAGGTTAATAATAACTTCTATAATAAAATCTGCTAATATAAGAGCACTATTACTTAGCTTAAGCTTAATCTATTAAAGTATAAAGCTAAGAACTTCTTTAATGCACTTATAAGGCGCTTTATTACTAGATATTATAATATGCTAACTAAGGCATGCTGCTCTAAGCTTACTATATTAAAGAGAATAATAAGTTACCTAAATTAATTATTAATTAATTACTAATTAATTTAGCTGCTAACTAGTACTCTACGCTAGCTTATAATATATAATGCCTAGATACCTAAGACTAAATACTAGATTTAAAATATTCTAAAGAATATAGATCTTAAGTACTTATATACTCTAATTAGTAGCATTACTAAGCTTCCTTAAGAGCGCTATATAATAGTTAAGCTACTAGTCTATTATACTTCTAAGTATAGTAGGTTAATTAATAAATTTATTGCTAATTAATTCTAAGTTTATTTAGGCGTAAACTATATCTAGAGCTAGAGCTAGATAGTTAAGCAGAAATGCAATGTTATATTTAATATTATTATTCTAGTAGATACTATATATATTCTATATATTATAGTTATCTTAACTAAGATATATACTTATATCTTACTCTTACTATAGAAGATTAATAGAGATAAGATAAATATAATTATTAGCATTCTTTAGCTTATATTAAGTTCTATAATTACTAGAAGTATATTTTAGCGTAATTAATTACTAATTAATTGCTAAATTATTATAGCTTTCTTCCTATTCTTCTTTCTCTTCTAAGTATATCTTATATAGCGTAGCTATTAGTCTATAGAATAACTAAGCACTACGCTTACTAACAAAGACTAGCTTATATGCCTTATTTATTATAAGAAGCTTCTAAAGTTTCTATATAGTAGTAGCTTTAAGAGTATATTATTTAAATAGAGAACTAACTACTAGGATAAAGAATATATAAGCATACGTACTAAATAAATTAATAATAAATTCTAAATTATTTTAAGCTTATATCTAACGCGTGCTCTCTGTAATTAATAGAGATATTATTATTTATATATTTAAAGATTAAGCAAAGCTACTTATAAAGCAGAATATGTTCTAAGTTAATATATTATTTAAGAGGTTTAGAGATAGCTAGTCTAAGATTCTCTTTACTTTATTCCTTAAGAATTATAGAAAAAGTATAAATTTATTTTTAATTTATTGCAAAGTAATCTTACTAGAGTATAGTTTTTATATATAGTTGCATTATTACTAATATCTAGATCTTAGCTATATATAAGAAAGCATTTATAGCCTACTTTAAGGTTATTAAAGAGCTCTTAGAGCAGAAGTTCTAATAGCTGCATATCTACTATAATAGCTATATAAGAATTACTATTAATATAGATATAAAATAGATAGCTAGTTTATAAATTAATTATTAATTAATTTATAATTAACTAACGTTTATAGGCTTTAGGCAATACTTCTCTGCTATTAACTTAAACTATGCAGAATAATATAAATAGCTTATAAGCTATATACGCTTCTATAAGATTTACTTTCTTTATAGTATTAATAAAGTTATACCTTATATACCTTATATAGAAGACTCTAAGTAGAGACATATGCATGCTCTCTTAACTGCTAAGAGCGCTATAGAGTATATAGAATTATATAATCTTCTAATATATAAGTATTAATAATTAATTTAGAATAAGTTCTAAATTAATTTAGTTATAGCATTAAGTAATACTATAGAAGAGTAGGCAAGGTATAAGCAGAACTGCATTATTATAGCTAGCTTAAATATTTACTATAGTTGCATAGGCTAAGCTATATAGAATACTCTTATCTTTTACTCTAATGCTATTAAGTAAGTAGCATTAAAGAGGTACTATACTAGGTAACGCTATACGCTTCTTATAGAGTTAAAGATATATATAGTATCTAAATTTATTATTAATTAATTAATAATTAATTAATATTAGAGAGTAGAAGAATGCATATAAATAAGCAGAATATTTAGAAGTAGAAAGCTTATAACTAAGCTAGTATGCACTATAACTTATATAAGCTACTTAGGTTAAAAGATAAGTATCTTAAGAATATAAGTAGAGAGCTAAGTAGTAAGTTTTACTTAAATAAGTTATTAATAAATTCTAACTTTATTTAAGAGCGTTATAAGAGTAGAGCTACTTAGAAGATTATTAAGATATTAGATAATAAAGAAGATATGCTTAAAAGCCTAGAGAACTTTAGTTTAAGTAAAGTAAGGTGCTTATGCTCTTATATAAAGATAAGTAAAGCTAAAAAAGTAGCGCATATAAGATTATATTAGTTATTACTTTTTAGAAGCTTATCTATGCGCAGGTTCTCTTTACTAGCAAGATACTATTTAGATCTAAATTAATTACTAATTAATTACTAACTAATTATAGCTTAGCATCTAATATAGTTAACCTTAAGCGCTAATAATTTAATATAAAGCGCAAAAGAACTATTCTTAATAGAGAGATATATTAGTTTAGAATTATAGAGAAGAAAGTAGAGTTAGTACTTTATATATATAAGTTAATTATATAATAAGAGCAAGAGAGGCTATAGATAAGTAGAAGAGTTAAAAGTAGTTTATATTTAATCTTAATTAGAGAAGAGTATAGATCTATAAGCAACTAACTATTAATTAATTATAAATTAATTATTTAGTAGATTAGATATGCAGTAACCTATAATAGTCTAGTAGTATAAAGAGTTTTTAACGCTAAATTAAAGCTATCTATCTTCCTCTTATCTCTATTCTCTACCTCTATATCTAATCTAAACTATAATAATAGCAAATAACTAGTTGCATAATAGTATAAGTATTACTAAAGTTAAATTAATTATTAATTAATTCTAAAATAGTTTAGCTAATCTACTAGTAATATACTATACTAGCTACTTCTCTGCTTAGGTTAATACTATTTATAGCTATAGATAATTAGAGATACTATCTTCTTACTGCTAGTAAGCTCTTCTATTAAGCTCTAGTTAAAGGTAGTAATATAATATATTATATAAGTAATATTTTGCTTTAAACGCATAGTCTTAAATTAATTCTTAATTAATTTAGAAAAAGTTCTCCTTGTGTAATACTCTTAGCAATTATATATATATATATTATTTTTCTTTCTCTTTAGCAGTTATACTTAGTAAGCTAATATCTATAAAGTAAATAGCAGAAGAACTTATATTTATTTAGGCTAAAATAGAATACTATTACTTTCTAGAAAGAGAAGCTAATTAAGAGCAAACTCTCTACGTTGCAGAATTAGTTATAAATAAATTCTTAATTTATTTCTCTTCTAGTTTAGCATAATAGAGTATACTAGCATATAGAATATAGCTAGAAGCTATTAAGCTAGAGATATTAGTCTCTGTAGATAAGGCTAATTATTAGATAGAGAAAGAGCAAGGTAAAGAGAGCATAGTATCTACTAATAATTAGTTACTAATTAATTCTAAACTACTCTTACTGCTACTATAGCAGATACCTATCTATAAAGAGATAAATAAAGAAAAGTAGTAGAAGAGAGAGCAAATTAATATATATAAGTCTTACTAAGCTCTTATTATATATAGCTATTATAGTTCTTATTAGAATTATAGAAAGAAGTAAGTAAAAAGGTGTTTACTTAAGAGGCTATATTTAAATAGGCAGCTTTTTATATTAGGCAATTTATAGTTATATAAGAATCTACTTTAATTGCTCTATATAATGCCTAAAGGCCTAAATATATTAGAAATTAATTACTAATTAATTCTACTAACAGCAGCAAACTTAGAAGTTACTAAAGTAAAAGAGGTAAGTAGAGAATAAGCTTAAGCTAGAGAAACTACAGAGAGATATCTAGTCTAACTCTAAATTATATAAGAACTTAGATAAGAGCTCTAGCTAGTTATAAATTAGTATAAATTAATTATTAATTAATTATAAGTTAATTTAACATACTAAGCTACTGCTAACCTTAGAGCTAGAAGGTTTAACACTCTTAGCGTTAAAGCCTAGTATAGGAAGAGAGAGAAAGCTATAGCTAGTAACCTAATCTTCCTTAGACTCTTTATTATCCTAGTTATATATTAGCAAAAATAAATTATAAATAAATTCTAAATTTATTTAACTTATAGAGTTAGAGTCTAATAAAGAAGAAGAGAGGAGAGCATTGCTAAGCTGCTCCTTACTACTAATAAGATTATTATCCTAGTTATATATTAGCAAGAATAAATTATAAATAAATTCTAAATTTATTTAACCTATAGAGTTAGAGTCTAATAAAGGAGAAAAGAAGAAGCTATTGCTAGGCTGCTTATTATCCTTATTACTATTAAGATTATTATTCTAGTTATATATTAGCAAGAATAAATTATAAATTAATTTTAAATTTATTCTACTTACGCTGCTAAAATTAAAGAAGAGGTTCTTATTATTATCTCTAAGGCTACTACTTCTAAGACTACTATTATTCTAGTTACTCTTATTCTTATCCTAGCTATATATTAGTATAAATAAATTATAAATAAATTATAAATTAATTCTACTTATAGAGCTTAATAATAAGTCTAATGAAGAAGAGTTAGACTTATTAGCTAGCGCGTTATTCTTAGCAGCTAGCTTTATCTAGAGATCTCTATTCTTATAGAGCTAGTGCAGGCTAAGCCTAAAGTAGTTATACTCTATAATAAATTAGTAATTAATTTTTAATTAATTCTTAATTAATTTAGCTATAAGCATACTTACTATTAAGCTTCTCTTCCTTACTAATCTTAGCATTAGCTATATAGGTCTTATAGAAGAACGCCTTTCTAGAAATAGCTATATAAGCTGCGTGCATGCGCATAAGATCTAGCTATATCTTTATTAAAATTAATTACTAATTAATTAGAAATTAATTTAACTTATATTGCTGTTAGGCAAGCAGAGAACGTTCTAGAGTAGAGAGTAAGCAACTAGAACTAAGGCAGCAGCAGTAAGCAGCAGAGCAGTAGCAGTATAGTATATAGCTATAGTATTAGCTTAGAAGACTAAATTAGTTAGCAATTAATTAATAATTAATTTAAGTACTCTTACTCTTCTCTTAGATAATAAGCTAAGAGTTAGATATGCTAACTCTACTAGCACGTGCAGCTCTTACTTAGTAGTTCTAAAATAGATAGTTCTTTAGATTGCTTAGCTAGTGCTAGGAGTATTCTGCACTAAACCTTATCTATATGCATAATAGAATTACTTGCTTAATTAAGCGCAAAGAGACCTATAGTAAGAGAAATCTAACCTAGAGTATAATACTATTTATAAGAGAGCTAGAATAAATTATTAATAAGTTATTAATAAATTCTAGCGCAGTATATATAAATCTATCTAGGACTATAGAGACTACGTTGCTAGCTATTGCTATTAGTAGAGGCTACTTAGAGCGCAGTGCTAGAAAGTAGTAAAGTATATATTATAAATTATAATTTCTAGGTATAGTTAAATTAATTATTAATTAATTAGTAGTTAATTCGCGCTTATTAGCAAAAACTTGCTTAACTATTAGCGCCTAAGGTTAGGCTGCGCATAGACGCTTAGCATGCCATCCTTGGCACGCGCATGGTCAGATGACTTGCTTCCTGCGTCGGTATTTCTTGTATCTGGTCGCACCAAACAGTAGTTCTGTTGAGCTGATGAACGGAGTTTTGAGTTCCTCGCCACCAGGCTCCTTAAGACGCGTCGCTGCCGATCACTCCAAGGCCGACTCCTCCATGCCCAGGAAATACGCATGAACAGAGACCCAGAGTATTTGTTTGTAGCAAAATCCACTGTCTCTCTAGCAAGGTCACATGTTAGCTAAGCCACTTGTCATAAGCAATGCCCTTACGGTTCCAATTGCCAACATTGAGACCTCGGAATTTGATGGTGCCGTGTAGAGTTCTCACCTTGCGTACGCCGGGCACAATCCGAGGTTGGCATTGCACTGCTGGCCTCCTCCTATGGCGGACTTCTGGGGCTTTTAATGCAATTGATTTCGCTCACAGCAAAAGCAACCGATGATCTCAGGGAAAATTCAACTGTTCAGCCGTGGGAATGCTTTGCTCGTTGCGTCCACGCATCTATCTTCCAATCTCCCATGTACCAAAAACAAGTCGAGAAGTAGTATGTACCACGTCATGGCATACAGCAGCTCCGCGGCATCCCACCGCCGCAAACCCCGATGTGGACGATACCGCATACTGCATGTTGGCACACATGCGACGAACACTGAGAGGGGTAGCTCTAAAACGTCCTCCCTCAAAGTGATTAACACATTCGCTAATCACATAGACGAGATTCTAAGCTCTAGCTACATCTTCTTGAAGTTTTCACTTTTCAGCGACTGTTTTAATGGCTGAGTTATCGTCATCTACCCCTGCAGCACCCCTGTTGCTTTCTGTCGTATGTCCCAACCCGCCGTACTTGCATGGTTACACACAACCTAGAGCACGAGTATCAGGGATTCCAAGCCGCCACTTCGAATCCCTATACGCCCTGAACCGCCTGAGTGCCACTTTATTGCACCGAGGATCTGTCAGAACATCTCGCCTCTCCAGCCCCTGGATACGTTGCCCACCTTCCTGACAAACCTCACCTGTACGGTGCGCTTCCTTCATCGAACGTCTTGCCATTCCCAGCGCCGGCCAGCAAGAGGGCTAAGCATAGAGAACAGACGCTGGTGGAACGACATGCGTAAGTCACGGTCGTAAAGCTCGTCACCTCTGATGACACTGACCTTGACATAGGATTTTACTCTGCGGAAGTCCCGCCCAGACAGGCATGGTTGGAGCTTCGAACACCTGGCCTCCAACGTCGAGGGATGAGCGTGCTGCTGAGCAAGTTCCCAGCAGGAACATCCTGTCAGCGGACTTCAATCCTCATCCTCTGTCTCTACATATTCTGAGCGACGAAGAACTCTACAAACCCGGTTTCTTGGTGGAATTAGATTATTTTTTGTCCCTGTATATAACCTAAGTGTTCGTTCTCTTCTTCCTCTGTTCCACACGCATCGTGTTAGAACACCATAGTTGATACAACGATACAACCAACCCGGAGATGCTTTTAAAAGCCTGCATCAATTCTATAGGTCGCCGGAGCAAAACAAAGTGCTACCGTACCCGTGCCAATGCCCAGTGTTACACAATACCCACCATTTCCTCATCTACCCGCCCGCCCATGCTACGCTTACTGCTCAATAGGTAGACAGTAACGCCATCTATGTTCTCTGTCACAAATTCCCCTTCAGCGTCTCTCCGACTACATAGCCTAAACAATTCCACCTCAACATCGATCTAGGCGGTGCCCGCGCAAACCCATCACTCTCCACGTCAAACCCGAGTGTCCGGGGTCCGAAGTCCCAATCCATGTACGCCACTTCGAACCCCCTCTGCGCCGTGAACCCCCCAAGTGCCACTTTATTCCACCAAAGATGCGATGTCTTCGCCTGGAAGAGATCTCGCGGTCCTCCATACCTGCGACCATCAATGACCGCGCAGGGCATGGAGACGCCGCATCAGGCGCGATCACATCCAAAAACGATTCCGACCTAGGCGAAGCCAGAACGAACTTGAAGCGATGCTGCGACTGATCAGAGCGCGCAATTTCATAAGCGCCTGCCAAGGGTTCCTGCCATCAGGCTGAGTGTTGGTGCCATCAGCCAGAGCATCGTTCCTCTCGTTCGGCTCTTGATCTTCCCCAGCCGCCTCTAAGACTGTCGAGCTTATGTTCAGTCTGCTGCACATCACTCAGCAACGTAGAGGCAGAGTTGACAGGGTTCTGGAAGTATTTCCTGCCCGCTATGTCAATGGGGGCATTAGGGGCAGACCATCGACATCGGCCCCACCTTTCCAAGGGGGGTTCATGCCCACTTGACAGCATCAGAAAATGATGGTTGTCTCCAAAAATTGGCATTCTTGGTGGAATGCATTTATTCTTTTTATAAATTTTTGGTTCTTTGGCTGTGTTGTTTTCTACACACATGAGACGCGTGCGGTAGTTGAACACGGGAATGTAAATATGTCGAAGGGTATAGACATGTTGTCTCTAGTGCAAGTTATGTATGTACCTGCGCAAGTTCGTCCACCACGACCATTACCACCTTAATCAGCCATCACATCAAAACATCGTCACATCACCACGCCCATGTAACAAATGTCAAGGAAATTAGGGATTTCATTTCACTATAGGAAAGAAGCAACTTATGCCAATGAAACAAAAATCCTCTGCCATGCCGTGGCGCCATATCGCGCCCGATTCCGTCGAGGAGAGTTGTTGTGTACCTTTCTCGCCAAAGGAGTGTGTTTCGCCGATACAAAAGCCTTGCGCCATAGAATTCGTACTAGTCAAATCGATTGACGAGAAAAGAAGAGAAACAAACCTCAGTATACGTCCGCTTGTCCTGCGGAGCCGCATCTATCACTACACACTGTCTCGGCTATGTTGAAGTGCTACGTACTGCATAACTTGTCTGTACAGCTCAAGGCATCTCCTCGTCGCTAGCATCGAGAATGTCGTACTCCTCGTCGGTCATGAAACCGTCATCGGACTGCAGAGCTACGCTCTCGGCATCCTCGAAGAACTCATCATCAGAGGCAACAGTAACAGTGCGGGCGATAGTGCTCTTCTCAGACTTTGGTGATTCGGGCTGGGCAGTAGTGGTGGTGCTCTCGTAGGTGCTAGACTCCGGTGACTCCTTGTCAAGCTGGGGGAAGATCATGCCGGATGACTTTGGCTCTGGCGAACGCTCGACGAACTTCTCTTCTACGGGGAGCTCAGCTGCGTCAGCCTCAACCTCCTGCTCATCGTGCTTGATGGTGGCCAATGCAGCCTCGTTTTCACGACGACGGCGCTCGAGCACACGCTCAACAGCAATCTTGCGGAGACGCGCAATGCTGGCCATCTGCTGCTGCTCAGCGCAAAGCGACTGCTGGGCTGCCTTCATCTTGTCGAGTCTAGCCTGGAGCAGGCGCTCGTAGAGAGGGTGCTTGGCTGATGCAGACTCAGGCGATGCGCGGAAGGAAGGCGATGGAGGAGAAACGACGTTGATGTCGCACCAGAGACGGTGACCGAACGGGATACCGTCAGCAGTCTTAAGGCGCCAGTATGAGATAGCGGTACCCTCACGATGAGGTGCCTTCATGATAACGCGGAAGGCAATCTCTTCGCCGGCCTCAACTGGACGACCAATGACGTTGCTCTCGCTAGCTTCGGCGAGCTCAGCTTGGCTAAGAGGGCGGTTGTTGTCAATGTTGAGCATGTTGTCACCTCCAACGTGGCGGACACTGCAGCCAGCTGGCCAAGCATTGGGTCCCGGGTTGCGCAGGGTCCAGACCTGGACGAACTGGTGGCCGACGTTGATCTTGGAGCCGTCAATGATGGTATCGCGGATAAAGTGAGCATCCAGGCCCTCGTTCTTGGAGTCGTTCATGGAAGACTCAAGCTTGCTCTCGTCCTCGGATGGGACGACAACCTTTTCCTGTACGGGCTCGACGGTATCTACAAGAAGATCGCGAATGGCGATCTTCTCCTTCTTGGTCTGAGTCTCTTCCGAGGGCTTGAGATCAACGACTGTCTGAACCTGGGTGGCGGCATTTGCGGATGGAGCGACTGGAGTCGTCTCGGTAGCAGTTGATCGCTGAGGCTGGCGATCGCCGAGCTTAGCCATGGATTGTCCGCTCATGTCATCGTTCATGGTCGTAACGCTGACGCTACGAACGGGGGTCTTAAACTTGATGAGAGGATGAGTGTGGTTGTGACGGTTGCTCGGGTGAGCCTCGCAGTGCTGGCAGAAATCGGTGTCGTGACACACAGCGCACTTGTAACGGACACCCTCAATGTAAGACATGTTCTCCTTGTCCTTGCACAGGGGACCGTCACAATAGATGCCGCAGTGGCGGTTGCCGCTGTTGAGAGGCTCGGCCAAAGGTTCATAGATTGGCACAAAGCGATGGCGGGGGTGGATGTGCTTCGCGCTCTTGACACAGCTGGAGCAGTAGTCCCAGTCTGGGCAGTTCAAGCACTTGTGACGGACGCCATAGATGAACTTGTCGCATCCGTCGCAAACGGCGGAGTGGCGGACATTGCGTCCGGAGTTGCAAAGGAAGTCTGCCAAAGTTGGGAGGGCAGCATCAGAGGTAGCAGCGGTGAAAGCATGACCGGGGTGGTGGCCGTGCTTGTTGCCGATGTGGCAGTCCATGCACAAGTCGTAGTCTTCGCAGGAAAGGCAGGTGACGAACTCCTTCTCGGGGAGGCTCTTGACGCAGCAGTTGCATGTGCGGGTGGGCTCGTCATCAGAGACGACCGACTGCTTCTCGTCCGTGTAGGCGCCAGGGACTTCGCGGGTCTCCTCGGCCTTGATCTTGGGGGGAATGCGCTGGGTGGTGCTGTTCACGACACAGCCGTTCTTGACGAAGCGCTTGACCATCCAGTGGCCAGTGCCAGGGCAGTGGATTCCGGTATCCACGCAAGCGGGGCAGAGATCGTAGTCGCCGCCGTCGCAGACGCCGCAGTGGAAGTGCTCGTCTTCCATGGGGTGGTTGCAGTTGTTGCAGTACACGACCCACGAGGTGCAGGTGCTCGGCTTAGGGCGGAATGCGAGATCGGCATTGTATGGGTTGCTCGCGAGGTTGTGGAAGAAGCCTACTCGTACTGTTAGTCGTCACTCTGATCATCCACTGCGAAGTCTTACTCTGGCGGGTGGTGAAGGAGCGTGGCAATGGAGCCTCGCCCTCGGCATCCACCGGCTTCGGCGGCGACACCGGGCTGATGGGCTCAAACTTGGCGGGTGCAGTGTTACCTGCTGGCGAGCGCGCGATGACGGGCGAAACAGGTGCGGCGGTCTGAGGCCTCAGCGTGTCCGCGCTCATGCGGTGCAGCGATGGGACAAAGCTGGGAATGGCTTCTGGCTTGGCGGCAGGCGCGAAAGTCGGCACCTCGGTCTGCTCACCTGGGATGGTGGCACGCAGACGGAGCTTGAGCTTTGCCTTTGCAGCTCGGAACAGCGTCTTGTAGACCTGCGGCTTGTCCGAGTCGAGGGTGACGTAGGATGCTGACGAGTCGGAGTAGCGCTCGAACACGACATGCTCATCAGCAGTCACCTGGAGGATGCTACGAAGCTGCACAAAGTGACTGCAGTTAGTTTCAAGCTACTATCAGAGCTCCGTTCGCATGCCTGGGAGCTCAGTGCCAGGCTGACACTTGGCCGAGGCTGCGGTCTGGGGGCGACGAACCTTCTCTGGGAGCACATGGGCGCCGAGGTCCTTCAGCGGCAGCTTGAACTTCTTGGTCTGGCCGCGGAACAGGATCTTGACCACGATGGGCGTGTCCAAAGTCACGGGCACGTTGGTTGTCGCCATGGCGGGCAAGTGAGGCTGATCAACGTGATCAGTGACGTTGGTGGGTATAAGGCGGCTGCTGCGAGCTCGTTGCCGCAATGGTCGACGAAGGGAGTGCTGCAGCTAGTAGAGGGTTGATGTGGAGGAGGTTCTTGATGGGGATGCGGAGGAAGATGTAGGGGGAGGTGGAGCAGGCGAGGGTCGTGGTCGTGTCGTAGCTGCCTTGAGCGGGGCCAATGCGCACCGGCCGCCAACTCCACACCGGAACGAACAAGCTCCAAGCTCCAGATGGCGCACTCTACTCTAGTCGGCCCACTTTCCCAGAGGCAGCAGTAACTGTCGTCACCCGTTGCTTATTCACGGACAGTAAGAGTGCCGACGATGACTTGTCATATCTTACTGGAGCTGCTGCTGAAGAGGCGAGCAAACAAGAGTGAGGCGCGCAGCAGCTCCACGTGATGACGATATCGTTTCACTATCAATTCGCGCTAGTATAGATAAGATCAATGGCAACGTGACGCAAGCGCTTCCACACTTTACATCGATTTGCGGTTAGCAGCTGGCTAGATGCGAAGTCTGACCGCTACACGACCGTTGGACAGAAGACCTGCCGTGCGCCAGCTTCAATTTGGCACGTACACATGTACAAGGCGACAACCCGGTTCAAGAGCACCATCGATTACTCATCTTACAGCAGTACTCTGGCGCAGGGTGTCCAGAATAAACAGATGAAATGCGGGTAGTAATGCTGATGCTGAGACGCAGTGGTTGAACCGTACTTGTCACCTTGCAGTTCCACGGTATGAGAGATGACCGGTCTGCCACCCCGAGGACGCACATGTGACCGATAGACCGTGTTGCTGGGATGCCACTAAACGTATCTGAAGCTCTGGCATGCAAAGCTGCATGGCTCGAATGTTAGCAAGACCCAGCTCGATGGTATGCAGTCCCATCTTCAATGATCTGGAGACCAGTCGAGGTCGTGAAGGTTGCTGCGTACTAATATCGTGACTAAGCTGGGGGCCCACTTGTAGCCGCACGCTAGTAAATTCCGCGCTGCATGAAAAAGTTCGAGAACCCGATCCTGCAAAACAACATCGTGTACCATGTCGAAACATACCAAAGAAGACTCTCCCGAGGAGGTGGAGGTTGTGAAGAAGTCTGAGCGCAAGGAAAAGAAGGAGAAGAAAGACAAAGAGCGGTCGAAATCTAAAAAGTCCAAATCCGAAGTCACTGAACCCGCCGCTGCCGACGATGCGACAGCGACAGACACACCCGCGAAGAAGCGCAAGCGCGAGATACTGCCTGACGAGATCGAGATTGATGTGAGCGCACCGGAGCCCGCGTCGAAAAAGGAGGCCCGTAGATTGAAGAAGGCCAAATTGAACCCTCCCACAACCAGCGGCGCCGAAGGAACCACAGATGGGAAGGCGGTTGCCGATACCGAAGACAAGAGCAAGTCAGACAAGCGATCAGACTTCGGAGTCTGGATAGGCAATCTGCCATGGTCGGCGACGAAGGAGTCGCTCAGGAATTTCCTGATGGAGAACACGGAGATGACTGCAGAGCAAATCACGCGAGTACACATGCCGCCGCCCACGAAACCAGTGAACCCCAACTGGAGCACAAAGCCTCTCAACAAGGGCTTCGCATACGTCGACTTCTCCACCGAACTCGCCATGTACTCCGCAATCGCCTTGACAGAGACAAAGATGGACGGCCGCGCATTGCTCATCAAGAACGCAAAGAGCTTCGAAGGACGCCCAGACAAGCCCAAGGAAGAGCAGGAGCAAGACACCGGCCGCGGCGCCAAAGGTGCCGTCAAATCCGCGCACCCACCCAACAAGCGCGTCTTCGTTGGCAACCTCTCCTTCGACGTAACCAAGGAAGAACTCCAAGTCCACTACAGCCAATGCGGCCCGATCGAAAACCTACACATGGCGACATTCGAAGACTCAGGAAAGTGCAAGGGCTACGCATGGGTTACGTTTGGCGACGTCGAGGCCGCAACGTCTGCCGTGAAAGGCTTCATCTTCAAGACCGAGGCCGAAATCAAGCGCGAGAAGAAAGGTCCAGCGGCCAAAGACGATAATTCTGAGTCTGAATCCGATCTCCCCAAGGCCAACAAGAAGCGAAAATGGCTCCTCAACCGCCTCAACGGGCGCGAAATGCGCTGCGAATTCGCCGAGGATGCGACGACGAGGTATAACAAGAGGTACGGCAAGGAGAAGGAGGCAGACCCAGTTGATGGCGTAAATCCCGCGCGGTGGAAGAACTTCGGGGGTGGAGATAGAGGTGGAGGTGGAGGCCGTGGCGGAGGATTTGCCGGCAAGAGGGAGTGGAAGCCGAGGGAGAAGGTTGATGCGAGGACGATTCCGAGTGGAAAAGCGCATTCGAGTGCGCAGAGGGCGAGTCAGGCTATTGTGGAGTCGCAGGGCAAGAAGACGACGTTTGAGTAGGGGCTACGGTTTAATGATACCATTTTTTGGTGCAATATGAACTACCTGACCCGTGTTGTGATGTTGGGTATCGTCCAAGTGTAAGAGGAAGCGCGGCCATCGCAAATTTCGAATTGACAACGACAGCCTCATGCTGCTCATTCACATCATGCTGAGGTGCGCTGCCTCCCTTGGGTTTATCGTGCAACGCCACCTACCCTTGCGCATGCGATATGCACGCTGCTGCGCCTTGTCGCTGACCCCAAGAACTGTTGTTAGCTATGTATGTAGCCTAGCGACTTTAGCTTGCCGCATCACTCCCCGATCGAAAACACGATGCGCGATGTTTCTAGACATCGCGTTGCAGCTTTCTCTCTAGCTGTATCGCACTTCTGCATACGAGCAGTCAAGCCTCCTGCAGTGGACGAAAATATCTGGCAAAGTGGAGGCGTTCATTTCTCTCCGAAAACAACCCACGGAGCTTGACCACCAATACGCCAGATTAACATCATTGTAATGGCTTCTAAAGATACTCTATCTGGTCCTTCAGGTAAAGAGCTACCTTACTCCATGGCACCACTGAATCTATCCAAGAATGAGATGAGGCTAGTAGAACTTCGACGCAATGACGAATCCGCTATACCGACATGCATCTTGCGATCGTACCCAATTGACGGACCTTTTCCACCATACGTTGCGCTTTCATACGCCTGGGGTGAGAAATTGAACTACAGAGGTATCGACCTCAACGGGGTTTTATTTCCCTTGGGCCGAAACGTTTGGACATTCCTTCAAGATATGAGAGAGAGTGGGAGATACGGTACATACTGGATCGACGCCATTTCGATTGACCAAAATAACGTAAGAGAGCGCAATCACCAGGTCCAGATGATGCGGCAAATTTACAGTAACGCTGAGTCGGTCTCAATATGGCTTGGTGAGATGGATTCTGAATTTGATTAGTATACGGCTATGGCCATTCTGGAAGCTGGAGGCCGTAGTCAAGAGACTTTTCGGACTTCCAAAGTAGACAAAGCAATGCTTGCTCTATGTGGAAGACAGTATTGGACACGAACTTGGATCGTCCAAGAGATACTGCTCGCGAAGGAGATTTTCGTATACTGCGGCGTAGCAAAAGTGCACTGGACCACGTTCGCAGACTTCTTTGACATTGATAATGTCATGGTATCGAACACATGGGGAGAATCATCCCGCATCTCTCCTGTCATCGAATCAGCAGCTGCAGATATTGTCAGAGCAAAGATCGACCGGAACACAAAGGGTTCTCAGCCTCGACCACTAATGGACTTGATCAAGTTATGCCACAAGCAGCAGTCAACAGATATTCGGGACAAAATCTACGCGCTCCACGGTCTCGCCAGTGACACGGAAGACATGGTCATCGACTATGATGTGCCTGTAGAACAACTCCTTGTCATCGTTCTGAAGCGTACCCTGGCATCAATTCCACCGACCAATAATCTCGACATCGAAAATGCGAGAATAGAGATTCTGCAGACTGAAGAAACACTTCGCGATGCCCTAGGGATCTACCATTATATTGAAGAGGTCGACAACATCATATACGCTGAGGAACGACGTATCACAAGCAAATGCAAAACGAAGGCAATTAAAGCTATACAAGCTGATGCGCAAGGTTCCCCACACTACTTATCCTGGAGACACCAGATACTCGAGGGAGCCCTTTCGAATAGATTCTTGGGACCATCTCCCAGATCCGTTAAAGAAGGACTTGATCTATTCCACAGTCCCACTAAGTCTGTGGAAGCGTGGCATGGGGCTCGTAAAACTACAGCGCAACGACGATACAGACATCTTGACATGTAACATGCGACCGTACTTAATCGATAGACCTCGTTCGCCTTGCGTCGTGCTTTCATACGCTTGGGGTAATAAAGTGCAATACATTAGCATTATCTGGCTCCGGTATCGTCCACCCACACTACCTAGGTAGTAGAGCTAAATCATACACTTTCGTCAATTGTCAGCATTGTTGGGACGGACCTTTCAGTCTGAGATCGTTGGAATCACCGGTTTTGGATCGATAAAAGAATTCTGCTCAATTAGAAATTGTACGTAATAAAAAGCTACCTTGAAAACGGTAAGTTGAGTGACTGCAGAGCTTATTGGGTTGCGTGTTAGCTACTCCTTATCCCAAACGCCAACTTCCAATTCCACCTCGAAGCTTCTCCTATACACTGAAAATAAATCTTGTTCCTTCCCGCCCGGGATTTCTGGGCTTTTGCTTCGGCATATGCGGGGTTTCCGAACGTCTTGCGCAGGGTGTCTAGCGAGAACTACCCTCGTTGGGCTTTGTGGTCGCCAGCGCTGGTGTGTATCTCTTCGCTGTCTCGCTTGGTTCAACGTGTACCCCTTTACCTCGCACTTCCTTGGTCTTCCCAGTCTTGTCTAGCTCGGTCGTTTTGATATTTGGTTCCTCTCCTAGCAGCCTTCTCTTGAACTTCACCATTGAGTCCTTCTTCCACCTCGCCATTGGTGTCTCTTCCTTTCCATCCTCTGCGCGGCCGCCAAACATGATGTCAAAACGTTTTAGCGACAAAACCACAAGCACACCCGTAATTAGAAAGGTCAGAAATTCTGTGCCGACTTTAAGATCGTTAGAGGTCGCAGTGTACGGAAGCTCGCAGTGGGATACTCACCAAATATACCCGCCATCTTCCCCCCATGATAAGCCAAGTCCTTCTTAGAGGTACTATCACCGCCGCTGTTCCCAACACGGAGCCGGTCAAAGGAGTTCATGTTCAACGCAAACAGCGCAGTGAGAAATGCCAATGGCGTAAAGAAAATTGTTACGACTGCGAACCCAATAGCGGCAGTGCTAATGAGCACGCCAGCGTGTGAGTCCTCGACGCTGGCAAATGTTCGCTTTAGATTGAGTAAATCCTGGCAGGTTTTCTCTATGCGTTCAGCGTCACCGTCGATCTTCTCTGTTCTTGTCTGGTATTCGTCGAGACTTTTTAGCGCCCTCTGGACGTCGGCCCACGAATGTGAGAAAGTGGCTTCGCTTCTATATTGAGATTCGTCCCGTTTTTTCAACAGTTTTTGCATGATATCTTTCTGTTGCGCTAGGATGTGCTGTATCATAGCTAACTCACTCCGACAATCCGAGAGACGGTAGAGGAGGTCTACCTCGGTTTTATACTTTATGTCCTTGCGCATGGTTTCTTTGGTGTAAGTCATGACATCTGTCAAAACAGAGACAACGCGCTGTTCGAATACGTCTAGTGTTGAGCGAGATTCAAATGAGCGAAAGTACCGGTCGTGTCCGAATTGCTTAACCCGATTTGCCATGAAAATTCCCATCTGAAGATACTTGTCTTTTTCCACTTCTAGCTCATTGGTATGAACTGCATCCTCTTCGTATTCGTAAGCGGAAATGATAGTGTTATCCAATTTCCAAAGCCATAGTTGCGGTACGATGAGTATAGGAAATCCCTTCACTTTTTTGCGGGTTTGGCGCGGTTCAGACACAACTTGGTCATCATTTCGCTCTCTTAAAGCTGCCTCGCTAAGTCCGGGATAGTAAGCTTCGTCCAGGGTCCGCGCAGTATGTACTTTGCACCCAGCGGCGTTCGATCCTTCAATTTTCGTGCTCAGAGATCTTCGAAGTTCTTTGTACGACCCTCGGTCCCATTCAAACTCGGAATGATCCACGAGCTGTAAGCAGGGAAACTAGCCAGGTGAGCGGCGTCTTTGACAAGAGAAGGATAAACGTACTACAACTACCGTGAGATCCAAGTCTTTGGCATTTGTACTGGCCACGGCTTCAGTACCATCATTGGCTTCCGTACCGTGCTCCCAGAATCCAACCTCTCGAAAGGTCAAATTTAGATTACCAGGTTCCAGCTTTGACAAATGAAATGACTCTTCGAAAGATTTTGAGAATTGGGGCAAAGCAGCGTCGACAATTGCCTGTACACGTCAGACAGGCTAACCGTAGATGGATCTCGGTGATTATACCCCTATGACAAGTCCCTAGAGTCCGTCAGCTTGTGTGTCCAGGGAAATAGCCAAGTCTTACATTGGTAGATGACACCCGTATGACCGCGGTTGTTGCTGTTATGTAGCGGGTCCAGTCTTCCTTTGCAATGTTCTCGGCAACAATCTTTTGATCGCCAGATCGGGTATCGCCAAACAGGGTATTGGCGGAGATTGGCAGTCTCTCCGAATCGATCAGTGTGGCTCGGAGATCGACCAATTCAGAAATTCGTTGTCCCTGTGAGAAAGCTCGATACCTCCACAATTGTTTTGGACGCAGCTCAACATTTGATCTTTTAATCACAAGCAGGCAGGACGGATCTGCTCCAAGATCCAACAAAGCTGCGAGAGTCTTCACAAGTGTGCGGTCCACAGCCTGGTCAACCAGGTTTTTCCCAACAGGGGGATTTCCGTTGACCAACAAGGCAAGGTCTGTAGAATTGAGATGCGAGTTGAGCCCGCGTAGTATGATGCTAAGCCCTTTGTCCATGGAATCAATTGTACTCATGAAGAGAGTATTGAGTGGACCGATGTGATGCAAGTAGTCCTCATCTTGCTGAGTTTGTTTGCTCCTTGCTCTCGGATCTTTTGGTCGTCGGCGGCCCTGGCCTCGTCGGGTTGGTTTGCTCATCGATCCCGGGTCGCTTGATTGTTGAAGATCGCGTGCGACCGTAAGCTTCTCTCGAAAGAATCCATCGAAGGAAGTGATAAAGCTGGAGATGTCTGCATAAGTAGGTATGCCGTTGTTCACACCGATTTTTGCTTTCAACTCAACGAGTGCTGAATCTACTCTTTCCTCCGAGGACGAAGCTGTACTAACTAAAGCTGGTGTATAGTCAGCGTCTAACGCAACTCGAGAATATATCTACAAACTCCCATCATACATGACCCTGACGAATATGCCGCAGACATTGTTGGAAACAACCCTCTGGCTTTCGATCAAAGAACCAATTTACAGACAGAATTGATAAAAAACACTCCATAACATTCGCGTCTCTCAGCCTCCTCTTATCAACCCCTCTTTTCCACCTGCCCATTCAACGAAAACAAAAAGTTCAGCTCATGCACGACTCGCTGCAAGCCTCCGGATTCGATACGCCACGCGCCAATGACAAAGCTGCCGGTGCACCATACACAGCTAAGCGATGGGAATGCGTGCGGGCACCGGTCAACATCTGCACATGCGTGTTTACGAGGAACGCATTGGCGGGGGGAGCGCCAGGGAAGGCAAGCAGGAAGCAAATGGTATGTGGCTCCAAATTGTTTTCAATAACCATATTACGCGGGGCTCTTGGGATCTACAATCACATGGATGACGTCGAAAGTATCGTTTGCGCTGAGGAACGGCGTATCACAAGCAAATACATCTCGAGATGAATTAAGGCTACACAAGCTGAATCACAAGACTCACAACATCAATTATCCTGGGTACAACAAATACTCAGAGGGGAACATCTAAACATCTTCGCTTCTGCCGGTTATAGACTATGCCCTCAAAGCGATGACAACACATTAGTCCTCGAGCCTCGAATACACAAAATTGTTGAAGTGGGAGAACGTGTGGAGAAAGCTCATGAGATGGGGGCGGGTCTTAAGTAGACTTTTGGTCGCCAAGATGGGTGAACAATCAGGGCATGTGACCCTTCAACAAAACCTTGGAAAGCACATTGTCTCTGTCTTGGAGATTTCCTTCTTGTCAGCGACGCGGTGGATGATTTTACCCGCAAACAGCCAGCAATGCCAACGGCACACAACTTAAAAAGACGACTGATGTCTAGAATTTGTGTAGCTCGTTCTCTGATGATACCCCTAATTTGCGTTCATATCTAGAATAAATATCTACAAGTTGACCTTGAAGCCAACATCTTCAAGTCCCCTACAACCCCCCTCCCACCCTTCCCCCTCACCTACGGCATAATCGCCGCAAACTTCTGCAGCACCGATACTCCCCCACAGCTCAAGAACTCTCCCAACCCCACTCCGCCTGTCGCCTCACCCGTTTCAAACCCCATCTCCGCCACGTCCTTGTCAAAATTCGCTTTCATATACAACGCAAACGCCGGCGCCGCGCAAAACACCCCCGCGAAGCATCCCATCGCCACATCCGCAAATGTATTCATCCCAGGCCGCGCCGCATCAATCGGCGGCAGGAACTTCCAACTAACTACCGCCCAAATGATGCTGAACACGGGGTATGCGACGAGGAGAGGGATGGGCGTGAACGAGACATTCAGCGCGCCGCGGATAAGTAGGATGGTGGCTTCGACGCCGAGGAGGATGCATGCGAAGGAATTCCAGAGGTTGAAGAGGAGGTAGAGAGATCCGCGACCGAGTCTCGCGCCATAGCGCGCTTTGGTGTCGAATGTGAGAGATAGGGCGGAGACGCCGATTGCGAGGGCGCGCACGAGGAGGATCGGGCCGTGGGGAGAGGAGATGTGGATGGAGAGCCAGATTGAGTGGGAGATGGGCGTGTACACGGCGGACCAGATCCAGCCGAGCCAGCCGAATGCGTGGACGGTGCGTTCGGGGGTTTTGGGCATGATAATGGAGGGCTTGAATTGGTGAGTAGGAGTGCTGGTGTTGTCGAATTGTCCTTCTGCATCATCTTCGTTGACGGTATTCAGACCTTTTTTCGCAGCTTGGTTCAACGGAAGCATACCAATGCTCTCATATTCAATATCAGCTTTTGAGATGTTCGGGTTTGTGCCGGCTTTCACACTGAGCCATAACTCGTAAAACCCAGCAGCTAGGATGCGGATAAACGCAAGCCACGAGATCCAGCCGGTGAAAAACGCGATCCAAAACCCGGAGAACAGCCCGTTCGCGACGGACCCGATGAAGGCGCTAAGTATGGAGCTGAATGCCGAGGCGGAGGGGGAGAGGGTACAGTCTGACATGGCAAGCGAGTGAAGATGTGCTGAAACTCAGGTTGAGTGGAAAGTCAAGTGCTCAGTCTGGTGACACGACGACAAAATAGCGAACAAACACGAAGAAAACGCAGACCTCAAAAATCGCGGGTAGAAAGATAAGCTTTTAAGACGCGGGAGGTAAGCCCCAAGGTATTCTTAGCATACAACAGGTAGCATTGGGGGCGGAGACGGCGTTCCGTAGGCTATGTGAACCCCAGCCCTACCAATGCAAGCACAGTAGAATAATCTGGGGGCCAGAAGAAAAAAGCAAACCACCGCCCAGAGATTGAGTCCGGGGTAGTATGCTGTTCCTATCTTTCTTGCTGGCGATGCAAGGATGTACTGAGCGAACGGTGGATGGAGTGAGGCGGCGTTGAGAAAGAGAGATAAATGGCCAGGGTCTCGCGAGAAGGAGTAGCGTGTTGTTGTACCGCGAGTATGGCTTGGGAAGGTGAGCAGGTCTATTATTTCCACGCACGATGAAGAAGAGGACGGGATATCCATCAACGAGATAGAAGTGATAGAAGAGCAGGTGGTAGTCTGAACGGCAACGTTGCGATCGACACTTTCGCTCATCTACACGGGACAGCGCGTTGTCTCTGAGTCCACAACTTCCATCAGAGCAGCAATGCGCAGGACCAAAATTCACGGGACTGGGGAGGAGCTGCTCTGCTCTACCTTCTCCCTGATTGATGCAGCAAGTTGAGTACTAGCGCAACAAATAGAGGAGCGAGTCAATGGCGAGCAAATCGACGGCGCGCTTCAAGAGAAAGTCAGAAAAACGACCGCACTCTGAAATATTTGAGATTGATAACCTGAGGGTCATGAAAAAAACGCGCGATAGATTCACACAGTAACCCAAGCAAGCCACCGACAGAAAATCTTCGCGAGATACACCATATCTGCAGGCTCCAAGGGAACAGTCTGGAAATCGCGGGCGGGAAGGATCGAGATAAGCTTATTAGTACGCGGGAGGGACGCCTGAGAGCAATAATCCTAGCTTTAGGGGCTGATGCGGCTTTAGGCGGGCTGTGTAGTGGTCAGCCCTATTGGGTCTGAATGATGTGAATGGTTGGAATTTGGGGGGAATTTGGGGGCGGAAACTGTTGTTGCGGCGCAGATGATTGGTGTTTGTGGTTCTCATGATCTTGACGTGGCGATGCTGCCTTCCAGTGTGTGCAAATTAAGATGGAAGGATGCGTGGGAGAGAAGTTGTTTGGGCTGGCACGTGAGTTGAATAAGCTTGGCATGCCCAACGTGGGAATAGGAGAGATGAACGAGACAATCCGCGGGCGATAGAAATAAGGACTACGATTAGGATTATCTTGGTACGTAATTCTAAAAATGTTAATTCTGCTGATCGGAGCGTACAGCTGATCGAAGCGCATAACTGATCGAAGTGCAATTTTGCTGATCGAAGCGTACATTTGCTGGTCAAAGCGTGTCGCTGATCGAAGCTTGTAGCTTGTAGCTAATCATAATGTGTCCTACCATATCCATGGCACCATCCTCTTGCGGTGACCTACCTTGTCCTGGCCAAACTTCTCGGCATACCACTCCTTGGTACCCCAGGCGGTCACACCCAGGTTTGAGGCCACGAAGATGGTGCCGCACACCATAGTCCAGCTCACCCAGCGGCCGTCGGGCGCAGCGAGGAACGACAGAAATGTGTAGATGAGAACTTCGCACGTGTAGTGTGGACACAGCAGATTAGTAAAGATGGGGTGTGATGGCAGCTGGTAGCCCTTCTTCTCGCTGCGCAAGCGATAGAGGTAGGCGTGGAAGCTGTGCTGAAACACGTGCGCAGTCAGGACGGCAGGCACGAGCATGGTGGTGGACCAGTGTCTCGGACCCTGATGGGCGCCCTCGATCCATATGGAGACGTTCATGGCGAGGTAAAAAGCAATGCCCAGCAGCCAATGGACGAACCACATCCTGCTCTTGCTTTTGGACGTGTAGGCGTCGGACTCGAGCAGCCTGCGCACGCCCTGCAGCAGCATGAGCATCCACACGACCTGCAGCTGGCCGGGCGTGGTCCACACGCGCAGCCATAGGCCCCAGAAGAGCGAGGAGATGACCGAGGTGATGTAGAAGTGGGTGAAGTAGTTGTGGGGGACCTGGATGGCGGCGAAGTCGTCGAGGAGCGTGTCGAGGGCCGTCTTCTGCGCGGGCTCCTCGCTCGGGGCGCTTTTGCCCGTTGGAGTGGTACGAGAGCCGTATACAAGAAAGCGGCGGCGCAGGGCAGGAACAAGCTGGATGGCCAGAATCTATGGGCAGGGCAGATTAGTGGGGGCTATCGCGGGCTGGGCAGTGTGCGGCTACAAGAAGAGAGGCAGCCAGATAGAAGACGCGCAGCAGCACGGCGGGTGTGTTCGCCGGGTGCTCGAGGCTGCTGGCTGGCGGTGCTGGGCGTGACATGGTGGTGATGAGAGAGAAGTGTGCACTGCGCGAGGCACTTGGCGGGCACAGCACAGTGACGAGGAAATGATGCGGGCGGAGTGCGCCAATAATGCGAATTAGAGTTTGGCCCATGTTTGTGCTTTCACCACTAACTCTGCTAATTAGCCGGCGATCGCTGCGGTTTAGCGGCACAATTCGCGTGGGTCGCGATGCTGCTTCGGGGCTGCTGAAGCCACAGAAGGCAGTGCACGCGAGACATGGCAGCGTGCGAGAAGCAGATGAATTTCACTGAGACGCGCGCGTCATGACCCGCCGTCTGGACTACCCACGCGCTGCTGCTGCTGCGTCGCCGCCAGCCGCGGCCGCCATGATGGAGCGACAGAAGCACAACGGCGTGGTGTTGTTATGAAAGCAGCTAGCCCGTCCTTCAGGAGGGCTCCACCAGTAAGCTCGCGGCGCCCATGACTGCGTGCATGGCCTTGTCAAGCCTCTCTCCGTGTCGCTTCGCTCGGCCAGCCCTCTGCCTGCACCTCTGCATCTGCCCTTCACAACACTCCCACCGCCCATCTCGTCCCACCGCGCCAACCACCCGCCGCTGCCCTCTGACTGGCGTCGCTGCGGCCCTGAGCGACTGACCCGCGTCCCTTTGCGTGCCCGCCGCCCAAGCGCCTGCTGTTACCGCCCACCTTGCCGTCCCTTGCGCTTCGAGCCAGCATGAGGCAGGATCCCCAGCGTCCTGTCCCCTACCTGCGTGATGACCAGTAATGGCGATGCTGCATTAAACGCACCCTCTGCCCCCGCTGCAGCCCTCGGCGACCGTCCCCGCGGCACTCCAGAGCGAGACGTGCCCAAGCTGTCGTCCTCCGAGGCTGCCTCGCCGTCGTCCAAGGAGAACCGCCCGCTGCCGTCCAACGGCGACCACGACCACGACCGTGACCATGACGATGCACAGAACGAGTCCGAGGCCGAGACGGTCGTGCTCTCGCCCGAGAAGAAGATGATCAAGAAGGAGCGCATCGACGACGACGACGATGCCCGGCTACGCTCCATCAAAGAAGAATCCCGCGCCCCGACGCCGCTGAGCAACGGCCAGCGACTCTCCAGCAATGGCAAGGAGCTCAAGCTCAACGGCGCCAAGCACGGCTCCGAGCGCGATGCGAAGAGCCCGCCCACGTCTCCCAGCAGCCGCACCACGTCGCGGCACACCAAAGACACCAGCCCGACCGACTCGACCAAATCGCCCGTCCACGCCAATCTGTCGCCCACCCAGAACGCGTCGCGTGGCCGCAGTGCTTCGACCGCCGAAAGCCGCAAGCGCAAGCTGCGCGATGACTCCTTCCCCAAGTCAATTGAGCCGCCGCGACAAAAGGCGAGGACCGAGGGTCTGAAAGAATCGCGCCAGCCTGGATCCCCCGCAACCCCAGGACTCGGGCGCCCCCACAAGCGTTCACAGTCGACACAGTCCACGGCAACAGGGGTCGCCAGCCGCAAACGCAGGGAAACCACTAGCCTTGCCATGTCAATCGAGCCCACGCGTTTGCCCGAGGACGATAGTTCAGACGACTCCGATTCTGCGCCCGCACACACGCCAAATTTGCAGCAACACAATCGCGTCAAACGCTCCTCACACCGCGCCCTCACCTCACCCGCCCGGACCATGCCCAAGAGCAAGACTGACAGGTTCGGTGCCACTCGTCTAGCACGAGAAAGCGAAAAGGGCGACCTGGACGCGGTCAAGGAGGCGTATGAAGAGTCACCCGACGAGCTCAACCAGGTCGACTATGCAGGCATTGCGCCATTGCAGAAGGCGTCTCTGCATGGCTGGGCAGATGTCGTCCGCTATCTCATTAGCAAAGGCTGTAATACCGCATGCGAATCCAACGACCGCGACACACCACTCATCGATGCCGTGGAGAACGGCCACCTCGATGTTGTTCGCTTGCTGCTCAACGAAGGCCGCGTAAACCCGCATCATTCGAATAAGAAAGGACAGCGCGCAATTGACGTCATGGACTACGAGGATGAAGACGCAGAAGAGATCGAGAAAGTGCTGAGAGAAGCGATGCGAAGAGAAACCAACACGTCAAGAGACGACAAACCGCCAGAGCGAAAGCAAGCAAAGACTGCGTCAAGGCTTCTGTACAATGAGTACAACGTGGAAACTTTGATCGAAAAAGCCGGAGACGGCGATATCTTGGCTGTAGGAGAATTGATCAACAGCAACATCAAGCCGAACATTACCTGCGGTGTGGCGGCAGCAAGAGGTGGACACTATGATATCCTCAGCATCCTGCTTGCGAGCGGCCTGAAAGCGGATCCCGATCCATCGAAGCATCCAGAAACTCCCATGACGGTCGCCATCGGCCGTGGCCATCTCAAGATCATTCAACTTCTTTTGGAGCAGGACAACTTCGATCCAACCCGGCGGAATAAAGAAGGCAAGACGTACTATGAGCTCGCGGAGGAAAAGGCTGGTCCCCGATGGGAACTGGAGCGCGATGTGCTCAAGCGTGCGTTCGACGAGCACAAAGGACAGCACAGGAGTCCTCGCAGGCCTAAGAAGGAACCGCCGAACCTCTCAGCAATCCGCATGAAGCGCAACAGCTTACCGAAGCGGGACCGCTCGTCGTCTCCCCGGCAGGAAACGAAGCGTGCCCACCTCACAAAGTCATCAACTGTACCCAATCCTCCGCAAAAGTCGCGGCGCCTCATGTCAGGAAAGGAAATGGCAAATCGAGAAGGCAAGAGGCGGAAACGGGTCGTGGACGACGAGTCATCAGAGGAAGAGAGCGAAGAAGATGTGCGGCCTCCCACGAGAAAGGTGAAGCCACGGTCATTCAGCCTCGGCGAAGAAGACAAGCCAGCCAAACGACCGTTCAAAGCCCAGTCGGACGACAATGACACTACCAAGCGAAAAGTGCGTGCACGGTCTAACGAAAGCGAAGACGACCACGCAAAACCTCCCACTAAAGTTCGGAAGCCCATAGAAAAGCCAGCTAGCGCGAAGCCCACTCCGGAAATCGATTCTCCAGACGAACGGAAAATTGTCAAGAACAAGATCAAGTACAAGACATTGGACGACAAAATCAGGAAGCGCAAGATGTCTGATGCTTCGACCGATGATCGCAGCATCAAGAAGACGCCAAATGTCTCGGCCAAATCTACGCCTGCTCCTCCAGAACGAACCGCGACCCCCGAAGCCGTGCGCGAGCGCCGTCAAGAAGAGCAGCGGCTCGAGACGGAGGCTAGGAAGCGGGCGGCCGAGGCGGCAGCGCAAGAAGAGAAGCGGAAGAAGGACGAGGAGGAGGCTGCTCGCAAAGCTGCGGAAGAGGCTGAGGCGAAACGAAAGGCTGAAGCAGAGGCCGAAGCGCAACGCGAAGCACAGCGACAAGCCGAAGAGGCTGAAAATGCACGTAAGCGTGAGGAAGAAGAAGCACAGCGTCGGGCAGAGGAGGAAGCGAAACGGCAAGAAATGCTCGCAGCTCGACAAGATCGTTTATCCAAGCTTCCACGCGCCCTTCGACGAGCCTGCGAGTTGGGCCACAATCGACCGCTTCACTTCTCTGGCGAAGAACTCGGCATATCTGCAGTCTTCCTCCCGCTCTTCTACGCAACCTCGAAGGACCTTCACGAGCCGGTAGGCTCACACGACAAGACCTACGTCTGCTCTTTCCAACTCGTGGGCATCCTCGGCCTCCCCGAACTCGATCTCGCACACCTCGATGCGCCGTACGTCGACTGGCCACGCATACCCGTAACGCACAAGCAACGGGACGCCATCCTGCGCCAATACGACGTTTCTCTGCTTGCCCAAGACTTCCGCTTCCCCATGGAAGGCACGCCCGACTTCAATTACGCCAAGATTCAGGAGAGCATCAAAGAAGCCAAGAATCAGTTCCTCACCATGGACGGTCTCTACTGGATTGAGGAGAGCCTGATGCGTGCGGAAGTTGAGAAGGTCGAGAGTCTGCAGCCACTACTCAAAGATATCAAGCCGGAGTGCAGCAGAAGACGCATACGCCTTGCCGAAATCGATGACAATGCGAAATTGGAGCAAAAGCAAAAGCCGCGCAAGAGTTTCATGGATATCGTGATGAAGCAAGAAGTGGCGAATGGCGTTGTGCATGTTAATGGCGATGTGGGATGAAAGAAGCGAACTGGGTCATACGGTACTTAACACAAACATTTGTATATTTTAAAGACGATGCGAAGAAGCACTCCGCCAGCAGTGTTGTTCTTGCGCTACAAAGACCCCGGCGCCGAGGAGCGTGAGGGTGGGGATATGTTCTGACGGGCGGTGGATGGGAAGGGGCTGATGTGCGCGGATGATGACATGTACATTGAGATGAACAAATGTGATGATGATGGGACGGGATAGGAAGGATAGGACAAGGATTATAACTGTGCATACTATCAAGTACTGAACAAATATTCAAGGACATATGCACTTGAAGATGTGGAGTTGACCACGGGTATTTGTCCCTCACAGAGCGGTGGGCGGAAACGTGAGATGAACCTTGCCGAACCTTGCCGAATTTACCGTCGATCGCTGGGATTGTCTTTGGCGTGCGGTAACTAAGCTGTCCCCCACATCAAGTACATCAAGCAGTGAGCACCAATGCAGATGTCCCTGCATATCTAGGCAACAGTCTACTATATTTTCGGAAACTCTAGCTATCACCACCACCACAATGCAGGTATGTCCGATACCGATCTAGCACAAAATTTAGAACAGGGGGAGGGGGGAGAAGAGGAAGAAATCGAAGTTCCTTCGATAATCTTACATCCACACATCGACTGCAAAGTCAACACGCAATTCAAATGCCCGCTTAAAACAACCTCTAAGCACACTCTTGCTGATGCACACGAATCTGCACGAAAAGGCTGCCCACAATGCATCCTCCGCACTGCAGCAATTACTAGGATTTTCCCGGATGCACTATCCTCCGCAGAGATACAGTGCAGTCATAACTATATATTTCTGCCTTTCTACATTCAAGAGCAGCGCGTTGTGCTAGCTAGTGAGGAGGAACTGCACGATGACGAGCATCAACTTATTTGCAATTTCTATGGGGATAGAATCGGTGGACTAGGGTGTGTGGAGCAAGTTGTACCATGTAATACGGATTCGAAGAAGAGTTTGGAAACTGTGAAGAAGTGGTTAAGTGAGTGTGATGAAGGGCATGATTGCATGCAATTTTCAGCGACGGAATTCATGCCTCGCCGACTGTTAGACATACGCAACAACAACGTTCGACTACATGAGACCACACCGTTAGACCACGGTCTTAAATACGCATGTCTATCACATTGTTGGGGCATACCACCTGCCACGATGCTCCGAACCACTCCCGCGACTTTCACCGCTTTCCTCCAAACCATACCATGGGACACAATCCCCCCATCATTCCAAGACGCCATCTCCTTCGCGCGCAAACTCGCCCTACCATTCCTCTGGATCGACGCCCTCTGCATAATCCAAGACGACGCAAAAGACTGGCAGCAGCAATCCAGCGCCATGGCCGACATCTACCAAGGCGCATACCTCACCCTCGCAGCAACAAGTTCACCCAACGCAGGCGGAGGCTGTTACACGCAAATGCACACATCGCCTGCCCACCGCTCCACCAGCCCCTTGCTTACAATACACTCCGCGAACTCCACCCGCTGTCTCTCCGCGCGCCCCAAATTTACCCACAAAATGTCCCGCCTCCCGCTCTTAACCCGCGCATGGGTCTACCAAGAACGCATCCTCTCCCCACGCGTCCTGCACTTCGCCGACGAAGAACTCGTATGGGAATGCCAGCACGCCGTGACGTGCGAGTGCAGCGGAGACAATCTCGAGGACAGGATGGAGCACGCACGCATCTCGCTATCGAATAGCTTCGGGCTGATTGGGCCGCACAGGCGGCATCCTGCGCCGCTAGATCTCTGGTTCCAGATCGTGGATGAGTATACGAGTCTCAGGCTGAAGTTTGCGAGTGACATGTTGCCCGCGTTGTCGGGGATTGCGAAGGCGTTTGCGGAGAGGTGTGGCGGTGGGTATGTTGCGGGCATGTGGAGACGCACGCTAGTGAGGGAGATGTTGTGGTATAGGCAAGAGGTGGATGGGAGTGAGATATACAGGGGTGAAGTTAGGCCGTGGAGAGCGCCGAGTTGGTCGTGGGTGTCGAGGGATTGGCCTGCGGATTTCAGGGTTTTGCCTACGACTCGGGAGATTGCCCAGGTGCTGGATGTTTCTTGTCAGCCTGCTGGTGCTGATCCGACGGGGCAATTAGAGTCTGCGACGCTCACGCTTAGGACGAAGGTGTTGCGTGCACGCTTTGAGATTGGGAGCAGGACTATCGATCTCTTTAGTGGGGACTTGAAGATACCTCAGGCGGTCTTCCAGGAGACTTCTTACATTCTTTCCGAACTATGCACCGGCTACCTGGACTTCGATGAGCAGTATCAACCTGACATACTCCTCGCTCAAATCGCAGAATGCTCGGGAGACTGTCGCATGTTTTTAGCCGGTCTGCCGGCGCCCGTACATGTCACGCAGGAGGTCCTGTCATTCATGCTGCTCGCAAGACGGGAGGAGAGAGAAGAAGGTTGGAGACGTGTCGGCCTTGCTACGATTGCTGCATACGAGCCAGATTCATCGTCCTTTGCTTGTCTCACAAGTGAAGAAAGATGTAAAATCATCGGGGACAAAAGAAAATGCGAAAGACCTAGAGTTTCAGATGAAAGCGCTGAATGGAAGCGTGCACTATTTCAGCGGCTGAATGATTCGGAGATGCAGGACTTATTGGTGTGGTAAAGCATCTTGGGGTGTACACAGCGATTAGTTTGACAATGGCGCCTACAAGTTCTCTTATTTCCGGCCCTCGACCATGATGATGTGATATCCATGCTCTGTCTTGACCTCGCCAATCTTTGGATTGCTTGTGGTGCTAGGTTCGAGTTCATATGCGACTTTCTCAAAATCTGCGTGGAGAGTGTTGCGTGGTTTCCAGCCCAGACTACCAGCTGCGTAAGAGAAGCATCGGTTAGCCTACGGCAAACAATAAACGGCAATGTAGAAAAGGAAAACATGCAGCTCTAAGATATGAAGTGTGAATTTGTAAGTGCATGGACGAGTGCGAAACGTCCACAAAACAGACCTCCCACAGTCGAATATCCAACGCTCAACACTATGCGATAATGAACCAAACATATGTAATTAATCAACATACCTTGTTTCCGCTTATCCTCACTCAGCTCACTCGCAACCACATCAAACTTCTCTCCATCCCTGAGCCTCCTAAGCGCGTCCTCCTTTTTACTATGCTTCTCGCACAAAATATGGCGGACGTTGATGGATGTCGCGGGCTTGAGTTTGCTAGACGACGCGCCGGCTGTCGTGTCTTTGGATTTCTTCGGCGCCATGGTTGGGAAATGGGCGCCCTTGCTGTTTGGTACGAAATGGGATGGTGAGAGGACGACGGTGGTGACGTATGTCGCTGAGGGGTAGCTTAGTGGGGGCGGTGTGGCGCTGTTCAGCGCCTTCTGCTGCATCCCTCCCCGATAACTTCAGACTGCACCCTCTCTCCCTCCACCTCAGCGTTCAGCTCCATGCTCAGCGCCTTGATCGGGTCCGTCGCCAACGGGCTATTCCCAGGGTTTTGGATCGCCCCTTTTCACAGGCCGGATTGAGTGCGAGGTCTGATGAGAAGATGAAGAGTACGGGGTTTGATTGTATATCGTTAGCATTGCTAATGTTGAGATGGAGGTGCAATGTGGGGCGGACTTGAAGCGTAAGTTAGCGCTGTCCAAACATCATCGTCACATTATTGGTGTGCCTCAAACAGCGATACTGCCGTTTCGGAATGTTCTATACACGCGCGGTTGCGAAATTTAGTTCAAATGTAGTTTACACGCGCGGTTACAGTTTCGCAATTCGATGAGTGTTGAAGATAATCAGAAAATGTTGCTTATTTTACCACACGACCAAATCCTGCGTCTCAGATTCATCGAACATCCGAAATACCGAACGGTTGCGCTCTGCTTGCTGTTCTACAATCGCTACTACCTCCTCTCGAGTCTTGTGTTTTAACATGTCCTGTCTATATTCACGCTTGGCTCGAGCAAAGACCGTCTTGTCTGGTTCATACTCGGCGATCGCTGCAATTCCGACGCGTACCCAGCCGTCTGCACGCCTTGCTAAGAGCAGATATGATCGTACCTCCTGCGTGATGTGGATGTCTGCGTAGACGTTGTGTAGATGCACTTTCTGTTCTCCGGTACATGTGGTGAGTTGCGCGAACAAGATGTCGATGGCAACGGCGGTGTCGAGATTTAAGTACCCAGTTTCCAGAGTGAATTGATGATGCGAATATGAACGTGGTAATTCTTGGAGTTCTAGAGCATCAGCTAGGCATATCATGCCAGCTGAGTCTAGATGGGCGGGTAGAGCTTTTGTTGTGAGAGTCAAACGAGCAGTTTCTAGCTCGCCGGTAGGATCCGCTCCAGATGGTTTGCACACGATATCTCTGACGTTTGCCAGTTCCTTGGTGACAGGCAGGAACCTCGTTTTTGAAGTGAAAGAGGCTGAAGCCCAAGACCATGAGGGTGCTCTCCAAGGTTGCACTTGAATTTCCGTCTTTTCTGCCTTGTCATCCTCTTCCTCGGTCTGTTCTTCTTGTATATTCTCGTCATCTTCAGGAACCTCCTGGAAGTACCAAAGCAAGTTTGACACAATCCTTCCCTTCCACATCCCTGCAACATATTCATCGCCAATCTTCTCAGCAAACACTTTGGCAATGCCAGAAAGCGCTGGAAATACATCGCTAATCTTTGTCAAAGAAAGAGATGTGAAATCGCTGACAATCTTGTACCACAGATCCAGTGGAGTAGGATGTCCACTGTTCGGTCCAACAACAACGTATTCGTCGTCGTGAATGCGTACCCGGTCCACAATGCCGTTTTCCAAATCATCGCTACCGCACTCACAAGCCACTTCTTGGTTACATTCCCAAATGAGTTCTTCGCCGGCAAAATGTAGCACTCGAGGAGACAAAAGCCGCTCCTGGTATACCCACCCACGTTTCAGCAATGGAAGAGACCCTAAGTCATGGTCAAACTTCCTCCTTGCGAAGATCTCACGCTGAACCCCGTCTTCATACTGAACGACAGCAACTGGCGCACTAGGACGATGAACCCTCGGCCCGTCATGCTGTGTATACATCCCGCCATCTGCATCCTTTGCCGAAGTAGCTGCCAGCGTAAGGTACGAATTTTGATACACGTTCGCCATATTTGCAGACTGTTCATGCCAATCCTTCTTATCAGGTTCGTCTTGGATAATACACAGTGAATCAATCCATAGGAACGGTATGTCGAGTTTACGTGTGACTGCTATGGCGTCCTGGAATGTCTGGGGGAGGTCGTTCCAGGGAATTGAAGTGCGGAAGGCGTACAAAGTTGCGGGAGTAGTTCGCAAGACTGTCTTGAACGGATCGTTCGGTTTCGGTGGTTTGCCCCAGCAATGGGATAAGCAAGCATATCGAGTTCCCCGATCATGGAGGGTTGTTTCGTGGAGTCTGACGGTATTGTTGCGTACGTCTAGTAGCCTTCTCGGTAAATTTGGCGTTACTTTCTTTATGCAGTCATGTTCGGTGTTACAGTTGTTGATCCACCCTTTTGCTGTTTCCAAGCTTTCACTTGAAGCAGTATCGCAGGATAAAACACGCTCGACATCTGATCTGCAACCAATCTTGTCACCGTAAAAGTTACTCATGATATGATCTTTGCCAGTACGCTGTGTGTTGCTAGCCATTACAATGCGATGACCTTGGACGCGGAAAGGCGAGAATATGTAGTTGTGCGAGCATAGAATCTGCGCAGAGGCTGGCAGATCCGGGAGTATCTCACTACTGGCGGCAATGCGGAGTATACATCCTGGACAACCCTGCGAAGCAGATCTCTGCGCATCACCTAGGGTATGTTCGATTAATGCTTTGAGCGGACACTCAAATACCGCGTCTACGTTGTAACCAACGTTCTGATGTAGAGTTACCAGGGGTACTTCTGCTTCTTCCTCTTCCTCTTGTTCTTCCTCATTCTCCTCCTCCGCCTCGCCGTCCGATCCGTTCACCGATGATGCAGGCGTATCGTACACACCCACATCACTGGATTCCGTTGTCCGAGTTCTCGATAGACTATCCAGATCCATGGCTGGTTTTCTGTAATTATCCTCTTCGCGTGATACTCCGTTGCTTATACGAAAAGATCCGGCATCAGATGCGCTGGCACAGATCCTTTTGGTGGCTGTAGCCTAACCTGCCCAGAACGTTCCGTCTTAGGGCAATCCGACCAGTCATAGATCTCGCGGCGTAGCAGTGTGCATATCTGTAAGTCATTTACTATGGGGCAAGGAAACAGTGGCATCCCGTGGCCTGTAGCTGTGCACAGCCTCACATGTTTCGAATCCTACGGCGAGGCACGGTATATACCTTCAAATGATTGGAAGGCTATTGGTTGTGGGGAGATGGTGTCGCGCGGCTGACACGTTTGGCCCGTGGGCGGCGCTTAAGCTGCAACCGGATTTCGCTCAGGGTGACTCCTGATATGAATTTCCCATGCAACGGCTTTCCGGGCACAACATTGCTTTGACCCTACAACTTCACAGAATCTGTGTACTTTCTTGATGTGGAATGAGATGGGGATGAGTGACTTATGTCTGCCGTGGAATGGGTGTGTGGCGTGGGGTAACAGAGTCAGGTGGGGGCGATGCGGCGCGGTCCAGCGCCTTCCGCTACAGGATCCGCCTAATAAATCCTCTTTATGAAGAACGATTAATTGTACGTGTGATTTAAGCGAACAGTGTACAGGGTTGATTAAATGAAGATCAAAAGAGGTTTTTCGATGAATAACGGTCCTCCTCTGTCAAGGAGACAGCTGATATCCAGTGCAAAGAAAACAAAATCTAACTTCCACCAAGACCACTATGGCTGCCGCGAAGAGCCTCTCTATGATCTCCGACCCATCCTCTCTGAGCTGGAAAGCAAGTCGGAGTCACTCTCAGCTTGAAACCAATCAAAGAACGGATGGCCTCGTTGCGATCGCGCTAACCAAGACCCTGCACACGACACGGCGAGCAATGGCTTCCAGTATGACAGGGTCCAGGAGATCGCCTGGAGCCGACATAATTGTAATGTGCCGAGATTTGGGCAAGGTCGGTGTGAAGCGAATCGCAAACGGTAGGCGCAAGGACTATCTGGAGACGTTGACGGGGGACGCTTCCGCCTCTGTGAAAGGACCGCGGGAACTAGCTTCAGGTTCTGCGGTGTAACCCGAGCTGCTGCTCCGGATATTAGGCGTTCGAGGTGTTGAGTCGGTTGAACACCTGACGTGGAGTGGTCTTCAACAATGGTATACGATTAGGGTCGGCTACTGTTCGAGAGTGGTCTTGCTGGAATAAAAGGGCTCTGAGGGGGTTCGATTAGCTGTAGCGCTGGACATAATTCGAATTCACGACTCTCCGTGTTACAGGTATTGACTTGGTGTAACGTGGGGTTGACTTGATGTTCAGAGAGTGTGGTGTCGAGCGCTATGGGGCACCGCCCTGATCAAAAGAGATACTCAACTTTCTGAAATACATGCCGAGTCCTGTGTCTTGCGAGACTACAAGTCAGAGCCTGTCGATCAGGGAAGATTGAGAAGGTTCCATGTCGGGCGGCTGGTTGTGTGTAACGTCCTATATGGTACGAAGTAATGGCGTGGTGACACGAGACTGCGATCTGAGTAAAGAAACGACAGGTTTTCTGGACGACATTATGAAAGCGAGACTCTCCTTACAGTACTCTTGCGGCATAGAGAGCGCCCAGTCTTGTTACCTTCGCGAAGTGCCTTTATCCCGTGAATCTATATCTGTAATTTCGTTAAAGCTGCAAAAACAACGTTGAGATACACTACGTTGATGTTTTCGAGGCATGGGAGAGTCCGATAGAGGGAGTCAATAGTGGGACAACCAGATTTGGATTAAAAGCGCGGAAGTGTTAGCCTGCATTTGCCGTCCTGCATGTGTTATTTGGGCGCTTCGAGACGAGTGTGTATCCTCTCGGTTAAGCAGCAAGCATGCTGCTGCATGATCCTACGTAGGAACAAGGATAAGTGAGTAAGTCTCGATATTAGAAAAGACGTTGAATATACTCATAATATTGTTGTATCAAGGCGGGATGGTCTGGCGGGAAAGAAGGAACATGTTGCGCATTGCCCATGAGTTTGACGACTGCCTTCTCTCCCCCACTCGAAATGTGATTGTATCACCAACTCCTATCTGAATTATTCTGATTTCTCGATGTAAGAAGCGTTCGGATCTGTGTGATACATCTTGTCTCAAGGAAACTGAACATGGCACGGGTGTGGCGTCGTATATGACAATTTGCGCACTAGTTCCAAGAATGAGTAGTACTCAGATGCGTACTTCCAGGCGATACGCTCGATTTCGAGACCCCGAGCCAAGAGATGCAAGAGAACTGACCTTATCCAATTGGCACGCGATCCTGGAGGAGATCTGAAGATGAACAAGTTCCTTGTTCACATCGCCGCGCATCCATCCCACCACTTCGCGAAGCCACCACATCACCTTCGCCCAATCATTCTATCCTAGCAAGCATCAAACGTCCCGTCCGCAGCGTTGAATGGTCGACGCAACGGCGCACATCCCAGACGCGTGGTCTGGCAGGTTTCCACGCGGGACGATCAAGTGGTTCCAGCCCTATGACGTATGCGCACATCCCTGTCAAAACACGGTTGACAACGTCGCACCTGTACAACTGCGGCACAGAATCCTGTAAAAGTTGGAGGCTGTGATTGAAGATGAGATCACTAGCTGCGTATGATGCAAGATCAGGGGTTTGGTGGGGATATATATGGCTCGGCTGCCTGATTTGGGGCACTCCACATGCAACAAATCTCATCACATACTATCACAACTCTTGGGGTTCCTGGAAGTACATCAGCAAAGCTTCGGAAACTTGAGTGATTTGATACCAAAGACGCAAAAATGGCAAACAACAACGAATCGAAGACCTACAAGCAACAGGCTGGAGAATACTACAACAAGCAATATGAGAGCTGGATGCCCTGGATCGAGGACAAGTACCTGAGCTGGTTCACCAAGGACAACAAGGCTTCATATGCCACGAAACGTACGTCATCCCTTTACCCTGTTCTTTGCCCCACAAGTCACACTTCGTCCTCATACTACCTCGTCGAAGTCTGAGCTAACACCTTATCCAGAGAACCTTGACAAATCCAAAGTCACTGGTATCGAGCAAGTCGACAACCTCCAAGACGGCGTCAACGGCCTCGTATCAGGTCAAGTAGGCAAAGGCGGTCTTGCCCAACCTCTCGGCGATGCAATCTCGAAAGAAGGCATCAACCGCGCCGAACGCGGCGGCAAAGACGAGAACGGGAAGCCTATCGAGAGCCAGGGACCGCTTGGTGGATATGGACAGAGCGCTGCTGACGGCGTGAAGAGTGGTGCGGGCAGTGTTGCAGGTGGTGCAAAGAGTGCCGGCGGGTACCTAGGAGGGATGATGGGCGGAAAGGGTGGAGATAAGAAATAGGTTAAGGAAATGCTGGAAGATCAAAGAGGAGGAAAGATTAATACCATGATACCTTTGGCGGCATAGATTGTTTAATGACGGCTTACGAACTAGTATTGGGCGTTCGAATTGTTGTTTATTGACCTAGTCAATCATAACTTTGTGTTCCGTGTCAAGGACGTTGACTGCCTGTGATTACTGATCAAGCTTGATGCTGCCCAAAATCGCTGCGCAGGCTCATGATATTTGGTGTTTGACTGCCGGTTCCATCTGAGCGAACACAACCTTGGACTTCACAACCTTGAACTTGTCGCATCCATGGGCTTGGAAATGATACCATGCTCTGAAATTAGACAGCGAGGAGGGAAAGTCCCGTTCTTTGATACAGGGTGTTGCGTTGCGGCAGAAACATTGTGGGGTTTCGTGGTTTCAACGAGGAGTAGCGCGAGAATTGAGTCGCCGAAAAGGAAGCGTCGTGTTGTTGACGGCAACTTGCTTCAAATGGCGCAAATCGTGACGACTCTCATATCAAGTGCTGTTGTCGCTCGTTGTTTTGGCATTGCTATGCTCAAAACTCTATCGATGCCAGCAGCAGCGGTATGCACAGTCTGGGTATGTCCGGGGAATGCTTGCGATAGATCGCAGAACATGTTGAGCGAAAGTTTGGCTAGGATGTAGACAGAAAACGGTCGACGGGTGTTCCGCACCTGAACCAACAGCGTAATTCCTAGACTGCCGAAAGTCCACGTTTATCGCCTGCTTGGTTCCGGTCTGATGGTACCGGCCTTATTATTCTCAACGAATCCCGAGACGCCAACAACTCGGAGTGTCTCCGATAGATCGCGAACCACAGGCGCACGTCCTTCAGCCTTTCACAGGATACCTCGGGAATTCTTATCACGGATGCAGGCTCTAACGGGTCCCTTGGACGCCGAAGGGAAAGCAACAACGACGATCTTGTTGGTTTGAAACGAAGCACGGACAGAACCTGCCCAGGTAGGTAGGTGTGTGATTAATCGCGCGGCGCGACACGCGGGAACACGTGGGGAAGCAGGCACCAAGACCAGGGCAATGTGTAAATGGAAGTAGTCATTGATTCGTCTCTGTGTTTCTTTTGCTATAGTACAGTTCGTGTCGTTCTCATTAGGTGTGAGGCAGTTGAGTAACAAGCTCGACGTCTGAGCTCGATCGCTCCGTGCGAAAGATGTTGACATCGGTGGATTTTTTGATCGCGCCAAGTGGCAGCGAGTTCTGGCGTTGTCGACTGCCATCATGATGGCGCAAGTATGAGCCTTTGTTGCTGCTGCTGCCGTATTTCTCCTTGCTCGCATATGTGCTCGACTCTCGAAATTGTCGGAACATCTTGTGGAAGAGGGCGTGCATGGCTGGCATACAGGCTACGATAATGAAGAGATTCGCCTCGGTGGCGCACCAGTATAGACCAGATGTGTTGTCATCTATAATAAAGGTGTCAGCGTCATGTTCATCTTTCATAGCAACAGATTGGTACTTACATGTTGGGTTCGTAGAGTCTCCGAACTGAACAAAAGACCAGAGACGTAAACAGCTGACAATGGTAATGACGAAACCGACAGAAAACATGGACATGATCTGAAGCTTCTTCTTTGGCGACATGTTGAGTTTCGCCAGCATGGGTAGTGGCATACTCAAAATAGCCAGATCCAGGAAGATTTCGACAGCTCCTCGGACGAAGCCGAACAGTTTGACATCGACACCACAGAAGCCTGCCATCTCCCCTCTCCATCCATCCCAGAAGAATTTGATGGGTGTGCACTGAAAGATCATGGAGACCACATTGCAAATGCCGAATGCAGTGACGACACCAACGAAGCCCCAGACTATCATGCGCAATTTGTGGTCTACCATGATGCGCAGGTAGAAGGCAAGGATGGATAGCTGGCAGAGACATTCAGACCACATGTACATGAAGTACGCGACATAGAGCCCTTTCAGACTCTCAGTGATATTGTCGGCTGGAATACCCCACATGTCGCGGCCGAACCCAAGCTTTGCAGCGACGACAACTGGGACATTCATTCCGATAGCCACAAACTAGAAGACAAGTCAGATCAGAAGAACGATAGCGCAAGTGAGTTACGCACCCCTGAAAGTCCGATCAACAAATCGTCCCATCCGAGCTGTGCTTGCGCAGAGATCGCGCGGTCAGACAGACGGAGTATTACCATCAACAAGGCTAAGCTGCCAAAAGATGCTGTAACCCCCATCAATGTGGCACTCTGATCGCGTGTTGGAACACCACATGCAGCATAGGTCTCGTTTGTTGCTTGTAGCATTTGGACCACTGTACAGTTTGCTGCATTGCATGCCGCTGCAGTGTTCATGAAATTTGTGTCAGCACAAAGGCAACCGAAGTCGCTTGGTGAGCACCGCGACATCGATACAGTTGCGAGAACGCATTTTGACTGAATGATATGTCAGTGTAGTACGGTGGGATGGTCTACGACAACTTACGGCGCATGTCGGCAATTTTGCAAGGAATTCTTGCTGAGCAAAAACGCCCTGTGTCAGAGCCCCGACGGATATGAGGATGCTGGATAGCTTCATGTCGAATCTTGATATAGTGGAGCAATGGTCAACTTCGACGGTCTCTGAAGCACTGGGGTCATCCAACGTGTCCGCGGCATTGAGGAACTCTTAAGTCTAAGATAGCACGATGGGTCAAAATCGGATGCCAGGGGCCTGAAACCACCATGTTGCTCTTTACTGCTCCATCAGCACACGCACGCACATATCCACACCTGAACAAGGGTATCATTCATCGTCGAGCGTACCCGAGCCAAAGTGGGTTACGGCCCACCAACAAAGGAACAGAAAAGCAAAGCGCACAAGCGTAAAATACGTTTTGGGCTCGACATCGATTCAGAACCTGGTGCAAGTTGGACGATCTTCTCCAGCAATCTCACAGCGAACGGGAAAGGCGTTACGAGGAGAACCACACGATGGGGCCGCTGCCCGCCGTGTCCCAACACTAGTCTCGTTTTCAAAGTATCAAGGACGTTTCTGCTCATCGAACCAACACTTTGAGTATGCAGCTACAAGCCTCACTGTCGTTAAGAAGAAGCAATGACTACTATCAACGCCAAATTTTCGCTTGCAGCAGATACTGCAGAGCCTCTTATTCGCCTCATCCCAACGCTGTGGTCAGTGGAAAGTTTTCCGATGAAGAACATTACTGAATCCTTCGATGCCCAGCTTGATGGTATCCACCAATGAAGTTACTAGCGAAGCAAAGGCTCGGTCCGAATCCTCAGGCACCCCATGTACGCCCAATGCGTTATATTCCACGTTTGGTAATTTGTGGCTGATCGAGACAAGTGTGCCACCAAAATCCTGCCGATGCGTAAGAACGTTGTAGTTTCGTGGTAGAACAGCAACACACACGCTGACTTGTATGGATGATGGACTTTTCTTGACCATGTCCAATAGTTGTGCTTACACAGTAAGTTCAGAGGATTTCACATGCCTGATGCCATCGTAGAGACACTAGGGGTGTGGGCCCTGGCCCCTAAACTTACTCGCTTCCGCGTATCCGCCTGTCGCCCACGCGCGATGCTACGATGGTCCCTGGACCCACCACGTTCAACATCGCCTAACGAAGCTGTTATGCCGCTCCCTACCCCTCCGTGGAGCGGCAGGAGCCTTTCGTGCATGTGCTGATGAGCAAGCAAGCCCCGTAAAATTTTTGAAAGTGATAGACCGTGCCTTTATTCATTTTCATGCAAGTAGCTCCTCCATCACGTCCACGGGTCCTTCACAATCCACACTTTCTGATTCGGTCCTTTCAGTTCCAAGGCAAAGATGCTGGACACACCCACTGTGTTGATACTCCTGCTCGGCGTGTCTGTTGCTTACCTGATTCAGCACTTGGCTCGCTCGAATAGGACAGGTCGCCCACTGCCTCCAGGTCCCAAAGGATTACCACTTCTCGGCAATGTCAATGACCTACCAAAACCTGGTATGCTCGAATGCCACCACTGGCTAGAGCATAAGGAACTCTATGGAGAGATCAGTTCCATAACAGTTCTTGGTCAGACTTTCATCATCATCAATGATGCTCAGCTTGCGCTGGAGCTCCTCAGGGATAGGCCACAAGCCCATGCTGCTCGCCCACACATGGTGTTCAGCAGTGACATGTATGACTTCCTAGCAAAGTTTAAATTACATCATGCTGACCTTAGTGCAGGATTGGGTGGAACAATACCCTTGCTATGAGCCAGTACACGGATGTTTTCAAGAAGCATCGATCAAATATCGCAAAGGTTGCTGGTAGCACCACCTCCCTCAACGTATTCAACCGCGTTCAGGAAGAGGAGTCTGTCCATTTCCTTCTCAATGTCCTCGAGTCTCCCGAGAAGTTGTTTGACCACATCAAGAAGGAAGCTGGCGCCGTCATCTTGAAGATCACCTATGGCTACACTGCCGAGCCCAAGGGTAAAGACATTCTCGTCGACATGGCTGGCCAGACCATGCACGAATTCTCCGAGTCTACCATTCCTGGAAAATGGCCTGTAGACGTCATGCCCTTCTTGCGATACCTCCCGGAGTGGATGCCTGGTACAGCTTTCAAGAAGACTGCTCGTGATATGGCTGCTCAATTGCAGGAGACCACCGAACGACCATACGCTTTCGTCAAGCAGCAGATGCGTGAAAAGAAGCACAAGACATCCTTCCTATCTCAAGCACTTGAGGAACTCGGCTCTGATCCCGACATGGAGCGTATCCACAAATGGTCTGCCTCGTCAATGTACCTCGGTGGCGCCGACACCACCGTATCAGCTCTGATGACCTTCTTCCTCGCCATGACTCTCTTCCCCGACGTCCAGAAGAAAGCTCAAGAGGAGCTCGACAGTGTCCTCGGCAGCGATCTAGCCGCCAGTGGCGATCGTGACAAGCTACCATATCTCTGGGCGGTTGTTCTGGAGACACACCGATGGCATCCGGTCGCGCCTATGGGACTTCCTCACGCCGCCACCAAGGAAGACATGATCCGCGGCTACAGAATCCCCAAGGGCGCATTGCTGCTACCGAACAACTGGTGGTTCACCCACGACCCTGCCGTATACCCCGACCCCATGGAATTCCGCCCCGAACGATTCATCGAAACACCTACACATAAGGCCGAGCCTGACCCACGCACCTGGACGTTCGGATACGGACGTCGTGTGTGCCCTGGACGCTACGTTGCCGACAACGCGCTGTTCCTTACCATTGCACAGTCATTGGCCGTCTTCAAGATCGAGCCATTGGTTGAGAACGGCAAGGTGGTGATGCCCGAGGTCAAGTTTGAGCCTGGAGTTGTAAGCCATCCCGTTCCGTACAGGACGAGCATCACGCCGAGGAGCGAGGAGCACAAGCAGCGTATTGTGGAGGCAGAGAAGGAATACCCTTGGGAAGAGAGCGATGCGAAAGCTTTGAAGAGTTTGAAATGGTAGACTTGCGAAAGCATGCCGGTTATCCATAGATGAAACTATAGCTCCTTCAACGAAGCATTTTGTGTATGAGAGAGCATCCACTTTATGGGTCATCAAGGTCTTCGCATTTCCATCAAGTGTGGAACACTCATGATAGCATCTTACTTTATGATCTAGTGATCATTGATTGACTCACCTTGAATCATTTGCACTAGACTCGACATGCGATTTCGCGAAGTGATGGGCTTGACTTTGCTGGTGCTAACATTTCCTGTCAAGAAAATTATCAATCCCGTCTTTACCAGCATCATAGAAAGATAGGGATACCGGAATCCAAGTCCTCTCGGCGAGCATATGAAAGCTTTCGATCATGAAAATGAGAATGTACAGCCATCAAATTCACAATGAGCGGAGGTTTCCGCGCTAACCCCCACTACAGCCTAGCTCCATATCTTGGCACAACCTCACTGCGACGAAGCTCCAGCATTGGACCGCGAAACCGCACATCTACGTCACAACCATGGCTTCAGGATACGGACTCGCTGGTGGTACGTATTCACCTACTTTTCCCAAGATACACAGGTGGTTTGGGAGCGGTGGCGGCGCGGAGACAACGGCAATGGCATGACGAACATCGAACCCGGAACGAATGCGACACGGCGACCTACGACGAGAGCGAGGATGCGGGAGCATGAGCATGAGGATGCGGACCGATCGAATATATCTGGAGATCTATGGCGCGATCGAGCGTCTGGTGGCAGCAAGACCAACGAACTACACCCGCGAAAGCCGAAACTCATTCACCACGAACAAGCATCACCACCACGACACTCTCCAGCTCATCCGCAACACGAAACCACCCTTGCTCCGACCTGCCATATCTCCACCACCACCCATCAACCCTTCCACACATACTAACCCGCCACCCCAGGCCCATCCCGCTGCTTCCCCTTCTGGCAAGAAGTCCTCGCCTGCTACGTGACCAACACCTCGGCCGAAGACAACAGCGGCGCCGCAAAATGCCAGCCCGTCCTCGAGGACTACTACGAGTGCCTGCATCATAAGAAAGAGGTGCGTTAGCTTATCCTGCCCATCCCACTTCCCTCCTTCACACAACACATCCCCTGACCCTGACCCTCCACGAACTGTGCTTCTGCTACGGTGTAGACTTGAGCAGCTGACGCCCGATTCTAGGCCGCACGTACCCTCGCCCTGCAAGCCGCGTACCGCAAAGCCGAAGCCAACATCAAGCGCGACGACGCGCCGAGCGCGGGGGAGATAAGGCGTCTGGGCGTGTTGGATGCGCCGCTCGAGGAGAAGAATTTGAAGCCGAGCAAGTGGTTTCCGCACAAGGAGATTAACTAGACTGGAAGTGAATTGGTTTGGGGAGATGGGAATGAAAGTTCTCTGAGTATTTTATATGCCTGTTTGATCCAAGGTGATGTGTGTTTTGCATGTGTCATGGTATCAATTGATCCTCATCCACGAAATCACACCATCATAAACCGAAACATTCATCATGCAATTCATTCGACTCGAATCCGATACCCATACATAACCCCCTGCCCACACCTCTCCCTCCCACCCGCGCAAAACCATACTGAGAAAGTCGTTGATATCGTCGTCATGCTGATGCCCACCAATATAACATGAAAACGCCATAGTAGAGTATTGAAAAGGAAAAAGACGCAGCCCCCCATCGTACTGATACACGAAAAAGAAAACTCCATGTTCCACCTTGCAGTACCCAAAAAAATAGATGCACGAAGCAACCTGTAATGCAAAACAAGACTTGTGCTATTGCCTCTCACGCGAACTCGGATCAAGGCATCTCCGACAACTTCTCTCTCCCCAGGAAATGTCTGAGTAACATGTTGCGCAAGTCATTCGGCGGCGAACCACCCACACACTCGTTCACGTTCCGCGACTTGGATTCCTAAATATTCGCTGGGACGCTGGTACGAGACGGCGGGGGCGTGGCGGCATTAGATATGCCAAGGCCATGGGCTTGGGCGATGGAGCGGTGAAAAGATCCTATCTTCTGGAAGCCCCTGGAAAGATGTTAGATATTTCAAGCTCAAGTTTTGGTAGTTTACACTTACTTTGACAAATCGTAGCTCTCCTCCTCGCCCTCGGCTTCTTCTTCGAAAGACGTTAGGCTGGCGCCGCGGACCATACCTCCATTGCCGGTGGGGCCGAAACTGTTGATATTCGAGTTGGAGCGCGAACGCTGGGGTCCGATGTCACGGCGGCTGACAGGACGGGATACAGTGCGGCTAGGACTTTCGGGGCCGGCATCTTCGTCATCCTCGGCTTTGTTGTCACCGGCCTCGTCGTCTTCGTCCTCATCCTCGGGATCGACATCATCATTGTTCAGAATGGGCGGCGAACTCGGCTGTGGAGGGTCGTCGTTCTCATCCTTCTCATCCGGACGCTGAAGCTTGATAGGACTGAGCTCCGGGTAGCCCTTGGCAGGGGTGCTCGGAAGATCCACAAACTTCCAGAAAGGCGCCGGACTTGAGAAGTGCATGTACTGGCTGGGTACTTGAGCAGTACTGGGAGGCGCAAGTCGCGGGGCGTGGCGTGTTACAAGCGGAGTCACCAAAGCATGGTTCATCCGACTGTTCTCATTGTGGCTGTTTGTGTTTGGATCAGAATAGAGCGCAGGCGGTGAGTTGGCGGCTTCGCCCTTTAGTCCGGACACACTGGGCTTAACAGGATCTACCACCGGTGAAGACTCAAGTTGTCGGCGTTGATCGTCAGTTTTGATGTAGGTAGGTTCACGTGCCCCATCATGGCCATATGCGTGACGCTTTGCGGGTGTGACGAAGCTGTGGTTGTCTTGAAAATTTGGCGAACGCTTCAGGCTTCCATAGGGACGTGGACCGCGGTCAGGCGTGTACGACTCCGTTGCCATTGGAACAGAAGACAAAGGTGGTGTGGCAGATCGCGGTGGAGATTTGACACGGCTCTGCTGTCGATAGTCGTGATCAAGTGCGCCAACAAGACGCTCTGTTGCCTGAGCAGTAGCATCGCGATGACCAATGGCTGGCGAGCTGGGTCCGGAGCCGTCCAGGCGGCTACCTATTGCGATCCCACCTCCTTTCCTAGGGTTGAGCATTTGCTTCTTAATGAACTCATCGCGTTCGGAATCGGCAATCTTCCACTTCATGCCCTTGCCTGGCTCGTCCGTTCGTCGAGCGACCTTCTCGAATGACTTGTTGAGAGACAAGTTGTGTCGAATTGAGTTTTGCCATCCAGCATTCGTATGGCGGAAGTAGGCGTATCGGATCTTGATCCAGTCGTAGATGTTGGACAGTGTAAGCATCTCCTCTTCGCTGCTAAGGATAGCCTGGCCAATGAGTTGTGCATAGCTGTGAGGTGGCTTGATGTCCTTGGAAGAATCATTGCCGTAGTCAATATCGTCATGGTTTTCATAGAGCAGGCCGCGCGAAAAGACAGCAGGCGAGCCTTTGCTGCGAGGATCACGCTCGGCGCGGAACGTTAGTGGTGTGCCAGGAGGAAGCCGTCCAGGTGTAGAAGTCATCTGATTGTAGAAGGCCTGTGAAGATTGCTGTTTGTTGCGCGGATGTGACGAAGGCGGGAACGGGTCATAGTGCTCGCGCTTCGGAGTCGGTCCACTGGGATGTGCGTGCTGGTGCGCTTTGGGCGGTGGCTTTCCGTCATTATCAGATTCCACAGCGTCCTCGTTGTTAACCTGGCGCCATAGCATGGGGTGGAACTCGTCCTCTTGGTTGGCCAGCAGGAAAAGCATTTGCGTGCCCATGATGCCAATGCAGATACCCGAGTGAAGCGGCTCGATCTGCCCTTTGGTCAAGTGGCGGTCGTCCAGCTTGAGACCGTTGCGGCTGTTGACGGCAATGTACCATGTCTGGTCCTGGAGGTTGAAGCTGATTTCGGCGTGTACTCGAGAGATCTGTCGCTCCGGGCCAAGGTCGATATGTACGCCCCATTGCGAAATAGCAGCCTCGCTCATAGGAAGACCCGCTACATCGGGCTGGGAGCTGGGCGGATGCGGGCGGACAGCGGCGTCTGCGCGTCCAATGAGGACTCTGGTATCCTGGACGAAGAAGCACCAGTCGCGCGCAGCGATCTTAGCAAAGGCGGCGATGTTCTGGCCCTCATTGCGGCGCGCCTGCAGCTCGTTGGCATAGTCGACGACGGCGTTGGGCGTGTAGTGGCGAGGCGTGCGGAGGGATGCGATGACGAGATTCTGGCGCTCTACGGGGTCGGTCGGGTTGTCTGCATCGCCCCCGTTGGGCAGGGTCGTGTTGGAGTCGTTGCTCGCGACAGACTCGGCTATACGTGCGCGCGGGGGCTCGGCGGCCGCAGCGACCTCCTGGGCGCCATTCAACTGTGCAGTCTGTGAGTTCCCTGGCCGGCGAGCATGGCGGTGCGTGCTACTTACCCGTCTGCGCTTCCGCGAGGGCGTGGCTATTGAGTCGGGGGTGTCGGCATCGGACTGCTGCTGGGGGTCGGGCACATCTCTGCGGTGGCGCAGACTGCGTCTGCTGGAAGGCGGCATGAGCGCTGTGGTATTTGTGTGCTATCACAGAGAGCCGAGGTCAGCGAGTGTGTTGTGATGTGTCGGGGGTGATGCAGCGTTTGTGGTGCGGAACCATGGGGCGACGTTAAGGTTTGAGCCATGCGGTCCTTCCACGGTTCGGTCGCGATGCCTCGAGGAATGGGGAGCAGCTTACTGTCCAGATCGGTCACAGGTGCCCTTTGAGCCCGGCGCTGTGCACTCAGGGATGGTTCCGGGCAGCGGCAGGGGAATGTCGAGCTGTAGCAAGCGGCGCCGGCGAGAAGAGGGGACGGACACGACACCCGTTGAGCGGCGCGTTGGTGTAAACAGAGAACACTGTCAAAGTGTGGGCTGCCTAGACGCGTGACGGAATCGATATGAGGGGTGAATGATAACGTGTAGTTCGTCTATCCGATATCGATAGCAGCAGCGGGTCAAATCATCAGAGCCGCAGACGTCGATGGGTGTGGAAAGTTGTGGGTGCACGGATCCAATCCAACCGCCCCGTCTTAGGCGCGTCGCAAGAGGCCCGAAGCGCGATAGCAAACTCCAGCCTCATTACCACGGCAAGTCTGCTGGCATCTTCAGCCTGTTACTCAGCATACAGCCACCTCCAGATCCATCTAGGCAATGACACGCTCAAGTCGCGTTGGCTGCACCAAGCCGCAAACAAAGCACCATGGATGACGCTATTGCATCGTTCATGCACGCAGCGATCGGCCAACGTACATGGACGCGAACCAAATCTCGCTCTGCAGAACGAGTCGACTCTCTTCTCGGGGCACTTTAAGCCTATCTCCTGTCGCACACAATTTTGCATATTTTCGCTGTCATTTGTGCCGCGAATTCTCCACCTCCTCACTTCCAAGGCTGTTTGTTGGTAAGCGCGCATGTGACCCGCAAACACGCGCGTTGTTGATTCGGCTACGTCATCTATTCCGCACGTGACACACGTACATTCTTCTGTGTAGATATCCTGCAAGGCGCGAATTAGCGTTCATTGGATCATCGTTGGATTCTAGGCAATTTGCTCTTCACGCAATCGAGAGGCGAGGCAGTTTCATGTCATTAAAGATTGATCATTATCTTGCTATGTAGCGTGTATCCAACTCGCGGTCTAGACGTGTTATCCAACATTGCTCATATTCAACGACAATTCTCTTTGGTCCAACAACAATGCTACCATCTACTGGAAGTCGCTGGTGTCAAGAGTCGCCGTGAGCGGCAGCTTCCTCGAGGATGCACCGACGTATACCGTCTTGGGTGCTGAGGTGATGACCCAGTTCTGGCTGGCGACATCCCAGTTGGACACATCACGGCGAGTGATGTCAGCGTGGAAAGTGGCCGTCTTGCCGGGCTGAATAGAGAGACGGTCAAAGCCACGTAGGACGATCTTGGGGTCGTCTGGGTTACCCAGGCTGACGTACAGCTGCACGACCTCGTCACCAGGCAGGGTACCATTGTTGGTGATGGTAGCCTCAACGCTGAACAGAACGTCCCAAAGCTGAGGGTTACCTCCAGGCGCACCACCGGCTGGAATGCGGGCTTGTGGGGTGCCATCGGTTGCACCCGCGGGCCAAGTGTAGTTTAGACCGTATTCGGGATCCTGGGAGGCCGTCTTCAGATCAGTAGAGTTCAAGTAGGGGTAGATGAACGTGTTCACGTAGGTGAAGTCGCTTGGCCATTGGTACTGCGAAGCATCGGTGCTGAAATTGCCTAGGGTCGGGGCAGCCTTGCTCTGGCCAGTGGTTGGAGTGTATGCGCCAGCGTTGGCCTTCTTCACTGTGAGGTTCGAGTACGAGAACTTGGTGTATGACAGACCGAAGCCAAACTCGTAGATGGGAGTGACGTTCTGTTTGTCAAAGGCACGGTAGTCGATGAAGACGCCCTCCTCGAAGTTGTCTTGTGGGCTGCTGCTGTTGTTGGTGGGCTCGTAGATGAGGTCCGGTCCGTACTCGGCTGCGTCGCTGCCAATGGTGAAGGGCAGCTTGCCACCGGGGTTGTGGCGACCGTAAAGGATGTCAGCAATAGCGTTACCAGACTCTTGGCCAGGCAGACCAGCCCAAAGGATAGCGGTGACGTTTTCGCTGTCGTAAAAGGAGTTGACGAGGACAGGTCCAACTGAGTGAATAACCACGATAGTGTTGTTGCAGACCGAGGACACGTTCTTGATCAAGGTGTCGCCATCCTGCCAGAGGGTCAGGTTGTTGCGGTCACCAGCATTGCCGTCGACAGTGATGTAGCCCTCTCCAGAATCGGCATTGACGAAGACGATGGCTACGCTAGCCTGCTTAGCCAAGGTCTGGATCTGAGTGTACGCCCAGTTGTCGGTTACAGAGGTGACAACGCCTCCGTTCTGGCCGACAGTAGCTTTGATGGACTCCAATGGGGTCACGAGGTAAGGGTAGTCAGATGTTCCTGAACCCCAGCCCATGGCCAAGGTGCCGTTGTTACCGCCGTGGTCGGGGAAGCCGTTAGGTCCCAGCTGGCCCTCGCCAGCATCGTCACCAAAGACGGCAGTCCACTTCTCACTACCCGTAAGAGGCAGGGCGCCCTCGTTCTTCAAGAGCACGGTGGACATGGCAGCGGTGCGGCGAATGCTGCGGAAGTGGTCGGCACGGACATCGACGTGCTGGTTGATCTGACTGTAACCTGCCTTGCCATAGAAATGATCGAAACCGTAGGTATCGCGCGACCAGCTGTCGAAGTTGACAGGAGTGCGGGCCTTGTCGCGGCCGACATAGTAGAAGGCAGCCATGATACGCGTGACAGCATCGTCGAGACGCCACTGGGGCACGGTTCCGTTCAAGATAGAAGTTGTAAAGTTGGTACCCCAGAAAGTTTTGCCAGAGTTGAAGTCAGTATCACCAGGCATGGTCATATCGAGTCCAGCAAAGGTGGACGCAACACCAGAGTGCTGGGCATCCCAATCCGACATGATAAAACCCTGGAAGCCAAGCTCGCCCTTGAGAATGTAGTTCTGCAAGTACGAGTTCTGGCAAGCCTGCGAGTTGTTGACCTTGTTGTAGCTGCACATGATAGAACCAGTGCCGGCGCGGACAGCGTCGGCGAAAGGCCAGAGGTAGAGCTCGTGCAAAGTCTTGTCGTCGAGGTTGGAGCTGAGAGCATCAACAAAGCCCTGGTCCTCGAAGTTGCCGGGCTGGCGGAAATGCTCCTGCTCGTTCATGATGTAGTGCTTTGTGCAGGCAATAACACCAGCATCCTGAATACCGCGGACCGATTCGGCGACGGCAATTCCGGACAGGTAGGGGTCGGGAGAGAAACCTTCCCAGTTACGCTGCATCGATGTTAGCCTAACGATTTAACTTTTGTGGGGGTTTTACTGACTCCGCCCTTGGGGTTGCGGCCAAGAGGACCGACGACAGGGCCAAGCTGGACGTCTACACCCTTGTCACGGTGCTCTGAGCCCATCTGGTATCCTCGAAGGTACCACTCGCCACGGTCCCATGCTGCGGCGATGGTGCCACCAGATGGGAAGGCAGAGACGTAGTCGGCGAAGCGAACGCCCAGAGGAGCATCTTGGTTACAGATGCCTGTGAAGTTCAATCGTGGCACGCCTCCAGTGTTGCCGACGCAGTGGTCGCTCTGCCATCCTGTGCCGGTTGTGAGGTTCACCTTCTCGAGAAGAGTGAGTTGGCTAACAAAAGCCTGCGCCTTCTGGTACGCCGCTTCCCAGTCACCGAGACCTTCGATCCATCTGGCCGATGTTAGCTCTACTGTAAAGAGGACAAGTCGAGTTGATGTTGCTGGGGACGGTTGTGGGGACGTCTGTTTGACATGCGCAGGCGAGTGTGGGGTCTCCGCATTTGCAGAAGCGTACCACTCCAGCCTCTCCCAAACCAAAGCTGTCAAATCTCAAATCGGAGTTTACTTACGGGCTGGGGTAAAACGGCGGACTAACCGCGTTGTCCAAAGGACTCGACGAGTTGGCCGCGGGAGTCGATGTGTTGCTGGTAGGATACTGTTTACGGTCAGCTCAGGCTACACAAACAAAGCATGCACGTGGGATTATACAGCGCGTAAGAATGGAAACAGCGCGACGACAAAGTTCGCCAGCTCCGGTAACATGTCTGCAGCTTTGATACGCGCTTCGTGGCGACTCGACGTGGAATAGAAATGTTACTGACCTGTTGCGCAAGAACCTGCGTCGCGAAGAATGCGACCAGGGATGAAGCTAGCGCCATGGTTACCAAACGTGACTGCCGGGGAGACGTAGCAGGTAGACAGCACGCAGCAATATGCTATTACTGGATTAAAATGTGGCTGCCAGAGTAAACCAGTTGAGTAAACCAGTTGACCGCGTACACGAGCCAAACTTCTCAGCAAAGGGCGCGCGACAACTTTATCCTCCGTTGGCAGCCCGCCGCCCGAGGCAGCGTCGGTCGTAGCTTCCCCAGCACTCCGCCTAGCGCCCCAGGATTCTCAGCACTGGCCCCTGCTGATCGTCTCCACAGAGTCCACAGTCGACCCAGCGACCTCACAAACCAGCCGCTGAAGTTGGTACCACTGAACGCTATTCCGGAGGCTACGGCTGCGTTTCCGTCACCCAGTCCACCTGTCCAAGTCTTCCACAGCGGAAGCACAGCTCGAAGCAGCATCCCTCACCGACGCGTGTTCTGTGCAGTACGTCAGGGAGGCCCACTGCATCCCGTCGACTCGAGCAAGGTACATGATCCGCCTCTCAACACTCGGGCGCGAACTTGTACATCGTCATCTTGCTGCGCCAACCTGCAGGGGTCGTGGATTCAAGCTCTCAGCATCAGCCCTTTCCGCAGCCCACCGAAATCTTGTGGCTTGCCAAATACGACTCCAGTCCGTGGCAAATGCGGGGGAGGTTGCACCTTAGCTCTTACTGCGCGTCTTTCATTGTGACCAAGCGAGAACCAATTCTGACAGCATTTGAGGCTCTACATGGAGATTGCACTATTGTCAATTCAGGGCATGTTCGGTATACCGACATAACAAAGTACATATCGTACTAGGGGTTGCGCGCCAGTCCGTGGAGCTGGCCCTGCCGAAATGCCAATTTTGGACTCCACCCCTCCCTTCTGCAGCACGTCTTTGTTCGTGCCTAGCATGCTGCCTGCAGGCTGACGGTCCATACTTTCTGATTAGTGGAAGGCATGTCACGACCTGGCTTGCTGTTCGGTGCGACCACCCTGCTCAACGTTGGCTAAATGTCGGCAGAACATTTAGGGACTTGCGCGCGTCTGCTGCCCCAGCTTTAGGCCCGATCATCCACTCGTTCAACGGCCCGCCCTGAAAAATCGTGATCATCACAAGATGTTGGGTGCAGGTCCCGAGCCTGGCTGCTGCAGTAAACATTGAGTTCGTCAGCAGTCTCCAGCCCTGTACCGCGGGATCCCTCCTTTTGTTCTGTGCATGGAAGGTGGCACAGTTCCAGTCGTCACCAGTTCGTGAAGGCATCTACCGCAACCGGTGGAAGTTCTACCGCCTCGCTAGTCACCTTATAGTCAAAAAAATCCACGCCAAAGCCGTGGGTTTCCAGGTTGCCGGCCAAGTCGTCACATCGTAATGTGTGTTTGTCCCACCGATCACAAATCCCATTGGCGTGCACTGACTCGGGTACAAGCATAACATGTGCTGTCAGATACGAGTATGACCAAGGCTTCGGTTGCGATCAGTCATACAGAACAGAATGTGCAGCGAAGCGGCGTGTACAAATTGAACAGAGCTTGCGAATCACAATCGTGAACATGAAAGCACTGTCTTTAGCTCTGCGGGGCGTCTTGGCTAGGTAGTGGTAGTGGGCTATTGCCAATTCAGTCGCATCGTATGCCGATTCTAGTCGTAAGCTCAAATGCCGTTAATCGACACCTACAATCGTTAAATATGAACTGTTCATCGCCATTCCACGACGACTATTGCAACAATGCAGACCTCATGGTCTCGTCGGGCGTCAATCAATACTGACGATCAATTTGAGCGGTTCTTTGAGCTGTTGCTGACGTGGGAGTAAATGCAGTGACATGGTGGAACTCTGCCTCACATCGTGTTCGTGTTCGAGTGACGACCTATTATATGATTTTCATCATTCACGATCCACTTTGCTTCCAATACTTAGGATACTGTATGTTTTATACAACCATGGCTTCTCCGCAGCTACACATCAAAGTACTTTCTTCGCTACCGAGCTTCGTCTATGAGCGTTCCGTACCACGCTAATTCAAATGAGTAAGTCTCGCACGTGCCATATCGAGACCTCCATCTTCAGCATTATCACTGGCATCGTTCAGCTGCTCAGTTAAAACGGACTCACATCAGTCCATATTCTCTAAATTTTCTTTTTGATCGATACGTCTCCTGATCACCAGCGTGCTTCCCACCAGAGACGTCTCATAGACTCAGCCACATCGCCATCCTTACCGGAACGGTGGCGCAATCAGCGCATTGTTCGTATGAATGACTCCCTCAGCATGAAATCGTTTCGGTGCAGCCCTTTCTGATTTCGGTATGTCGTATACGGAGAGGAAGCCTAAGATTTGAAGGGAGAGTTTTGGTACAAACAGAATGACGCTGGTTCGCAGGTAGTGCATTTTACATGAGGTAAGACGAGTATGTGATGTTGTTTCCTCGCCCCAATAGTCGTGTCTGCTGAGATTGAGCATTTCTGGTTTGGTTTTGTGGGTATACCACTGTTTGCTGCAGGCTAGCCAATGGCTGAAGAGGGCGTAAGGCTGCAAGTAGGCAACACCGCCTCACTTGAGTCACATTCGAGTCAACTTGCGCACGCTATCCACATCTCGTGATTTCACTTAAAGCGCATTTCCTGCTGTAGTTACCGAAGTCACAAGTCATCTCATCTACCATGGGTGGAAGGTTCTCCAAGGCCGTGCGCTCGCACGTGAAGGATGAGCCCTCCGTCGCACCTACTACTTCAAATCATCACGACATCGATATAAACAAGCGCCAAGACCCCGCACAGCAGCTACCCGTTCGCAACTTAGCTGAGAGCCGCGCAACTTTTCGCAGCCTACTTTCACGCGACGACATCAACCTCGCGACTTGTACCCTACCATATATGGATTCGCGGCGGCGACGATATAGCGATCCACCACAGTCCATCTCGCACACTCACTTCTCCGATACGAGTACATCTGCGCTGCAACGTATGGCCTCATTTGAACAATACCTGGCCGAGCACCAGCTCATGAACATTGATTACAACGATGAAGCTGCGCCAGCATCACCAGCACCTTCGGGACCGGCCCCACCTCTCGCCGACCCAGTTCCCCAATGCTTGATTTGCTGTACAGATATACCCAAGGACGGCAACAAGGATAGCCTCAGGCCGTGCCGGAGCTGCAGTCATATCTACTGCGCTGATTGTGTCAAGAACATGTTCATCGACGCGTGCAAAGACTCGACACGCATGCCGCCGCGATGCTGTGTACCCATCAACCTTCAATATGCAAAGCCATACTTGACGAAAGAGGAGGTAGCACATTTCAGAGCGAAGTACGAGGAGTGGTGCACTGCGGATCCCATCTACTGCCCGATGCCGACATGCTCCGCCTTCATACCAGACAGACTATTGCCTGAGCATGTCAGAACCAACAAGAAGCGACGTGTGGACTCTGGAGTTGGTACTCCCACTCCTGAATCATTCGCATGCCCAACCTGCGAGGCAGGCATTTGTACCGGCTGTCGGCATCAGGCTCACCCAGACAGCATTTGCAATCTCAACGAATTTGGCTTAGATGCAGACACAGCCGAGCTTCTGAAAAAATGGGGCTACAAGAAATGCCCGAAGTGTGGACATGGAGTGAAGAGGATGTTTGGTTGTAATCACATGGAGTGCAGGTGCGGCGCACACTTTTGCTGGGTTTGTCTGGAGAACATTAACAATTGCGATGGAGGCTGCTATGATGATGAAGACGAGGATGAGGAGGAAGACGAGGACAGAAGCGAGCCTGATGAGGAAGTTCCACATCCAGTAAGCGCCGACGAAACCAGCACAGAATCCAGCATGGCAGATGTAGCAGTTCGACCGGGTCTGGAGTCGACTGAGGCTACAACTCTTCCACAACCGACTCGTCAACGCAACCTCGATGGCGGAGGATCTCGCTACTGGGCAGAAAGCTCCTTTAATTTCGGCGAAGAACCTCAAGACGATGGTCAAGAAGCAATCTGGTCATGTCACCACTCCTTCGAACCCTTCAAAGTCCCTTTTGCAAACGCAATCACCTCCCACACAACTGATCTGGAGTGCGTCAAGTGCTGGAGCATCATAAACCCAATGATCAGCGCACCAGTCACGTCGGCTACTCCCAAGAAAACAGGTCCTCCGGGCTTTACTGTAAGGGCCGCAAGGCACGGTGTACGACGAGGCGTTGACCGACCACACCTTCGCGGAAGAGGACGTGGGCGAGGGGCATACGCGCCTCCTCGCGGCCTCTTTAGAGCTGACGCTACTATCGGCACCGCACCTCACCTCAGAGCCGTTCTCCCACCAGCGTCTCCGAGTATCCCAGCTCGAGATGTCGTGCCCATGGAAGACGTACAATTCACCCAGCATACCGTAGATAGTACCTTCTCTCCCACCCGCACACAGCCACCACATCAGTCTTCCACCAATGCCATGCCTCGCCATACCAAAGCAGCCTTCACTTCTCCCAACCCACCCAGCGTCCTCAACCACCGCCCCTCCCCATCCGGCCTCGCCCACGAATGCGAGTACTGCTTCATCGTCGTCTGCGAGACATGCAAGGATGCAGACGTCGCCACGCGCGAAGCGGAATCCGCACGCAGACAGAAAGAATACGATGAGCGAGAGGCGAGGGAGGAGGAAGTGCGACGGGCAACTCTGCAGTCGGAAGACAGGGAGTCTGTGGGAGAACACGTCCCAACACCAGCGTCCACACTCCTCGACCTTCGTCCCGCGTATACCCAATCTGTGTCGGTGGCTCTAGAAGGAGATCAGAGTGCAGGTCGCAGCCTTCTGTTGACGGATTTGGGGCTCCCTGAGAACTCTGGAGTGGAAGTCTAATTGGGCAGATTTACTTTTCTCTGAGGAATGGGTATGGACTCCGCAGGGTTTCTCACGTTCACGCAGAATTATATGAGCTTCGGGCGTTACAGGGAGCAGCATAGTCAGAGCTATATCCCAACTTCAGGCATTTCCTTTCATGGAGTTTGATTTCATGGGTGATTGATTGCTCGCTTTTACAGTTCGTTGCACGGGGGGGATGTGTATAGCTAGGTGTGAGATGTGATCACATTCGAAAGTAAGATATGTATGCCATCTTTGTTGCACGAGTATATCTCGCGCTCAACTTCCGCCCAAACCCCATCTCTCTCAAGTTCAAGTTTACACCCGGCAAAGTCCCGCCCCAAGGAAGGTGTTCTATAACAGATTCTTCAAGAAACCATACAAGTGACAAGTGACCCAAAAAGTATAGTTCAAAGCGAGTCTGTTGGGTTGTTCACGTTCTTGTCTGTCTGTCTGCAGCTTTGCGACGGCATTCTCCGATAGGTTTCTTGGTAGCGACGCAGTGAGAGAGGTTAGATTATGTTTACTGTTTGAAACTACGCTTGTTGTCGGACAAGTCTTTGGGATCTCAGTCGAGCTGGTTCAGAGAGAGTCGGATGGAGCTGTGAAAACCATGACTTTGAATCGTGTGAGGTAGTACAACACAAACAACAGGAGAGGCGGACGATATGATAGACATGGAGTGCGTACAACAACAGAAGCTTATTGACACGAAAAAGGCACAAGATGACGAATTAGGCTCACGGAATATGGCATTGGATACTGAGGTAGATGAGAGTTAATTTTTCGAAGCCCGACCGCCCCATCCATCCATTTTGTGATCCTTAGATCGTGCTGCATTTCCAGCTCAACTCGTCGTTCAATCATTGTCAGATCCTTTGCTTGATTTCGTTCCAGGTCCATCTACACATGTGTGACGGATGTTTGACACGGCTGCTCGAGTCGTGTGTTAGTCGACATGGATTTGTCGAACTTATGCGCCCAGGCTGGGGAAAGCGCTGGAGTCGGCGATGTTGGGGCCAGACTGTCCACCACGTCCACCACGGGGACGGGCATCACCACGGGCACCGCGAGCACCATCGCCACGACCGCGTCCGCCGCGGAACTCGCCACGGTCTCCGCCACGGCCACGACCTTCGCCGCCACGGAATTCACCGCCGCCACGACCGCGTCCCTCGCCACGACCACGGGTACCGTCGCCGCGTCCGCGGCCACCACGGCTACCACCCTCACGGGGAGGGGGAGCAAGCATACGGTCGCCGTCGAGCTCGACGTGGACCTTCTCCTTGCGCTGGCGCTCACGCTTGGCCTTGGCACCCTGGCCGGCCATGTAGGCCTCCTCCTCTTCTTCGCGGCTCAGAGCCTTGCCCTCGGGGAACTTCTTGCTGCTGCCCTCGTTGGGCTTGCGGACGTTCTGGGCGGCGAGGCCGAGCTTCTTCTCGGCCTGCTCAACAAGGTAGGCAGCGTAGGACTTGCTCCTGTCCTCTGGCTCGGGCTCGGGCTGGTTCTCGCCCTCAGCAGCGTCAGCGACGGCATCCTTCTCTTCAGCCTTGGCAATGGCATCGCCAGCTACTTCGTCCTCGAGCTCAGCGTTGCCGTCGTTTCCGCCCCAGCCGTGAGCAGCCTGCTTCTCCTGCTCACTGTTACTTGTTAGTGGCGCTCAAAAATTGGAATCTGGCTATGCTTACCCGATGCCGGTCCTGCTGCGACGGTCACCATCGGCACGGGGACCACCACGGCCTCCGCCACGGCCACCACGGCCACGGCCGCGGTAGTTGCCACGCTCACCAGTTCCAGAAGGCTCTTCTTGTCGTGTTAGTAGAGATTGAAAGCAGTATGCGGGGTGTACTAACCACCTGATCCACGGCCACGGTTCTTGTCAGCGCCGACACCGCGATCCCGGAAAGCTGTTCTCAATTAGCCCAGTCCAGGTCTGCTGTCTCTACGCAAGGCTTGCGGAGGCCTTCCTCGGCTCCTCGTGATGACGTACCGTTCTCGTTCGCGCTGGCGGTCTGTTTGGCGCGGGTCTGGGTGCCTGTTCGCTCGGGCGCAGGCTTGGGGGCATCGGTACCGTCGCGCTTGCCGTGCCTCATAACGGGCTTCTCGATGGCCCTTGTTGGGGGGTCGGCCGGCCTGTCGGGGTCGAGCTCTGGGTCATTGCCTGCGGGGTGGTGAGTATTGGGCGGGCAGCCTCTTCGATGCCGCATTCACGTACCCAGCAGCTCATAAATGTTCTGCCATCTCAGTTAGCCATTGCCCCGTACAACTTCTCTCGCACAGCAATTGCAGCTGGCGGTGCGGCGCAGACTCGAGACTGCGCCCGGGGAAGTGGAGCTCACCTTGGAAACTACAGCAGACATCTTGGTGGATTGGAGCGCCTTTCGCGCTTTTCCCGTCTAGATGCGCAATCTGCGGAGAGGGAGGGAAGATGAGAGAGCTTGCCCTACGGACTTAGGACGTGACTCTCGGGGGTGTTGTGGCTTTCAGGCGAGAAGCGAGGTTGACGTGAGGTTGGCGGGCGCTCCAAAATTCGCTGTGGTGCTAGCTTTCCGTTCGCTTAGGCTCCATGGGCTGCCCGTGCCCCACCAACCCTCGGACTTGAAAGGTGCAAACAAAGCAACATCGCAGCAATTATTGTCCGCGTCACTTCTGTGACGGAATCAGCGGCATGACAGAGTGCGAATGGCTGATTACAACACTGATATACTTGATGCTGCTTGCGCAATCACTCGGGCTTTGTCTGTGTGTCCTGCAGCCCTTGATGCCTGAATGGCACTTGCAATTCTGACAGTAGACCACTCAGCTCGAAATGTTCACAAACACCTGTAGTACGGTTGTTGCAATGTCTCGTACACTGCCATGTAAGAGGGAGCATCACATTGTGGCCTACCGTTGCAGCGCATAGCTTCAGGCTCTTGGCTCAGCAAGCTGCTCTCATGACATGGGTGAGCTCACGTAAATTTGCCTGCACGCTATGTAGCACACAATCTCACCACTATACGGAATGCTTAGAGCTCAATCGCAGGTGCCTTGCATGCCTCGCTTAGCCGAGCTGATCTTGGCTCCCCTTCACGTCATCCCGAGGTTCAGGCGAAATTATTTCAAGTGACTCATTGTTATGGACAGCGGTCAGAATATTACAGTATGTACAATCAAGTAATGTCTCGAGTCTGGAATTTGTTCGACCCAAGTCTTGACAACATCCAACAGTTGACTTTCTGGAAGGCCAGCTACCTTCTATGTCCATAACACCGTTGCTGAAGCTGAATATTGGAACATGAACTTTTTGAGAAAACCCCCCATCGTTTCAGACCGGAAAATATCCAAAGTCGTGTAGAGTAAACGCCAATGTACTGCCCTCACACGTCCAAGGCGGATTGAGCCAGTTTCGACCCCCGCTAGCAATAGCATTAAAGATCTTGTGTGAGTAATGTCGTGTCCAGGAAGATAAGTGTCGTATATCGTCTTCGCTCATTTCGGAATCATTCGTGTCCTCTCATCGAGATTCGTACATGGTGGGGAAGTGCATGCTTGCCGAGAGCCCAAATGGATCAGCGTCGAGCATGGGGTCGTATGGGTCGAAGAGGTGGTTGTTCATGCCATTGAAGACATGGCCGCCGTCATTCGGCGCTAGCGCAGCTGGGCTGGTGAACGGGGGGTTCTGTGAGGGGGGCATTGGTGGCGGCATATTGTTCGCCGGTGGGAAGTTTTGCTGCGGGAAGGGACCGGGGCCTGCAGATTGATCGCTCGGGTCATCGTGGTCGTAGGAGTCTGCTTGTTCCTCATACTCCTGCTCTGTAACACAAAATCAGCCTAGGATTACAAAGTCCTATCCCTAAGGAATGAAGGAAGGGGGTCAGCTTGCCCAGTTGAGACATATGGTCTGTAAATTGCGTCTGGAATTGGAAACCTGTGCTACTGTTCTGCGTTATGCCGTTGCCGTTGTTGGCCACAGGAGGAGCGTTGGACATGCCATTTGCTGGGGGTTGGTTTGTGAGTATAGCTGGCCGCTGGGGTCCCATGTTGGGTGTGAAGTTTGATCTAGGTGGCTGAGGCCGCAATGGCTGCTGCTGCTGTTGCTGTTGCTGCTGCGGCGGTATCGGCCCAAAGTTGGGCGACACTGACTGACCATGGGGCATGAAATTAGGAGAGCGCGTCGCTGATTGAGCGGGCGAAGAGAGATGCGAGCCAGGCGTGGGCTGCGACAAGGGCGAACGCTGAATAGGCCCATCGGGCTGTATCATAGGCAGGCCATTAGAGCCATCAGCCTTTGGAGGCCCTTGAAGCGACCGCCGCTGCTGCTGTCGGTTCAAGACTGCACGCTGCGAGAGCGGTGCTTGGTTGGGGGAATTATGAGCAGACACTGGAGGCCGTGTTGGCCCCAGGTTGGGACTACCAGTCTTTGCGCGCAGCTCGGCCTGGACGTCAATGCCTAGTGGACAGGGCGTTAGTATGGGTCCGGGTGGTGGGCAGAGATAAGGACTTGGGGTCACCTTTCTCTAGCAAGATTCTTTCCAGAAGCGAATTCTTGTAGCGGAGCATAAGGCATTCGTCGGCGGCATTGCGATGACTGTTCTGCAGGTTCTGCAGCGTCTCCTCATGGTGCTTGATGGTGCTCTCGAGCTGCTTGATGTACTCTGTGCGGCGCTCGCGGAAGGCGGCTTGTGCCTGTCTATTGCGCTGCTTGCGCTCCTCCGAGGTTGCGTATATCTTACGGCGCTTGGTTAGTCCTATCTTCTCAAACGATACAGAGTGCGCATATTCAGCAGTCATGGTGGCAGGCATGGGGAGGGCTCAGTGCTCACGGGTTTGCGGCCGCCTTTGCGCTTCTGCTGCTGGGGCTCTTCTTGAGTATATGTCTCGGCCAGACCAGGTTCAGGCGACGATCCGATAGACGACGTCGAACCATCGCGAGAGGCGTCTGCCTTGCCCACGGGGGCCGTCATATCTGTTACGACACTATCTCCCATCTGCGGCTCGCGCACCCCTCCAGCTGATAGAGGGGCACGTTGCGCGCCAAGACGTGCGATAGACGCGACAGCGAACAGAGGCAGAAGGTCGATATGGCGGCAGGAGGCTCTAGGCGGCTAAGCGCGCCAATTCAGGGCAGCCGCAACGTCGGGTCGAGGGGCGATACCGTGTGTTGGGGAGTTTGATAATGTGCGATAACGAAATGGCTTCGGGGCCTGTGTGTGGTTGCGCAGTAGTTGTGAGGTAAGCTCTTGGGTAATGGAAACGGAAGAGGGCTCTGACCGAGGGGCGGAGGTGCTGGACTGTAAAAGGCGGGCGGGGACCACTTTCTTGTCCAGCGGACCAGCGCGCCCAGGCACTCTCAGGGCTCTCGCTGTGTGGATAGAACGTCTGCTCGCCCGCCAGAAGAAGGATGCCTCAGCAGCGGGCAGCAAATAGCACGCGGCCGTTCCGCGCTGCACGTCACACTCGCGATCCGGCCAAGGCGTCCACAGAGTTTTCTCGCGGGGTGCTCACGGCGCATGCAGCCCTCCCTGGTCTCGAGCTTGAGCTGGCAGCGCAGCGTAGCCAGAATGAAGACGGCCGTGGTCGACGACGGACGCCGAACATGGCATCTGCTGCCGACAGGATCGCGACGCCGCATGCGGTCTAGCGCCGCATTAGCTCCCGCGCCATCGTGAATTGCGACCTCGTTTCTCCGGATCTCCTGCGAGCCTGCAGTCTTATCACCACGGCCGCCTCCCATCGCCGGCGCGGACCTGCTCGCATCTTCACCACGGTCATGCGCGACCGTCCACCGATTTTCTGCGCACCTCTACGACTTGTTGCGGTGGAGAACGAGCACCCGCGGTCGAGTCGCGCGTCTCTATCCGACCTCGGAGCTCGCTTACCGTCAAACGCCGACGAGGATGAAGACGCTGCGAACCTGCAAACCGTGCCGCTGCGGTAGGGCTGACAATGCACCTCCGTCTGATATGTGGCGCAGCCATCACCTATAGCAGATAGGCACCAGCACGTTCATACGTCGACTCGCACCGATAGACCCCTCCTGAGTTTCGCCAGGCCTGCTCTTACAGTCGCGACGTTGGGGTGCTGTGACGTGGACAACGCAACGCTGCTGCAGCGCAAAGTGTTTTCGGTCACGCTCGTCGTAGCTTCCCCGCCTGCACTGCAGACTACACACGGAAAGAGCCACCCAGCCTGTTCACTCGTGCTTCAGCACCACGCAGCCGTGCCAGCACTTCGCCTGGGATTCGCCGAAGTCGTTGCTTTTATGCACCACATGAGCCTTGCTATCCCGAAGCGCCCTAGCGTCGAGCCGCTTTTTTCTCGGCTGAGCGAACAGGTGACCAGAAGGCGGTCGAGACTCGCACGACAACTCTGGTACGCGCTACGGTGCATCGTGACATTCCAAGTGCGTGTCGAGTGGAATTGTGCCGTGATGAGGTGGTCATGTTTTGTGTCGAGACGAGCGAGACGGACGTGAGCTATGCGTCGTGAATCGCCAGGAGCGGTGAATCCTATGCGGAGCTTGACATATGCTGTAGATCATGTAGTACCGGATTACAGACTCACTTTCCAGGTGCAATTCGTAGTAACATGGACTCGCAGAATTGTGCAGGTGAACAATTCGCAGATGTAGGCAACGTCAAGCTAAAATCACTTCTCGCACATTTCGCCTCAATCTGTGCTTGCTTTGTTTACTTCTCGCGGGGTGATTGAGGCAGGAGCATAGAATGCCGTGCACTTTCCTCTCAAACACTGTCTATCTGCAACATCATAGCGCATCTTCGCGTTCTCTCACCATGTACACCTCCCGCGACAAACCTCGCCGCGCCCCACAGGATATCGAGCATCGACATAGTCTCACATGACTTTTCCCCTGATTTCAGCAGTATCGGATCCCGCATCAACTACTCGGTCAGCATCTAATCTCTAGCCGTACTTCGTGCGAAGCCTATCGTTCACGGAGTTGTCTGGCATACCTAGAGCATCTCAGCAACGGCTGCTGACGGTATGCAGCGATGACATTCTCCGAGATCGCGGGGCGGCTGCTGAAAGGGTCAGGTTACTCGCACACTCCTTCGTCTAGCAAAGACCAGCCTCTTCCGCCAGGTCTCTCGTTCGACAGAGAGAGCGGCGCCTCTTTCCTTACATCGCCCGGGTCCGATAGCAGTCAAGTCCTTGGCTGTGGCGGCATGGTTGGCAGTAACTTTGGTGAACCCATAGGACACTCCACCAACGCCTCTTCTTGGGCGAGAATACGTCCTCTCTCAGATATCCGTGAACTCACCGAGCCCAGTCTAGCAGATACACTGCTACGAAAACCTGTCTCAGAGAAACTGCCGCGAAGCACGTCTCGCCCCGATCTTTCACGGAAGCCGTCCGTGGCTTCAAAGCGACGCCCCAGTGTTGACCATCGCAATGGTGAAAACAGGGAGCCGGACCGGAAGATCAGCTTAGAGAGCAATGGCATTAGATCTGTTCACCGAGGACGATCCTTTAGAACGCCATCCCCACCAAGTCCAGCGGACAACAACAGCATATCAAGTATATACAGCATACCACATGGCAATGTGCCACGACGCTCCTCATCGCGAACGCGCGCACGCAGCACTTCCAAATCACGACCACCACTCCAGCATATAACTCAGCGCGCCCCAGCCACCACGACACTCAATATGGTTCCAAGCATACCGCCACCTGACCATACTATTCCTCGGCGTGGACATTCGCAGTCGCCGGTGCGCCATGTCGCTGCGCGGCTCGATCCCATATCACACGATACTAATCGACGCATACCTTCTAGAACATTTGTTCGAGAGCCAATTTCGAAGGAGCTACTTGAGTTCCCGTCACATCGACATCCTCGTATAGATCTCGGTCTCGATTTATTGGCGGGCATATTCGTAGGTGGAGGGTCAATTGAGGGAACAGTACAAATCAACGTTGACGACGCTGAGCGAATACGTCATAGAAGGACTTTGGACATAGCCCGAATATCTATCGACCTCCTTGGAATAGAGGAGATCAGTGGAAACAGACGTTGTGTGTTTATGAATCTTGCTACAGAGCTACTCGACGAAAAGAACCCGCCACCAGCGAACATGGTGGATACACAAGAGCCGATCAGCCCCCGCAACGTCTTCTGGCATCTGATGCCATCCGTAACGAATCTCGCGTTTAATCTTAGTTTGCCACTTAACGTCGGACCTCCGCCATTCCAGTCGAAGAACGCAAGGATACGATACGTGCTTTGTGTGTCACTCCTCGTCCGCGATCACGGCAGGCAATATATTGTGAGGACATCGGAGGATGTCACAGTACTATCTGTCTATGACCGTACGTGTCTTACATCTATTTCCCTCCAACTGAACTAACTGAACTAACTGAGTACCAGCCGAGAAAGCGCTCATGTCGCTACCAAGCCCACTTACGGCATCCGACGAGTGGGTCAAGCCTCGTGAGACTACCCTGGAAGTCGTTCGAGTCACAGCAGGCCTCCATCGACAGGTCTGGGTTAGTGGGACGAGCATCTACGTCGACGTCCACATCGCCAACAACAGCCGCAAGACGGTCAAAAAGATTGAGCTGCAATTGGAACGAGATATATTGTGCTACAACCATGTCTGTTCAGGGACAGAGAGGCATTTACATGGTTTACAGCTAACAAGTCCTCATTGTAGGCTGCTGCATCGACAATGGAGAAGTCGGCTGGCCAAGCTCGTATCTTCGACAACAATGACCGCTCGATACTTAGCAAATCAATGGTCAAGCAGGGTTCTGCTGGCTGGCACGGAGTTTCTACCCATCAAACGCATATTCGGACGTGCGATCTAGAGTTACCTCGCGGCCTCGGTACAGTCAAGTGTGGTAAGACCCTCGCTACATTTGTCAAGGTACCAGTGGCTAATTTTGCAGGCAAATACTTCGAGGTACGATACTTCTTGAACGTAATCGTCAGCAGCACACACACGTTAGTCTCGTACATCTCAATCGCCGTCCCAGCTAATTTCGTTCAGCAAGCTGGTAATTGTCCAGTTGCCCATTGTGCTCATACACATGGTTCGTGTCTATTCTATCTCCACAATACAAGGCTGAGCTGACCATACTAGAACTCTCTAGACGTCGTCCCCAACTCCGTCGCCCAAGTCGCCATGGCCATCGAAGAAAAGCGCTCCCTACACACCCACCAGCGCAACCCCTCCATGACGCGGCGCCCTTCACAATCCGTCCAAGGCCGCGCCTTCGCCGCTCCACGCATGCAATCCCTCGAACGGATGCGCGCCCGCGCCGACGACATCCAAGACCTCAGTCAAGCCCTTGACCAAAGCCCCCGCAAATTCACCCTCCACAGAACCAATTCAAACTGGGACTACCGCACGCCTCCTTCCAATCGCAAAGGCAGAATCCTCGGTGACGGCGAAGCAGCTGACCTCAAAGACCGCCTGCGAAGAGTCTGCTCAAACGCAACTGTCGGCTCCAAACCCAACTTACATAGAGATAGCTCGACGAGATCGCACCGTGGAACTACGTCCGCCCTGGGCTTCAGGGAGGCGGAAGTTCGTGAGGACATGGAACTCGCGGGCCTGGGTGAGACGGGGGAGGTGCGGTTCAAGCAGCGCCTGGAACAGAGTCGCGAGCGCCAGTATCGGTTTAGCAAGAAGAAGAGTATGGAGAGGTGGAAGGGCGTGGCGAATGTTGGGGTTGGGTGGTTGAAAGGTGGTGGTAGTGCGAGGGAGGAGCGTGAGCGCGATGGGTGGGTTTGAGTTGGGCAGTGAAGGAAGGAGCTTCTGAGTAAGGCTTTTTGGATACGAACGGAATATTGGATAGTTGGGTAGAGATATTACTATACTGCCAAGGCAACATACATACTTCACATTGAAAGCTCATGGGCGTGTGTATGCTGAAGTGTGGGAAATACGTTGCTGATATTGCCCTGCCGAACGTGTATCACAACGCCTACACAGTGTGCATGTCAGAGTTGACACAGCCGCCCTATAAACACCCCTAATTCACCATGTGCTCAAGATTCAATCCCCACTCTCCTCAATCTATAAAGTCGAATTGAACAGTCCCAGCGTACTTCACACAAATGATGCCACGCTGGCAAGTGATGTACGTGATCGAGCAGTTCGAGACAGGGAAGGAAAGGAGATAGTTTCTCCCCCATGGTTGTCTACGAATCAGGACAGCAGTCCCATTCTATTCTGCGCTCCTTTCGTCCATGCCTTTGGAGGACTGACAATGTTCTACTCTGTGATCTTGCATCTGGCACTGGCACCCTGTCAGCACTGCGCATGCGATGGGAAGGGAAGGGATGACGCCGCAGCATGCATGTATAGCGCAAGCAAAAGCAGCCCACCTCTATTCACCCACGGAATACTTTCAAGTTGCAAGAAATCTTCAATTCCGCCGTCGATTGACTGAACTATGTACACGAAAATAAAGGCTGATGCAATGCCAAACAAAACGCCAAGGAGATACTAGGAAAGGCAAAAAAAAAAAAAAAAAAAAAAAACATGAAGCCCATGCGAGCCGGTGTGTGTGAGAGAAAAAACGCCATTTTGAATACACCCTTCATTCGTGCGCATGCATGCAAACACGCTTCAACTCCTCCTTTTACGCTCAGTTAGAAATGCAAATCATCAAGGGGCGATCCAAGTAGATCTTCCACTTTGCGTCGCGAAAAAAACGATGCGGGAGCTTTTCAATGTAAGCCTCCAAGAAAAAGTGCCGCGCCGCAGGTTGGTAGGCTTTGTATCAACACGCAGCAGCGGCGGAGAATGTTCGAAACCACAGGCCCGACTCGACTCTGCGTCTCATTGCTACTCCCTGCAACATAGGTGAAGACTGCGCCGCCGCGGATGAGTGCCGGGCAGGTCGCAGCTCCGTCACATCTCGGCCGGATAGTAGGCTGGGTATATAACGTCAACAATCGTCAATATAAGCTCTAGGAATGGCATCTGTTTTTTTGTGCTCACTCGCCAGTGCTGTTTCCTCTCTGCCTCCTGCCCAAGGTGACGTTCCTATTGGTCAGGTCGGATACTCCGCCGATCGAGTTGCGATTGTTCGGGTTTCGGTTGACCGCGAGCTGGGTACGTGCACGCAGTGTGCTTGCTACTTGCTTCTCATATGCTGGAGAGCTTTCGCGGAAGTCGTAGCGTCGACTGTTGTCTCGGAAGAGAAGACTGTTCTCGTTCTGGGTGGCTGTGGGCCGTCGGAGGCTCGAGGAAGACTGTAACGAAGGCGGTGACTGTAGCTCTGGCAGTGGCTCACGGGACGTGTATTGTCGAGCAGCAAGTCTGCTCTTCTCTGTTGGTCGCAGAGATCTGAAGTCGGTCATTGCACGAGATGGTGCTCTCATAATAGGATCTTCGTCGTCGTCATCCACACTACTACGATTCCGGTGGAGGCTTGTACCAGCACGTGAGAGCCGCGAGGAAAACTGCCTCTCGTGATCGAAATCTTGACTTGATTCTCGCGGTATGCCATTGCCATTGTACAGCATGCTTGTCCTGCGGGCCTCAATCCGATGCATTGCTCGGCTAGGACTGACATTCGACATGGTGTTACTCTCGGGCTCGATGCTTTGTCGAACGGTCGGAGAGTCACCATTGATCTGCACGCTGGGTCGTCGCGATATGGTATGGGTTGATGATCTCACTGCTGGGCTAGACACGCCTGTCTTTGTTTCACATAGGGCTATGCACAGTTCCGTGAGGCTTCGGCACATGTTGTCAGCTTTGCGCCGAACTTGTCTGTCAGAAACATTGGCTCCTCCGAGAATTGAGCTGGCAGAGTGCAGGGTTCCTTGTGGCCCGGCGCTGCCGGTCATTTCTGCCAATGTCAGGGCCTCGCCTACTGTGGCGTCAAGGACGCGATATACAGCCGGGGAAGTATGTTGCCGTGCTTTCGCTAGAGCCTCACGCAATAAAGGATGAGTACGGCTGCTTGTGTGCCCGTCTATAGTGGACTCGGGCGGCGAAAGGTTGGATTTACGCTGCTGATTTGGAGAAGAAGAGACTGTCGTGGCGGACGTGTTTGCCGTCCGTGGTCGTTCCGCTGTCGCTTGCGATACGATGGCTCCCGAAGTCGAAGGGATCTTGCCGCCCATCTCAATGCGCCTAATGCGGCTCTTCAGCTCGTCCAGCTCGTCCCAGACAGATACAGCTGGCCCGGTGGAGCCATGCGACTCGGTCCCGTCGGCATGAGACGAGGGCTCGCGCTGCACAGGCTCGACCTGTGGCGCCCTAGCATCATCTCGCGAAGAAGAGTAGTGGCCTAGGTTCGATGGGCGGTAGGTGCCGGTCCTGCTCGGTGGAGTGTGCACTGCTTCTGGTTGTGAGCCTCGCCGTTTGTTGCCAAGCTGCGCAAGGAAGTCACGGGGCGACAGATCCGAGTCTCTTCGCGAAGAGAAGGATGCCTTGCTATTTAGCTCGGGCGGGCGGGTTCGCGGTGATTCGAGCGGCGTGCCTGGGGACTGGGGAGGGCGCTCCTGCTGCGTTCGGGACGCGCTGGGAAGGAGCGACGAGCGGCGCGGCTGAACGTTGGACCGTGATTCGGTGGTCGAGGATATGCGGGTGACGGTGGGTGCGGTAGAGGTGGAAGGCCCGGGCGACGGAGACTGCAGCGCTGATGGCGAGGACATGCGGTTCACGCGGGCGATGCGGGAGCGCAGCTTCTCGTGGCGCGCCGAGTCGACATGCTGGCGCTGCTTGGGCGGCGCAACGTCTTCGGCAATGTTCAGGAACAGGTCCTCATTCTGCTCGCCATCGGTGCCTGAGGTGTCCGTGGCCCTGCGCCCGTTCTGCGCAGGGCGGCGGCGGTCCTCGTAGTTGCTGGGCGAGCCCGAGTCCGACTCGGACGAGGACGAGGACGAGTCGTCAATGGAGCTGGCCATGGGCTGTGTGGTGCGGGCAGTGCCCGTGGCGGTCGTGGCGGTCGTGGCGGTCGCGTCGGGCTTGGGCTGGGCCGGGGCGTGTGTTTGTTGTTGTTGCTGTGGTGGTTGCGGGGTGGAGTCGCTGAGATTCTCTGCGTCGTCTCTTGGGCGCCGACTGGAGGACTGCGAACCGCCAGGCGAGACCAGCCCCAACGACTGGAACTGCTGCTGGGCGTAGGCAAAGTCGGCGGGCTTCTGCGACGTCCTGCGCGCGTAATCCGAATTGCCGCGAGTAATCAGCGTCACGGGCGGGCCGCGGGAGGTATCATGGCCCGCGCTGAATGATGCTGGTGGTCGTCTGGTGGCCGGTGAGCGGGGCTCTGCGCCAGATGCGGCCGTCTGGGGTGCAAAATACGATGCTGGAGTGGCCGAAGACGTCGAGTGCGGCGTGGGTGCCGTCGGCGTCGAGGGGTTCGAGGCGCGTCGTGATCGTTGGGCTGCAGAGACCGTCGAGCTCGCAGACGGCAGGCGCAACAGAGTCGGTGTGTCGGGCGCGGTCTTCGTGCGCTGGTGTTTGGACGACGGCGACTCTTTTACCACTCTCACCTCCTTTGGATCCTTCGATTCCTTGCCTTCTTTGCGGCTCGAAGACGGCGGGTCGCGTTGTTGTGATGCGTCTTTGGAGCCCTTCTTAGAATGGCGTCGTCCAAATATCGGCATGGCTTATGTAGAGACGTGTGCTGGCACTGACACCAACCAAGCAGGGTTCAGCGCGGGAATGTCATGTAAGGTAGCCAACGCGCGGCATGCTGCTACACGACCCGCAATTGCACGCAGAGTCGTCTTAAGTTTGGCATGCTGCTAAGGAGTTGGCAAAGGTTTGCATTCTGCCATAGCGATGCTGGGGTTGGCCGTCTGAAGAGGGACGAGTCGCGAGCTAGGCGCCCCGGCCACCTCTGGTCACAGTACATGTTCGAGCTAGCATTCTAACGCTCTTAAGCGCGTGATTAAGCCTTGGAAGGTTACGCGCAGTTGTCGCTATGATGCAAGCCATCCTTGTGTTGTGCTGACGGTCTAATGTCGTCTTCTTGAAAAAATCCCATCGTCTTCGCGAGCCAGCTACCAACATCTGCCATTGACCACCGAGTAATGTCTGAAACAGGCTGCTACGGGAGACATGGCTTACCATCACCCGTCAACAGCGCCTCTGCAGATCTGAGTGACGAATGGCTGATAGATACAGTGACATCGAGGCAACGATGCCCCAGCCGGACAGCATCTTGAAGCTGTACGCCTCGCCCGATTTGTTTACAACAGCTATCCTGCGCCGGATCAGTCAAGCCCTCCCTTCGTTGAATGACTCGTTTGTGGCCCACGAGAACGCTGTGTTCCAACGTCATAGCACCAGTCTCTATTGTAGGGTTGGCTGGTGTCCCAGCCCTCGAAAAGCGACACTCCCAGCCACCTCTAGCTGCACACGATGCAAGCGTCCAGGTCCGATTGGATATACTTCGAGAGAAATGACAGGAAAGAATGCCACCATTTCCCAGCTCAACAAGCACTTGACAACTTTATCTTGAAGTCGATAAAGTGTACCTGCATATCATCATCCTTGCAGGGGCCTGGAGGTTAGGCGAGCTGTTTTGAATCTTCAATTGCCCTCATGCAAGCCTCAATCACGCATCTTCTTCGGCAGCCGTTTTTGTACAGATGCAAGCTCAGTAAACTAACTAATCCGTCGAAAGTCGAAAGTTTATGTCGTTGAGCTTGTATCTGCTGGTGATTGGCAGGCACGTGATAGAGGCCCAACTTCTGCGCACGTGACGCCACGCGGCCGAACGATAATCCGCGGGAGCCTGATTCGATGAGATAATTTGCCGGCCCATCATCAACTTTGCGAACGCGTCCACCTGCACTCACTCACCTGCTGCCACTCTTGTCGCCCATCATGTCCGTCGCCGCCCTTTCGAAGTCGCTGCCGAAGCCGAAATACACGGGCGAAGAAGAAGAGCTCACACGCAGCACACGCGTGTTGACGACCGAGCAGTACGAGACACAGGTCGCAAGGAGGCAGAATGGCCCACCTGCCTATGGCGCCAGGAAGAACTGGCGACCGCGCAGTGCTGAAGATTTTGGTGATGGCGGCGCGTTCCCAGAGGTACACGTAGCACAATACCCGCTCGACATGGGCAAGAAGGGCGAACCATCGAAATCGAATGCTATGGTCCGCAGAGTCGATGCTGAAGGAAAGACCAAGTACGACGAAATCGCAAAGCGCGGACACGGCGACTCGAGGATAGTGCAAGCGAGCTTCAAGGATCTGATCCCCCTGCGACAGCAAGCCGATGCCGGACAATTAGATCTGGCGCGACCAAGTCAAGAAGTCGTACAAGCGACGAAGGAGAAGACGGAGCAGGCACTCATGGCGCTGGTAGCCGGTCAGACTGCAGCACAGCGACCCAAGAACGTGCAGGGCCGCAAGAACGACGAGCCTACTTTCGTACGATATACACCTACCGCGCAGATGGGCGAAGCACAGGGAAAGACGCGAATCTTCAAGATTCAACAACGACAGATTGATCCGCTTGAACCACCAAAGTTCAAGCACAAGAGGATACCTCGCGGACCGCCGTCACCACCTCCTCCAGTCCTTCACTCCCCACCACGCAAGCTGACCGCCGAGGATCAAGAGATGTGGAAGATCCCGCCTCCTATCAGTAATTGGAAGAATCCCAAGGGTTATACTGTGCCACTGGACAAGCGTCTGGCTGCAGATGGCCGAGGCCTACAGGACGTCACTATCAACGACAAATTTGCACAATTTGGCGAAGCACTCCAGGCGGCAGATCGTCATGCTCGCGAGGAAGTCAAACAGCGCGCAGTCATGCAACAACGATTGGCAGAGAAGGAGAAGCTGCAAAAAGAAGAACATTTACGCAACCTAGCTAAGCAGGCCCGCGAGGAGCGCGCGAACGTCTCGCGCCGCCGTTCTACGAGCGACTCAGACACCGACTCCGAGGAGGAAGCTGTACGGAAGCGACAAGCAGACAGAAAGGAGCGCCGCGAAGATTTCCAGCGCGAGCTCCGCCAATCGCGCATGGGCCAAGAGCGCAAGATTCAAATGCTTGCTCGAGAGCAGAACCGTGATATTTCTGAAAAGGTTGCTCTGGGTTTGGCAAAGCCCACACAGAGCGGCGAGTCGATGTATGACTCTCGTCTATTCAACCAGTCCAGTGGGTTCAATGCCGGCATCAACGAAGACAACCACTACGACAAGCCCCTCTTTGCAGCACAGGACGCTATCAGCAGTATCTACCGGCCAAGCGTCCAACAGGATGATGGGGAAGACGAGGGCCAGACCTACGATCGCATCACCAAGTCCAGCAAATTTGAAGTGTTGGGCAAGGCCAAGGAGGGCTTCAAAGGAGCTGATTTGCAAGAAGCTCGCGAAGGACCAGTGCAGTTTGAGAAGGACACGGATGACCCGTTTAACATCAGCCAGATGATTGACGAGGTTAGAGGCGAGAAAGGAACCGAGAAGACTGGCGAAAAGCGCTTTGGTCTCCAAGAATCAGAGGGACGGTCGGCAAAGCGCGCAAGAGTCGATGATGACAGCGACTGAGTTTGAAGCATGTGAACAGTGTGCATTATTTTCTTGACCACGAGCGTCGGAGTTTTGGGATGTATGGGTGCCGCATATTGGCGATTGTATAGGACCGAAGTCGTCTGACATTTGCATACGGCTTATCATTCAAGACCAATATATTACTGTCTTCGTTCAAACCTTGATGCTACACCGTGTCAGACGTGTGGGACGCCCGTTATGTTGGAAACGAATCACCTCGTGCCTCATTGGCCCGAGATATCTGCAGAATCCTAGTTTCGGATAGCGCACCTTGCACCGACGTCAACTCCCGCTGCAAGTCCAACCACACTATCGCTGCACAAGCTCCAAAGCCCCGCATGCCGCTTACAGTCTCTAGTTGTGGACCCTGAGCTCTTCATTATGTCTGATATGCGGCGTGGCAGAGCACACTCTTGTCGCTTGCTGACTACAGTATTAATACCCCGAGAAGTCTCACACGATCCTCATTGACATACGCAAGAAAGCTGCTTGCTGAATTTGAGTTCTTGGTCACAAAATGGCTTCCAATGGCACAGCAGTAGAGAATGGCAAACAGCACAAGTTCAATCCGAACTTCACACAAGCTGTCATCAACGCTACAGGACCCAAAGCCACTCCGCGCGTACGGCAGCTCACAGCAGGCTTGATACAGCATCTCCATGACTTCGCTCGCGAGAATGAGCTCACGGTTGACGAGTGGATGCAGGGTGTCGAGTTGGTATGTCTGCACCACAGTCCATACACAAGTCACTGACAGCATACAGATGAACGCAGCCGGCAAAATGTCCGACGACAAACGCAACGAAGGTCAGCTCCTCTGCGACATCCTCGGCCTCGAATCCCTCGTCGACGAAATTACCTACAAGCTCGCCTCAGACGCCACCGATGAGCCCACATCAACTGCCATCCTCGGGCCCTTCTACCGCCACAACGCACCCCAGCTGCCTATGGGCGCATGCATCGTCTCTGATGAAGTCAACAAGACGGGAGATAGGACGTGGATGCATGGCATTGTCACGGACTTCAGGACTGGAAAGCCCATCGAGGGTGCGGTCGTGGATGTTTGGCATACCGCGCCGAATGGACTGTACGAGCAGCAGGATCCCAACCAACCTGACATGAATCTCAGGGGCAGGTTCACCACTGGCAAGGACGGAAAGTACGACTTTTATTGCTTGAGGCCGGTGCCGTACCCGATTCCTTTCGATGGGCCAGCGGGCAAGGTATTGCAGGCGTTGGATAGGCATCCGATGAGGCCGGCTCATATTCACTTCTTGGTATGTTAAGATTCATGACTGTAGTGTCTATGTGCTGACTCTGAAACAGCTCGCTGCGCCGGGGTACAAACCTATCGTCACGCAGATCTTCGACCGGAATAGCAAGTACATTGACGACGACGCTGTTTTCGCAGTCAAAGACTCGTTGATTGTGGATTTCAAGCCTTTCCAAGGTGATCCCAAAGCAGACTTTGAGCTGCCATATGACTTCAAAATGGCGAGCTTCGAGGATGCGAAGAAACACGGAGTCAATGGCACGACTGAAGAGAGCGCTTGAGTAGTTCACTGAATCAGAAATACAGCAATGTAAACCACCTCCTTGTGCTCGCGTTTCCACATGTCGGTTTTCTCGGGAGCGACCTGCCCTCTAGCGTAACTCGTTCCGACAACAAGCGGCTCCATCCCGAGCGAGCGCCGATCCCCGCATTTGCACAACGTAGCTAGCCCGCTGACAACCGTGCCGCGGTAGACGACGCCCTACACGCCTTGTCATGCCGATGTGATGCCAATGTAGTGACATGGTGCTAGTGTAGGACTACTTTGTTTCGCTCGTTGCTTCTTCCTTCCTCTTGCATCTTCTCGCTTATCACTGCCAAGTCATCGTCATCTGCCGAAGTGCTGGCAGTAGTCAAGGTAGATATGTGAAGATGTGGGGTCATATGTTTGCAAGCTAACATGTGGTATACTTTACAGAACCTACACACATCAGGAAGCTTTGTGCTATACGAACGGGCTTACAATTGTCTTATCTCGACACGTATCAGTGGGGACAATCGCGAGCAGGATTGTCAGGGGTCGATCTTGCCGTTTAATCTGTTTGCAATAACAGCACACTCGGATACAAATACCGTGTCTGGACTTCTTCAAGTTAGACTTTACCTTCCTCCGACCTCATCGGTTCGACTGTCGACGACACAGCGTTTTAAGTCTTGAACTCTCTTTGTTCACCTCTCAAAACTCAGCGTTTCTCCCCACCGAAGTAAAACCTGCAATCATGGGAGAAATGCCCGCCGGAAAGATCACCCTCGGGCGGTACATGTGGGAGCGCATACATCAAATCGGCGTTGACACAATCTTCGGCGTACCAGGAGACTTCAACCTGCAATTCCTCGACTACCTCTTCCACGTCGACGGCCTGAAATGGATTGGCAACATGAACGAGCTCAATGCCTCATACGCAGCCGACGGCTACGCACGCGTAAAAGGCGTCCCGGGATGTGTAGTCACCACCCATGGTGTTGGTGAGCTCAGTGCTCTGAATGGTGTCGCGGGCGCCATGTCCGAGCAAGTCAAGATCATCCATGTTGTTGGTCAGACTCCCCGACCCATACAGAAGAATCACATGATGATCCATCATTCTATTGGGAATAAGCCGGATCATCAGCTTTACAACAAGGCTTCTGAGGGCTTGCGGTACGCGGCGGCTGAGCTGTGGGATATCGAGACTGCGCCGGCGGAGATTGATCGGGTCATTCGGGAGTGCTTCCTCAAGTCTGGTCCAGTGTACATTTTCTTGCCACTTGACCTTTCAAAGGAGCATGTTGATGCTAAGCTTTTGGACAACCCTATCAACACGAAGCCGGACGTTGATGAGGCGGCTCAGGAGAGGGCGGTCAAGGCTGTTGTTGAAGCGCTAAAGGAGGCCAAACATCCGACTATCCTGGTTGATGCATGGACACAGAGATTTGGAGCGGCAGAGGAGGCGCAACAGCTTGTCCGGAAACTCCACGTCCCGTGGTTCTGCGCAAATATGGGCAAGGGCGTAGTAAGCGAAGACGACGAGATGTACGTTGGTGTCTGGAATGGAGAGGTCAGCACACCCGGCGTCAAGGAGGCAGCAAAAGCCGCTGATCTAGTTGTAAGTGACCTTTTGTGTTGTTGGAGGTCAAACACTGACTTTCCAGATCACTTTGGGCTACATCCCCTGCGACACCAACTCCGCCGCCTTCTCGCGCCCTCTTTCCGAAGAGTCCACTATCCACATCAACCCACATGACGTCGTAGTCAAAGGCCAAATCTTCCCCAACATGTCCATCAAATCCCTGATCTCCTCCCTGTCCGCCGCTCTCCCCTCAAAGCCCCAGCACGCCATCCCCAAGCCCCAACTCCCCGCGCCCCGAACTCCCTTAGACAAAGACGCAACCCAACTCACCCAATCCTTCCTCTGGCCCGCCATCGAATCCTTCCTGCAGCCCAACGATCTAATCATCGGTGAAACCGGCACCTCCAACTTCGGCCTGTGCGACATCAAATTCCCGCCCAACGCGCGCTTCATCACGCAAATCTACTACGGCAGCATCGGCTTCGCGACCGCCGCCACGCTAGGCGTCGAAGTTGCGCGCTCTGAACTGCCCAGCACGCAACCCAGCCGGACGGTGCTGATCACGGGCGACGGCAGCATGGCGCTCACGATCCAAGAAATCGGCACCATGATCGCACAGAACCTGCCTATCGTCATCTTCGTCATCAACAACGCAGGATATACCATCGAGCGGCTAATCTGGGGCGCAAAACAACCCTACAACGACATCGTGCCAACAAACTACTCCCACCTGCTACCCCTTTACAACCACCCTGATCCGGACAGCTCGTTCCATCGCGCGAGCACAAAGGCCGAGTTGCAAAGTATCCTGGGGCTGAAAACGCTAAGGGAGCCGCGCGATTTGCAGCTCGTTGAGTTGGTGGTGGATAAGTTGGATACGAGTTGGAAGTTGGGCACGACGTTGGCGTGGAGGAGTGTGGAGCATAGGAAGTATTTGACAGAAGAGGGGTTTATGGATACGTATGGAAATTGGGGTTTGGAAGGGGAGAGTGGTGGCACGGTGAAGTGGTTTTGAGGGCTGATCTGTGATGTTGTGTACTTGGCATGTATGGAATTGTTGAGTGTAGTTGTCTTGACGGACGGTTCAGGCGAGGCTGATTGAGCGCTCCCGGGGCCAGGTGAAGTTCTAAAAGAGTGCGTCAGATTCGTAATTGTCCAGACAAACAAGAATGTCATCATGAAATTTAGTAAATGGCACTGCTCTTACTGCATGCTTTGCGAAGGCAGCGATCCGATTGGCCCACGTACCAAGGTAAAATCAACATACTGTCAGTCTTTACGGTTGTTAACAACGTCTAGCTCGCCAGGCAGCGGCCGGTTTGATGTCCGCTTTGCACTTCAACGACATTAGCTGATAATTTTTTAATATTTTGCTCGTGCAATCTGCTATTGGCTACGGAACCTGTTTCCTCCAACGTCCTTGAATGTATACAGAAGGCTTATATTTATAAACCTTGGTAAGACAGAGAGTATGCCTGTAGGCTGATTCAGTACTGCGTGGCTTTCTAGTGACTGACTTCAATGTGAACGGCACGAAAATGTTCTGCGAAGGCAACGGATGGTAAATCGATTGGCCCTAGCGTCGCTGCATGGGTCGTGGAGAAGAAGGGATCAACCGAGTGTTGCTTCTGGAAGACATCGGTAATGCGCTGCGTGGTAATGTTCTTATATGGTGCTATTCGAATGTGTATGGCTCGAGAAGGCAGGGCCCAATGATGTTGCAATAACAGCGATGGAGTGACTTGGGAAATGCAATTTAGTGGAAGAGACGAAGAAGTCTTCGAAGCTCGATCGAGCGATCGAGTTGCACGGCATACGAGGCTGAATAGCGGCACGCGACGCTGTTGCCTTACCGGTGCGTTGCGTATTGAATGGACCCCCTAAGAAGCAGGTTGAAATATTCGACCCCTCAATCCGACGCTTCTGCGCTCATTAATTGGGTAAAATTCTATAGTACTTGTTACTATAATCGACTTTAGTCCTTGTCTCTGTCAACCGGAGGATTTTAGCTAACAACATGTTAATAATCGTTAGCTCATTTGATTATCAGGCGCAGAGGGGGTCCATTTAATACGCAAGCGACAATATGACTGCGCCACAGCCTACTTGCTTATCTCGACACCTAACAGACGACCCTTCGACCCACATCTACCACGAAGCTGAGCTACGTCTTTCATGACCTTGGTTCCTCTCATTGATTTGTTTTTCTGTCTTGTCATCGCGAGCACTGTGAGGTCTACTTGAGACAAGGCAGGTCCATTTACGTCATGGAGCAACCTTGCCAGTACAGCCCGGCACATAGCTGTAAACACTGCCAGCGTATCGTGCTCCGACGTGAGAATTTCTCCGAGGACTCTTTCAAAATTAAGCTCCCACATACTGTATCGGAACTTCGAGAGGGCATTAAAAATGGATGCGCACTGTTGCTGCAATTGTTCGTTTCAGGTTGGGATGCGAGCACTTACAAAAACAGATTGGAATACGCGGTAAGTTGGCGTCGTGATGCGTACTCCGTGGATATCCAGAAAAAGCTCTTGCAGCGATGGCGTCGGAAGTTTAGGCAATGCTGGTCCTTGTTCGAGCAAGGCTTGTGGAACGTGAAATTCCACTTTGAAGCACACCACAACTTCTACTCCTTCTATGTGGAGCTCCCACGGACATTGCTTCCGCCGCCGAGCTTTGAGCACCACTGCAGACATGGGCTTTATTATACATGGATCTCGAGTCTCAAAGCATCACCAGGTACAATTTACAAAGTGAAGTAGATGAAGTCGAAGCTAATGTATCTCAGACATTTCTGCTGATGAGGTACCAGAAAGTATCAAGAGGGCGCAGGACCCCTATGTTGGCTCCGAAAACAGCCTTCGACAGGCCGGTGAATGGCTGACTACATGCCATGGTGCTCATCCGTTGTGCTCCGAAATGCCGACAGATTTTGTACCTACGCGCCTTCTAAAGCTTGGGACGAATGACGACCAGCACAAAGTCCAACTGATTCATACCTCTCCGGGAGACTGTGTTGCGTGGGTAGCCTTGAGCTATGTGTGGGGTGGTGACCAATCATTCAAGACAACAGTTTCTTCCATGACGGAAATGCACAGGCAGATTCCGGTCATAACACTTCCGCAAACTCTGCAAGATGCAGTGACCGTCTGCAGAGGGATAGGGATACAGTATTTATGGGTTGACTGCCTATGCATTGTTCAGGATGATGCAGACGATCTCTCAAGAGAATTGGCCTTCATGCCTAAAATATACCAGCGAGCATGGGTGACCATTTCAGCTTCTACGGCCGATGACGTATCGAAAGGGTTCTTGCAAGACCGTGGCTACAAAGTCATAGTCGGCCAAACGCCCCTCGAAAAGTCACCCGTATTTTCACTTCCATACGTCTTCGTAGACGGCATTCGCACCAGCAATATCATTCTCGGTGAGGCGAGAGAGCCTACAGATGAGACCGAAACAACTCCGATACATCAACGCGCCTGGACATATCAAGAGCGAAGACTGTCGCCGAGAGTGCTTGAATTCACCAAAACCGCCATCACGTTTATTTGTCGCACGGGCGAATTCCGCCGGGGCTCAGGTTCCCACCCATGGGTGACACGAGGAGCCGAAACATGGGACGAGCAAGAGCGGATACTGCCGTGTATACAGAGCCAAGACCTACCGAGTTGGCATGCAATCGTCAAGGACTACGTGATCCGCGAACTCACATTCCCGAGTGATAAGCTCCGGGCGATTGCAGCTTTGGCCGATCTATACAGGATCAAGAATAAGCAGACGTATGTGGCGGGACTTTGGAAAGAAACAATCGTTCTCGATCTATGCTGGTACTCACGTTACCCTGTAGACAAGTTTGCCAGGGTTTCCACGCCGCGACCGCGAGAATATCGTGCGCCAAGCTGGTCTTGGGCAGCGATCGACGTCGAAGCGACAAGACAGTTACGGTTTCTCGAAAACACCATGCCAAGGGGTATAAGCCCCTCAAATAACTTCAACACCATATGGAATTGTCATCTTGAGCAAGATGCAGTGCTTGTTGATCTCGTCTTGGAACAGATACCGCCTAATACCACTTACGGACAGATCCGTTCGGCAAGCTTGACTCTAGAGGGATTGGCACTGAATACCAAGTGGTCGTTTAATGAAGGCTACCATAGTCTCCAGAACTTGGGGTCTGACTCTGTCTTTGTCCCTGACTCGATCCTTACACCTGGCTCGATCCTTCGTCGCTCTGTCTTCCCTACCACTTCCATGTTCACTACGAGAGATGCTATGGAAGATATGACACCCACTACCGCAGATGAGTGGCCTGTCGTCGCATTTATCTTGGTGCGCGGAACAGGAGGCATTGAAATACGCGAAAAAATTGTTTTCGGCCTGCTTCTTCTCGAGGAGGCATCGGGACAGCACCGGCGAGTGGGGACATTTCAGATGGCATTGGGTCCAGATCGATATGAAACATATGACTGCCCTCTTGACACTAGTAAGATGTTCCAGAGACGGAGTATCACGATCATATGACATGGATATCAAAGCTCGGCCGCGCAAGCAATGTATATGTACTCACACGTTGTGACTTCTCTCAGGCATATCTCACATCTCAATATTTCTACTCGTGTATACTCATTCTATCTCCATGCTGAAAAAGTATACCGGAGACATTACTTCATTCATGTCGTTAACTGACGACATAGGACCGAACAAACAGCTGTTTACTTACCCATGATAGTACATTAATCAGGCAGTTCAACAACACCAAAAAAAGACACACGCGCCCAAGAAACTAACACTGTAATGCACACAACTACACACTTGCTACAGAACCTACATTTCCTTGTCTACAAAGTACAACCACCACGAAACACCATAAACACAACCAATCCTTGCCAATTACCCGCCGTGCTACTACCACAAGACTCGGTGTATCATCCTATCTCAAATCCACGCACAACCCACCCCATGACTTCTAGCACAAGTCCTCTTACTCCTCCCACCAGAACCTAATCACATCACCACAAAATACCATTTCTCCAACTTCCACACCACTCATCACGCATCACGCATCACCCAACCAAACTCCATTCTCATGCAAAAGAATCAAATCGTGTAAATCATCTCTATATAATATGTATATCTACTATCTGAACGAAAGTGAGTGTGCATCGCACAGCGAGCGAGAGTATCAAAAAGCTACGTCCGCCAAAAGCGAACCGAAAAACAGCACAGCACAGCATGTAGTGCGTGGGGGGGGGAAAAAAAGTTGTCCGCCGAAAGGCCGACCGACTGAGCGAGAGTAGTAATAAAAAGTATGGATTTCATAGTATCCGTACAGAAAGTCAGTTGCTTTCCAGCAACCAAAAGAAAAAGAAAAACAGAGAAGGGATCCTGACCCCGACGCTGTGCAGCCCTTGCTTGAAGCGTCGAGTTTGAATATGCCAGGTCCCCTTCCTAAACACAAAAAGGAAAAATCAAGAGTACTAGGACCTATGAACGCCTATTGAATATCAAACCAGGTATTGGGTATCCTGCTATAACCATTGTGTGTGTACTTCTCCTCATAACTCCTCGAATCTCTTATTTGGCGTTTGTGGACCAAATAGGTCCGGCAAGACTAGTAAACATACGTAGCAGTCCTGCCCAACGTGGGCTTACTCGGGCCGTAATCGCTGCGCTCGTTCTCGCGGCCGCGAGGCGCCCATCTGACATCTTCAGGGCCGTACTTGGGCGCGTACTGCACTTCATTGGGGTTGAAACTCGACTGGCGAACGGGGCGAGGTCGCTGTTGCGAGGCGTATGAGTCACTGCGCATTTCGCCGTACAGAGGGCGTCCGGAGCGGCCGCGCTGCTCTTCGCGGATGGGCGAGGAGCTGGAGCGACCCATGGGTGGCGGTGGCATGGATGTCTTGGAAATGTTGGCTTCCGAGGGGCGGTTGGCGCCGATCGGGGGGCGACCAAGGGGAATTGCTTCTGGCGAGCGGTGGCGTTGGCTGCTTGGCGGCTCGCGGAGGACGGTGCGGTGGCTGCCTGCAAGAAGGTCGTCTTGGCGGAGAGGGACGCTGCCGTTTGGTGTGGGGTAGTGGTAGTACTTGGTCTTACTGGCAGAGGTAGGCTGGGGTGGCGGTACAGATGGGTATGCCTCCGGGCTGCTGTGCTCGGGAGTCATGGTTTCTCGCAGTCCAGAGGGGCGCGGGACCGAGGCGGGTTTGCTGCGCGAAGATGCATGCGGCACCGTTGATGGCATGGTTTGCGAACGGTGGAAGGCTGGGGGTGGCGAAGTCGAGGCATGCTTGTCACGGGACGGAGCCTCAGTGTAGCGGCGTTCCGGCGTAGCGCGCGGAACTTCGATCTTTGCAGGCGAAGAGGTGTGTTGCTTCAACGGAGGAGGCATCCGCCTCGATGAGCTCTCGTCACCGTCCCAATCGACAATTTCAGGGAAGGCACGGTCACGGTCTCGGCCTTCTCGTTCGCGGCCTGAGGTTGTCCGCTCCTTGGGTCGGGCAGAGGACCTGCGCACGGGCTCGGGGCGTGATTCCTTGGGGCGTGATGAGCGACTACCCTCGTAGTAGTCTCGCGATGTCGTCCGGTCCATGGTGGGACGCATCTCAGCTTGGACCTGTTCGCGCGACTTATGCAGGTAGCGGATGGCCTCTTCGGCCTGTGTGCTCATCTTGCGGGCGCTCGGAGTCTCGTAGCGCGGGTCCTCGTATGAGCGTCGCTCGTCAGGCTTGCGGCGGGTGTCGGCACTCTGTCGTCGCACCTCCTCTTCCTGGCTGCGGCGCTTGTAGCCTGCTTCGTAGCGTGCCTTCTCATCTGCGGACGACGACTCGCTCTCGACAGAGACGAACTTGTGGTTGCGGCGATCTTCCTTGTCACGCGTCTTGGTGCGGTCAGATCGCGTCCGGTCGGCGGTGGCTTTGGTGGTCCTCGATGACTCCTTCTCGGTCCGTGGGGTTGAGCCAGTCTTGGGAGGGTATGCAGAGTATGTTTCATACTTGCTGCGGGTGCTCGCACGTGCACGCTCGCGGTCACGGTCGTCGTAGTACTTGTCGTCGTCGGCGTAGGCGGCCGTCGGTCTGCGCTCCTCGGTGGCATAGCGGTTGCTGGACGTGTTGGCGGACGGGCGGGACTCGAATCGCGTCGCCTTCTCGCGGCTTGCGGTGGCGCCTCCTCGTGCGAGCTTCTCTCTTCGCAGGGCTTCGAGGGTGATGCTGGCTTCGTACTTGGCGCGCTCGGTCTCGTCGATGAGCACTTCGTAGGCCTTCTGGATCTTGTGGAACAGCTCGGCCTTCTCTTGCCTCACTGCGGGATCCGTCGAGGTGACCTTGTCGGGATGGCAGTGGAGCACCAGCAGGCGATGCGCCTTCTTGATGGCTGAGGCATCGGCGGTCTTCTCGACGCCCAGTGCTTTGAAATGGTCGGGTAGGGGTTCATCCATAGTTGGGGTTTTGGGGGTTTTGGGGGGGTTGGGGAAGGTGCGGGCGGGGTGGTGTTGCACGGTCTTATAGCTGCGAGACAGTGCGGTGAGTCTTCAGTCAAGAATGAGACATGCGCTCGCCGATCAATTGCAAGCGAGCGGTGGCGGAGAGCGGGAGTGCGCGGTCGTGGCTGGAGGCGGCGAATGTATCGCGTAGGGCAGCGAGCAGCAACAGGCTCGAGCAGACGGGTGCTGCTGGGTATATGTGCGTGGTGTTAAGGGCACGCGAATTGGGGTATGGGGTGATGCTGGGACGCTGCAGAAGAGTCTCCTGTTCCTGGTGCGGTGACGACGTTGGTGCCCGTGCTGACTCAAGCCGATCGGGCTGTTCCTGGATCGAGGACGGAAGAAAACCGGAGAATCTCGTGGCAACGCGAAACGGGGGCTCGGCCGGCGAAAAAGAATAAAACAAAGTCTTTGCAAAAGTTTGCAAGTTTGATTGCTGCGTGCGTGCTCTTTGTTGTTGGGCGAGAGCAGAGGCTGTGTACGGCCAGTCTGCAGAGTGGATGCGATGCTGGGCAGCTGTCGTTGTCCAAGCAGCGGCTTCCTTGCGGAGAGTAGCGGTCTGGCCTGCGACGTCACTCGAGGTTAAAGGTTTCAGCGAGGTCCCGATCTCTGCGGCTTGCGGCTATCCGGGTCACAAATACAACGGCGGGTGGGAGCACAGAATCGAAATAGAAGCTGTCGGGACTTGAAATAACGAGCTGTACCACGCAGGAGACGTGAGGGGTGTCAAGTAGTCAGCCTACGGAACTGTTCTCGGGGCCTTCTGGGCCTCTACCACGCCCAAGGCGGCCCTGAGTATGCCCACGGGAGTTGGCAGGGGATGTGCCTGCGGTCCGCAGCACGCTCTGCTTCATTCAGGAATCAGGGCTCGAGGCTATTCTTCGATTCACGCTTCATCAGCCTGCATGCAGCTTCCACGGCGCCTCTGCACGCTGCTGGCCGCGCCAATCCGGCCACGCTCAGCTAAGCCAGACGCAACTAATCATCTCATCTGAGCCACCTTGTCCAGAGGCACGCTGCATGCGAGGCATCGGCTTGGGCGCCTACGAAACATACGCCCAATCATACCATGCAGGTCCCTCCACTGCCAAACCCCCATGTGCCAAAACCCACCCAGCGAGCGGCCTCGATAGGCACGTCCAAGAGCACACTAGCTGCAAGGTCATCCAGTTCTGCCCACGAGTCGGCCTGTCAGGTGTGACATCCAGCTGCCACCCAATGGCAAAATGCTCAACCACTCCACCGCAAAGTATTGCTGTCACTGTGACCAACCCGAGTTACGCTGGCCAAAAATGACGGCGCACGGCATTGTCGAGTGCAGTCTGGTCGTCGCTAGAAGGACATGGAATCCGAGACACCCCGCCCGTCACACGCCCACCGCGCCCTAGCTTCTTCACCTCACCCCACCACCGCGATGGATGATGTGCAGCCCTGACACCTCGCCCGCAAGGATGATCCCCCGACACCACCGGAAGGGACGTGAGAGACAGCACGCGGCCTCGACACGGGCGGCTGCATCGCGACCATCGCCAGACAGCACCAATGTTTTCTTCTTGTCGATACAGGCAAGGCCCGTCCCGAACGACTCTGTCTGAGTGGCCCATGGCCATAGGCTTATGCGGGGAAAGTGGGCCGCCGCAGCCAATGGGCCCGTTCCATGGTCTGATCCGGCGATGAGACGTGGTCAGCGAGGATTTGAGGAACACACGAAGAATATACACCATGAGGTAGGTGTGTGTGGAGAGCGTCAACAGTTTGCCTGAGATGACGAGCGTGTGCTTTAACGGATATGTCATTGTGCCTCCAGCGCCGCTTCGCTGGCAAACGCCCACACTGGCAGCTCAACGTCAACCACAATCGGCTTGTTGAACGTGGATGCTTTTCCGACGACCCTCGCACTCAAGAATGCAGCGTTGATCATCAGAGTCTCGCGGCGCTCCACTCCAGTACTCCCAGGTGTACTTGTATGCGCGTCAACCTTGCTGCGGCCGACGTCGCTTCGAGTCCTGCACTCTATCGCTCCACCAGCCTTCCTTCTCCACGTCTCCACTCCCGCCTCACTGCTTGAAAAGAGGGCACCGTCCTCGAGGCTGGACATTGGGTGCGGCTCTGGAGCACCCGGCTGAGTCTCGTCACTCTCCCCGAAGAGTCCTCTGAACTTGTCAGGGACGACATGACGTGGCACCTCTCCAGCATGCATATACTCGATCCCACACCCTGCTTTCCGCGTGGCATCGACGAGTGAAATCTTCTTGTTTCCTGCGCCTGGATCTGTCCAATTCTCGACGGATTCGACGAGGCGAGACAGGTCTAATTCAGCAGGAGTGTCCGTCTTGTCAGGATTTGTTGATCCATTGTCAGTCTTGTCAGCGCTCATTGACTCATCCTCCGTCCTGTCAGCTTCAGCAGTCCTCCACCTCACCCTCTCAACCCCCCCTCCCATCATGGATATGCCCACAAACATGCATCATAGGCCTCACACTCGCCAACCTTCCCTTCAAAGCCCCACACCCCGCGCTCCCCTCTGCCGTCCTATCCAAACACCCCAACGCCGGCGAGTGCGTAATCACCACATCCGCCCCCTCCATCTCCCCCGTCTCCCAAATCTCCTCCGCTTCCTCACCTCCCCAGTATTGAAACGCCCAGCCGCGTCGGCCAGGTGAGTATGGCGAGCCGAATACACCCAAGTGCGTGCGTGTCTTGGGCAAATAGATCGTTGCGGCTTCATGTTGTAGGTACGTGATTGACGGCGAATCAATTAAAAGCCTCTTACACGCCTCTGGATCCTGCGGACTAGGCCATTTCCACTTGTTTTCATGCGAGTGGAAGAACGGCGGGTCGAGGGTTGTGTCGTGGTTTCCTACACATCATACATCAGCGCACGTGACCAGGAAGTGTGAGTAAGTTACCAGCAACAACAATCTTGGCCTGAAAATCGCTCTTCTCAAGCCATTCCACCGTCCTATTGAGTTCTGCATAACTCCCCTGATTCGTTAGGTCGCCGGCGTGGATCAACACGTCGCCGGCGGGCAATTTGGGCGTTTGGTTGTGCGTGTCTGATATACACACGATGCGGACTCTGCGGGTTGGCATTTTGAAGCAGTCAGATAAAGTGCATGTATATTTTGCCTATTGACGAAGTACATATTGGCTCTGTTTTTGACGTGTTGGTGTGCTATCGTGACTCACCCCACTCCTCCGCCAATCCTCCCACCGAGTGCTGCCTGCATGCGAAGTCGATGCCTCAGGCATATGACGTCATACGTCTAACCATCACCTCCACCACCACTCTCCATCTTCATCACCAACGTCCAAATCCACTTCGTCATTATCCATCCCTGCGACATTGAACCTCCGTCCCTGATGATCCCGCCGCACCTCGGCACGCAACCGTATGTCGTGCATGCCATGCGCAGCACCTTCCGCTTCCGCTTCGCACCCAAACTCTTTCGCCACTTCCGTCCGTTCGCCACTGCCAACTGCCCACGCGAAACAATCAAGCAAGTACAGTTAGCCCCCGAACACGAGTGGTGATCGGCGCGCAATGCTCGAGGATAGGGAAAACTCGGATGCAGAAATTTGTTGCTTTGCCATGTCCGCCCGCGCATTGACGGAGACGGAGGTGCGCGCCCGTGTGTCGCGGAGCGGCGACGCGGAGTGTCTGAAGCTGCGCAAATCGCGTGCGAGCCAAGAGCAATGCGATGCTACTACGAGGGCTACACTAAGCTCCGCGGGGCGCAAGATTAGACGTGGTTTAGTCAGGTATTGCATGTGAGCTGAAAGGACAGCTGGAGTGGTGTGCTATCGGTCACGGCGACGCTACGCGTGCTGCGCCATTCGTACTCCAGCTCACCGCTGAAGCGTAGTAGTGCTTGTGTAGCTGAACTAAACTCAGCATCAGCGTCGTAGGGCTGATGTGACAGTCACACAAACTCCAACGTCATCAGCATCACGCAAGCGCATTATTGTGTGTAGAACACCTTGTTCATTTTTATGCTGAACTACAAGAGCCATCCCAGTGGGGTATCGTCGCCCAACCATTACGCCAAACGCCAACATCTGAAAACACAAAGCCCCTTCTGTCTAGGGTTCCAATATCGTGCACTTTGTTTGTGAAAAAAGGGAAGAAGATCAAGTAGGTGGCAGTAGCTCTTGTGGAAAAAAAAACTCCCAAGCAAAACGAAACATTTCCCGCAGTCCTTCAAACCGACCTCTGTCGTAACCCAAATCAACATTTTCGTATATACCAAGGAAATTCCCGTGATGCCCAAGGCCGCGTAAATGCTAGACACTGTGCTTACAGAGCGGAAGGCTTGCTTAAAGAGGGTGAGACTTGAATATTCTGACACTGTTCGTTGCGAATGGCCGTCGTCTGAGCGTCGAGATGCGGGCGATAAACGTAGCTAAGACAGCCGCGCGCCATGAGAAGCTCAACCGGACATATCAGACCAGTGGCTCTCGACGCTGTTTGATCGTTTCCACCCCTCAGGAAGAGGAGCACCCACGTCCACATTTTGCTCCGGTGGTGTGCGGGGACGAGGACGAGGCCGATCTGCTGTTGCTGGCTCAGCATGGCGTTTCCTACTCGTGGGACCCTTGTCTTGTTGCAGGATGTGCTGCTGGAACTGGCGGCGTTGGTCTGACTTCCCCCTCGTTGGGGTCGCGTCCGGATCACGACCACTCAAGTCGTCACCACGTACTTTGGCGCGGGAGCCATTGACAAAAGACACATTGTCCATCATGTCCCAATCGTTGATGTTGAAGTCTTTTGGTGGCGAGTCGTCGAACATGGTAGACGACGCGTCAGCCGAGAGGTCGTCGATTGAATCGTCCTCACCCACGAGACTGATTCCGCCTCCCCTAACACGGTTGAGTGATACTGCGGGATCCTCATCTTGCTCATCTTCCGAGGAAGTTTCGGTGCTGTTCTCACTTGCAGGTCTTTCGGGTTCCAAGTACACTGCTGGAAGCTCCTGAGACATGGCTACGTCTTCGCCTTCCACAGCAATTTGGTCATGCTCCTCGACAGACGTCAAAGACTCTTGGTCGAGCTTGAACCATGTGATGAATTGTTGCATCTCCAATCGTACAAGCCAGGAGTCGAACATCGACTTGAAATATCTGTCAAAACCGCGGTGGAGCGACAGATCGCAGTCGGCCTCATGACCAGTCTGTTGATGAGCGATGATTTTTTCGATCATGATCTTAGCCATCTTCCAAACGAAGGGGCCACATGGCCCTTGATCCTGGGTAAACTGGTTGTCCCACCATTGGTTGGGGCTCTCCTCTTGTGGCAGGAACTGCCATTCCTTCGTTTCTTCCCCGAGGACCATCAAGAGGCCCTTTGAGACCTCGTAGGCTATTTTCTGGATCTGGTTGTAAGGACTCACGCCCGTGGAGTCATAGTAGAATGCTGTCTTGTGAACGCGATCCACAATGACCAATGACCAATGAGACCCGTCGCTGTAAGCGCCAATACCGTCGTTGATGGGTAGAACAATCTCATCTCTTGTCTTGCAAGCGATCTCTGTAGACATCATAGCTA